AATGAATGCGGGTCTTTTGTCGAAATAGAGAAGTGGGCGCGGAAGAGTCACGATTTCAGAGTAGAGTCCCGCACTCTATTTGAGCGCAGTTTCTTCGCAGTACTGGACGGGGGGACGCCCGAGTTGGACAGTGTTGTTGTTGGGTCGAGAAAGGGGAAAGAGAAGGGTTCCATTTACAGACGCACCCAAAAGAGCGTCTTTGCTCCACTCAGCCCCTTCAATCCCTGGTCAAAGTCAGTCTCTGTCCCGTATCTCTATCTCCCGCAACTTTTCCCCCCGATTCTCTTGCTCCAGTTTCCCCTTTTTCCAGTTTTGACGAGAGTCCGCAACTGTCGGAAATTGGGGTTCAAAAGTTAGGCAAATAAACCAGAAGACCACCCAGAAATAATTTCTAAGTAATCGTCATGTCTTTCGAGTTATTAGTTTCTTGATAGCTACAAATTTTTCTTTTTGGCTCCAATTTTGTCTTCAATCTTTTAGCTTTTTTTTGGCTCCAATTGCTCCAAACACCTCCTTTTTTTTCTCACAAATTTCAAATTCGATCCCAACTAAAGGGCAAAGGTTTTTGTTTTCTTGACTTTAGCAAAAAAAGAAATGAATGACATTTGAAAAGTTGATGCAATGAATTTCAAAGCTTTGTTAAGATTTATATTCGACAAATATCAACAAGTGTTTCCTAAGCTTCCCTAAAACTCTTTCCATCTAGCGCTGGTGTTTATCAAAAGAGAAAACTATTAAGTAGGTCTCTGATTCGAGATCGGGATGAAGTGGATCGACCTGATGGGGAAAAAAAGAGAAAAAAGAAAGAGGTAGAGATGACTCTCGAAAAGGATCGTGCTCAAACGCCGCATTTATCCTTTTAGTGCATAGAAGGAGGGCGACAAGAGGAGCAACAGGCCAGTAGGTTGAATGAGAAAAGAAAAGATGAGAGAGACAAAGTCGAGAAGGCGCTCTCGGGGATGGAGAATAGTGGATGGGGGTAACCTGTTTCGCAAAATCATTTCTGCACTCATTGACCCAGTTGGGAAGTGGGAGAAAGATTGAGCGAGAAGATCTTCCCGAGGCTGAGCAACTTCATTCCTTTCAACCGGTCTAGTCTCTAACTGTCTTCAGGCTCGCTATCAAATCCCCTTCCCATTTTTCAGCTCTGATTTTGATTATTGACAATTGACTCAATAATCTATGAAATTGTCCAGAAAATCTTTTATTTCCTTTTCGTATTTTCATTTAAAACAAACAAATGCATCAATTGAAAGAAAAGATTTATTTTCTGAACAGGCTAGGATCAAAGAGTAACCCTTTTTGGGTGGAAAGGTTGAGACTACTCTTTGAGTACCGATTGGTGAGATTAGGGGAATAGTGTGACCCAAATCTCGCATGTTACAAACGAATGCTGTTACTCTGCGCGAGAGCGGAGATAACCCACTGCTCGCTCACCCAACAGAAAAGGTCGTTTCTTTTTTTTTCGGTAATGAAATGCACCGATCTGTATGTGATAGGTAAATGTCATTATCTTAGTCAAATTGTTTTCGTTTTAGTTATTAAAAATTCCCGATTTCCCCGAGTGAAGCCGAAAAGTAAATGCTTTAAGAAACGGATGGAGGGTTTCAGGACGAAACTTGGGGCTTAATTTGCATAAGTATTTGCTCTAGGGCCTCATGCCCGAGCGGTCCTCTCACTCTCTTCGTGGACTCCTCGTGACTGTGTGGTCAGTTGGAACTGTGGAAACAAAAGCGTGAAGAGAAGCGAGAGAGAGAAGAGAGAGAAGAGAGAAGAAGTCGAGCCGCTTCAGTCGAAGCATTGTCTTCCAGTCTTCTAAAAGTAGCGTGGATGGTAAAAGAGCTGAGGGGGGATGGAGAAAAGGAAGGGGAGGGGTGATGATGAGGGGAAAAGAGGAGCCAAAGACGAGACCCGCCTTCTCTCCGAGAAAACTCTCCCGTTTACGGTACTCACTTTTGAACACTCCTCCCCCCTCCAGCCTTCATGCTTCACTTTTCATTTCCCCAATCCTCGACATTGATCCTAATTGTATAAAAATTGTCACCATTATACTTATCATTTTTCCCTACTCTCTTCACATTTTCTTTCATTCAAATTTTCACAACATTTATTGCTTTTTATTTTGTGAACAATTCATTGCGCTTAATTCTCAAATTTTCTCGAGTCAAAAGGGAATAATGTGTTTATAGTGGCTGGCGGCTCGTCGCTGTTTATATTACTGGCTAGACTAGACAGAAAGTTTGACCTAATGTTTCATTAGTACACATTTGAAAACATTTTCTCTGTGAAACCTTTATTGAGCTTTGTAAATTTGTTTCTCTAAAAGCTTTTGAACTTTTAAATTGAACTTTTAATTTGAACTTTGAACTTTATTTTACAAATCTCTAATTAGCTTTTATTCTTTGTAAGAATTTTGGTCCTTTGAAGAAAACGAGGAAAAGAGTTATGAGTCTAAAAACTGAAGGATCTTTTTAAGGTTTTTTTTTTCCACTGAATGCCGATGATTGTTTAGCGAGTAAGTGTGGAAATTTGATCCTTTTGAAGAGAACGATGATGGCTTTCTCACGAGTCCTTCTCTACTTGTTGTTCTCCAATAACTTTCTGATGTTTCCATTGAAACAATTATTTAAAAACAAATGATTCACTTTGAAATATTCTTGCAATTCTGTTTTTGAACTCATAACTCTTTTGCTTGTTTTCTTCATTCATTTTATTCGAATACAATGCTGAAACAGTGCCTTCTTGAAGAGAGAAACCTTAGGGTTAAACGAATGTCAACATCCTCTTTCCACGAGTTTGGTCAATGTCTTCTTTCCAAAGAGACTCAGAATCCATTATAATCTTTCGCTAATTGTGATCCTTTTCCCAGTGTTAACTTCTGCTATCCATGATCACTATTCGTTTGCTTTTTAAAAATTGCAAAAGATTTTCGGAGCTGTCTTCTCCGGAAAGGTTAGACAAGGGGCACACGCGTCGAGAGATGGGGGAGAGCCGGGAGAAGTCCCAACGGTTGGACAGCGCGCGAGGAGTCCCAACCACGCAACCAGTTACGCAAATAGAACGCACCGAGGAAAAGACCCCGAGGCTGGGCACTGGTTAGTGTCCTTTCCCCCACTCAGACCCTCTGAACCACCACCCCACTTTTCTTTTCTTGCTATAGTCTTCTCTCTCTTTGGTCCACTTTGAGACACTGTTTGCTTTATTTACCCCTATTAGTCTGCTTTTCTCTTGATTTTACTTGTTTCCACTTTCTAGTCTTACCCCGATCAGCTTGCTTTAGTCTCCAAACCTGCAGTCTCCAAACCTTTCTCAATTGCTATATCGTTTTCTAATCGAGAACGAAGATCGAACTTGATTTCGTTGTAACACTTTGCACCAGGCTGGACCCCTTTTTACCGATTGGAATGGAATTTAGGTTACTCGTTGTTCTGATCTCGGGCGGATCTCGGAGAAAGTGCGCATGTCGCGTTCTCTTCACCTTTTCCCCTTTCCCCCCGCGGGCGATCTCTCCCACTTCTCCAAAAATGACTCTGTGAATGGTCGAGCCACCGTTATCTTTGCGAATCGGTCGCTCCGAGTAACTGCAAGAACCAGCCGACCTACATAGATCTCAAAAAGGCACAACGTCCCCCCTCCCATTACCCACAACTTACATGAATCTCCCCAAGAAGTACTCAAGAATAGACTAGAGACTGGCAGCTCTTTTTTGAATTGTTCTCAAAATCTTTGTGCGTTGTACTTGAAAACTTCCTGTCTTACTTTATGCAATTTTTGGTGAATGACTGTGCTGTGGAGGTTTCAATAAAACCCTTGAGGCGGTTGTGAATGGAGCAAGCTGATCGGGGGTGTTTGTCGAATGACTCGATGTATTTTATGTGTCCGCCTGGATGCTGGCTCTCTGTCCCCAAAGGGAATGGGAGTACAGTTCCAACAATATGTTGCATCTATCCATCCATCCATCCATCCATCCATCCATCTCATCGTCGATCCATCGATTGTGTGGTGCCCGGTTTTGTGTTCATGTTTGTGTTTGCACAACTCGTCTCCGCTCGCCTCGGGGCGCAGTTTTGTACGGTTTTTCCAGGAGAATGGGAGGACTTCTATTACAAAAATAGCCTGTATGATAGTTGTTCTCTTTTCGACGAAAGAAAGGTTCTTTACTTTTGAAAAGGTTCAACACAATTCCTACAATCTGTCCAGAAAGTCTTTTGCTCTACTCTAATTTTTAACCAAAGCAGCTACCAAAGTTTTGTATAAGTTAAAATTTGAAGATAAAATTAAAGATCAATACCTTCAACTAAAAACAGTGGCCCAATTTTCTATTTCCTTTTTATTTGATTGATGTTTTGATGGAAGAAATGATTGAGCTTCAGTACTGAGTCAAATTCAAGTCAAATTCAAGTCAAAATCAATCAAATTCAAGTTCTTTTGACTCGAAATTTATCAAAGCATCATGGATTTCTTCAAAATTTCAAGTAAATTTTTATGATTATGCTTATTTTGCAAAAAATTTCAAGTCTAAAGTCCTTTTATTTCTTTTGAAATCAGTTTTTGATTGAAAATACTCACAAAAATTGAATTTTCTTGAAAGAAAACCTATTCAAAAGCTGATTATTGCATAAGTTTTTATTAGAAAAAGATATAAAAGAGCTTTTTGTTATCTGGTGGTTCAGTTTAGAGATTGCGAAAAATCGCGAAAATCGCGAAATGATTTTCTGGCCAGTCTATAATACCAATCTTTTCTTTTCTTCAGATCACCTCTAAAACCTATTTCTTAATGCCAGAATTGTGTGCTTTTATTTCATTTTTATTTTTTTTTATCTATCTTTCCATATTCTCTTTCACTTTTTCAATCTCAATTTTTCAGCAGCTCGTTCGTTTCATCCAAAAATGCGATAGAAGCTCATCTCAATCTATATTCTAGCTGCAAATAGAGAATTTCTACTTTCTACTTTCTACTCTAGGGCTTTTTAATTCAATATTGTGTACAAAATTTTTGAATGATGAACGGCTTCGACAATCTTTCATTCAATCAACTTTTTGGAGGCGCCGATGAATTGCAGAAACTTCTGAATGCACAATCAAAAGTAAACACAGGTTAGTGGAAAGAAAAAAAAGAATTTCGAAGCTTTACAACAGCTTAACGAAGGTAAAAGTGCTCATAATTACGAGTTTCAGGAAATTCGGATGCTGAATTCATCACCCGAATGAGCTCGTCGAGCCCTCATTCGGATAAACTCGACTCACCCGATACGGGCATTGCTCTCGGTGATTATTCCAGTCATTCTCCTGATCAAGCCGTTTCTCGTAAGTAAAAGTTTTATTAGTATTTAGTTTAGTTTTATTAGTATTTAGTTTTATCTATTAACAGCTATAAAAATTAAAATATTTAACAATTCGTCTTTTTTCTTTAGCCAGTGATCGAGATGAGACGCCAACTTCCTTGGTTTCTCCATCTGATTCAAATGAAGAGGAGAAAATTGTGAAACAAGAGCCCAATGAGGAATTCGAAGAAGAGATACTCACTGAAGATCAAAGACTTCAAAGACGTAAGTTTTTTATCGCTTGATTGCTAAACATTTGCTTTATAGAAATCCTTCGATTAACCGGCATGGAAGTTTTGAATGGGTTCACAGAGACAAAAAGCGAAGAAATCAAATCTACTCCGTCCACCCCAGTCGCTTTCCCCAACATGATGTCTCAACTCTCGCAACATCTCTCTTCTCCACCGCCATTCCCACCTGGTTTCCAGCAACAAATCCAGCAGCTCATGGCTCAAGGTGGAGGCCCTCTACAAGCTTTTGGTAATTTTTTTATAATAGAAACGGGCATAATTTTTCAATTTAAAGGTCTGCCAACACCAAACTTTCCTGGAATCCTCCCACCCATGACTGCTTCGTCCTCTTTTTCGGCGGCTCCTCCCATCATTCCATCAATGACCGCATCTGGAGCCACAAATCCTGATGGAACTCCGGCACCACAGAAGAGAAAACGACAAAGGAGGTGAGACTTAATAATTTAAAATAAAGTTTTCGACATTTAAAATGTATTAGGCTATCCAAAAAGTCTTTTCGTTTCTTTTCGTTTTCTTTTCTTTTCTTTTCGTTTAAAACCAACTTAAAACCAACCAATTGAATTATTTCTTTCATTAGAAAGGCCAATTATTCTTCTGCAAAGTAACATTAAAACGGGTTTAAATTTTCTTATGGCTGGTTTTTTTTGGTAGCGTGAAGTCGGGTAGTCAAAGAGGGGACGACTCGATGATGTGATTTAAACACTTTAGCTTGGAAAATCTATTTTGGTGTCTATAGATAAAAGATAGAGCACAAAAAGTTAGTTATAGAGTCAAATTTTCAGAGAAATTCATTCTGCCAATTTCTGGGTAGAGGTTTTTATAGATTTTTACGAAAAACACGTTTCTTCACTCTCGAATTTGCTTGAAAGTGAACCGAAATTGACTTAAAAAGATGGAAAATTGACTAATAAACATTTTTTATTTAGAGCAAACCATAGGTTAATTGGTAGATCTGTTATTTTCTACGAGAAGGAAAAAAAAGACTTTCTGGAGCCTAATATCAAAGAGTAACCCTTTTCGTGAATTTGTTATTTTTCAACTGAAGTATGAAAAGAAATAAAAAACTTATTCACCAACTTAATATTTCAGAAACCCGGTTTGGCCGTACTTTGATGTGATTGATGGAACAGCACGCTGTAAACAATGTCTCTACTCGACGAAGAGCGTTTTCTCTACAAATCTCAAAGTGCATCTACGAAGTCATCATCGAGCTGATTACGATAAGGTAACGCTGCTTTTAAGCTTTTACACTGTAAACTTTTCATTTGCAGGTGATCGAAGCAGAGGATGCGTTGAATTTGAACGCGTTACTTCTTTCTGGGAACGCCGGTGGACTGCTTGGAGGTATTCTTAACATATAAAACTTAAAATTCGCCTTTCGACAACGTAACCTTTTGAATTGTGTCAATTCTAATAAAGTTACTAAAACAATTTTTCCAGGACGAGCTCAAAAGCGTCAACTTCCACCGATGACCTCCTCAATTCTTCACACCATCAATAAATGTGAGTCTCAAAATTCTTGATTCTTGAGTCGATTTTTTCCCCCATTTTCACCCAGTTTTTCAAGACATCCTGATAAGCGTTTACTGGTTTTTTCGAGCCCTTTTTGCACAGAGGGTTCATTGGAGTCCCTCATTCTTTTTACCCCCTCCCCCCTCATTACTTATCTTTTTTTCAATAGACAAAGTGCAAACTGGAGAGGGTTTTTGTGCGCGTTGTGACAAAGAGAGGACTGACTGCCTGTGTTCTTGAAGAGGCTCTGATATAACTTGTGAATATACCCACCGCCCCCATTCCGCTTTCTTCCCTAACTGGCGCCATCGCATTTCAATCCTTTTCCGCTTATTTGTCTCCTTACCATGGAGGACACTATATTGAAATTTTTTGGTAAGTTCTACCTTCTTATTATGAAACTTTTAAACTTTTCACTTCTTAAAAGAGTTTATTCCTTTCAAACAAAATAGCAATTATTGGTTTTGTAGTGGGGCACTTTGTTTTCTGAAATTACTCTCTTTTTTTGCTAAAAGTTACAAATTTGCGTAAAACTACAAACCAAAAAAAAGGACAATTCTATAAAATGGCTAATGAAATTGAATTTCTGATAGTAAACAAGTTCATTATCGCAATTCACCAACTTCATACAGTAGGTTTTTATGAAAGACATGATTTGTTAACGTTAAAATAACCTCGTTTTTAGTGGCAACGCAAGCCGCAAAAGGTGATGAGTCAAATGCGTTAAACAGTGTGCTTCGACAGACGCTTGCTGCCGGAAATTTGCAACAACAGGTAACAACAACAAAATTCTTTTTGAGTGCATCATAAAAAGAAACTTTAGATGCAACAAGCGGCGAAAACTCTTCCATTCAACATGCAAAACGCGGCCGCTCAACTACAGGCGAATTTTATGGGAAGACAATTGGCTGACGCGCTTCAAGGACACGGAAATCCTGTTGCCCAACCACCAAAAACTCCAACTCCAGTCCATCATCCGCAATCGCCCATTGCTCCACTACCACCGACACCTCTTTCAGGTTTAAAAAGTCAATCTTCACCCTTCTAAGCATTCATTTTAGCCGCCTCAACACCTAGCACTCCCACCACTCCAGCTCCATCCTCAGCTCCAGTCATTGCCGAGCAATTCTTCAAACAATTCAACATTTTCCCTGCTGCACTGGGTGGCCTTCAATCACCATCCCTCGAAGCACCGCAACCTAAACGTCGACGTCTTCGTCGACATCCCGTTTGGATGTTCTTCAGAGATCTCGAAGATCGGGTAAAGAAGTGAAAACTTTTAACGAAAACCTTATTTTTTTTTTAGATGGTTGGCTGTATCAGTTGCAACTTCAGAACTGGCTCCGCTTTTTCAACAAACCTCAAAATGCACCTTAAAGCCCATCACAAGGAAGACTATCATAAAGTGGGTTTACTGCCAAGTCTCTCTCAATCAACAGCTAGATGGGGTTTGAAAAGAGAAGAGTGAAATGTTTGCTAAGTTTCCGTATCAGTCAAACGCATGTGATGCAGAGGTGGCCAAACGACCGCCCGCACATTCACAAGCAGACAAAAAGTGATAAGGGAAGGGAGAGTGCGGTAAAGAGTAGTGTTGCCACCACTAGGCTTAACCGGTTCAATTTGAAGAAAGGGGATGGAGAAGGAAATTTGGGGAAAGTGATCAAAGATCATTTAAGGTGATGAAATTGGAGGATGAGATGAGAATCGAAGAGGGAATCCTGCATCCGAATAAGATCAAGAGTGAGCTCATCGATTTCATTCGAGGTGGAGGAAATGCATCACAGATCATGCCCGGAACACATCAACGTTTGTGAAAACTCAATTCACATGGAATCAATTGTATTTTAGAAACGGGATCACCAACCGCTCCTCGGCCATCTCCTCTTGTACAGCAATTCATCTCACAGACACTCAATGGTTGCCAAGCAAATAGTCACGATGAGGCTTTTGAAGGAAATCAAAAAAATGGAGCCACAGCTGATATTGTGACGTAAGTGATATTTATTATATATAAAAGAGCAGTAAAAAGATCTAGCTTTGGCTGGTATTGATAATAAGATTTGCAGTGGGTGTGCTCTCGATGAGGAGACGTTGAGCAAATTGAGCATGGGAGATCGTTTGGCTGCACTTGTCGGCGGTTTCAATCCAGCTTCTGAAGGTAACACTTGCAATGTTGTGGAAACAAATTAGCTTTCTAGAATCAACAGCATCGTCGGGAGAAGTGGCTGACAATATGGCTTCTGACTTGCTGACACGTTTGGGTTTGATTCCACCAAAGAAAGAGGAGAACGCGATGAGTGAATTGAGAAGAGCCGCTGAAAGAGTCGCCGCTGCATCAAGACCCGCCAACAGGGCTGTGTGCAATTTGGCCGATGTTCGCAGTGTTCTCACTGGTGGTAATTTGGAATTCAAAGTTTTAAAAATGAATCTTATTTAGCTTCCGATACAAAAACCTCATCATCGGCTTCGTCAGAGGGAGAAGATGTGCGAAAAAATCACAGGGATCGAGCTCTTGCAAAACTCGTTTCTCAATACGATTTCCTTCTCGGCAACAGTCTATTCCGGGTATGGTAAAGAAGAAGCTAACACACTAAACTGCATTAGGAGCATACTAGCATTGACACTAAAATGCATTAGGAGCATACTATAATTTGACTCCTCGTAATGTACTTTATTAGAATTTTCTAATATAACCTAATATTCAGGATTTCGTGCACGTGTTGGCTCCAGACTACGAGGTTCCCGAAATGGATCAACTTGTCGAATTACACGAGGGGAGTCAAAGTCCTCAAGAGCATACTGAAGATGGGCAAATTCCCATTCACATGCCAGCTCTTCTCCAATAGATCCCCTCGAAACCCCTTTTCAAGTGCCAGATTTTTTTCTTTGTTTTTTCCCTTTTATGAACTTTAGTACAAACACTTCTAACTAGCTCTTTATTCTGATGATATTTTCTGTAAACTGATGACTCTCCTATGAGAAACACAACAAATTTCCTCAAAAAAAAAAATGTGCAATTTCCCCCCTAAAAGCTCATGCGATATTGTGATGATTTTCTTTTTTATGATGAGCGCCCATTTTGCGTGATCAAAAAGATTCCGAAGTCTATTCATTAATATTTTTTCTCGGAATGTCGATGGCCATACTTTTTTTTTATGACGTTTCCCCTCACTAATCATTTGATTTGATTCCGAAAACAGAAATTCCAATAAAAATCAACCTATCACCTCTCGTCGATATTTCACTTTTCATAGAAATTTTCGCTTTGCGATTAATCTTTGCCTAATCATTACGATAGATTTTTCCTCTGTTTGTATATTTTTGCTCAGCGATTCAGCGATTCGTTTGCAATTTTTTTTTTCAATTTTTCTTTTTCAATTTATAATTTTTATATCCCCGGCTGATTTGTGTTGATTTTTCCTCTTTCTTTTTCAATCTTTTTTTTCGATAAAATTTCCTTCTTTTCTCAGGGATTCGGAGGCTAGGCAACAATTCTCTCTAAATAAAGGAAAAATAAATAACAATCCAAAGTGAAAATGCAAAATTTTTCAGAGATGAACTCCCATAGATGAACTCCCAATATATCCCATCGTTTCTTTGTGTGCACAATTGTTTTCTTGTCATATAAAAGTATCTCGAATCAGCAATTAGTTTCATAGATGGTAGATTGGATATCTGGTTGCATTGCGGCAAATAATTGCCTGGATAATGGAGTGAACACTTTTGCACACACAGAACACAAATCTCAAATATTTTTTTGTCCTTTTTCTTTACATTCAAGAAATCCCGTTTCCCCAATTTTTATTTATGGCTGTTTGGTTAGGGCCAACAATTGTTTTTCTTGATTTTGGTGGAAATGATTTCCACTCCGATTTTCCTTTTTTTTTCTCCTCACGTTCGATTTCTTTTCTTGATCAGAATACTAATAAGATTTTTACAATGCGGTCAAATAAATCTGTTAAAAAGTGCTAAAACAAAAATCACATATTTTCTAAAAGCAAAGCTTTTAGCAAGATTTCAACAAGAGACAATTGGACTTTTTTGGACAAAGGTATTGTAAGTCTTGAACTTCTGACTTCTGTCTCACTACAGTATGCCGAAATCAACAAAGTCTACTTCTAGTAAGCTGTAAGCTGTAAGCTAAGCTAGAGATATCAAACCTATTGAATACTGTAGTGAAACAGAACTACATAGTATCTTCAATCACTGAACCCATTTAGAATGCTTTATAAACTATCCGTAACTCGCTTTTTGCCTTGTCACTCGGCCAAAATTAAATCAAAAGTTATTGGGAAAAAAAACCTGCAATTTGTATCTCTATTTGGAATCAAATTCAACAGTTTGTGTAAACAAAAAAACCTCTTTTACACAAACCACTTTTTGCGGAGAGGTGTCTAGCGAAAAAACAGACTTTTCTCTGCGTTCTCCCTAGTCTTCCCATTCCATTTTTCCTTTTTTCACTCAATCTTTCTCTCTTCATTTTTTTTCTCTCACATTTCTCCTCAATATTTCTTCAAATTTTCTTTTCAAAACCCCCAACTAGAGTGTTGGCTCATTGCCAACAATGTGAGCCAGATGAAGAAAGTTTTTAACTCGGAATTTCCGACACAATCCCTTCAGTTTCCCTCTTTATCCCATTTCTAGATTAAATTCATTGCCTTTTGCCTTTTTTTGATCAGCAACTTCAAAGGGAGTATCGATTTTTCGCATGCCTCAAGCTTTTCTCCTGCAATCTTTCTTTTTCATAAACATTTTCATTTATTGGTTTTTGTTTATTCTTTTGCCATTACTTCGATTGCAGTGCTTTGGGAAAAACCTTGCTTTTAAAATTCAAAAACTAGCTTTCACTAATTGAAACAAAAGTTTTGGAACACAACAAAATTGTTTACACTTGCGCAACTTTCCAGTATGTTGAGAAATTTTGACTCAACGACTGGTGGGTTCAGTGGCTTCTGTTTACTAAGTTTGTGCAGTCGAATTTTTAAATAACAAATTAGAGAGATGAAGATAAAGTATATTTGTTTTTATTGCATTTAAGGATGAAACAGTATCAAACTATGAATCCGGATAATAACATTAATTAAGAAAGTATTCAAATAAAATATCTTTGTTGATTTCAATCTGCTGATTTTGCTTTTCGAAAGTTAAAACCCCGTAGTTTTGTTATCGTTGAGCTTTCGTCAACAAATATTTGTCCACAAATCGAAACTAGTAATCTTTGGATATCAATGTTTCAATGTAGAAAAGATATCCCAAGAAGAAACCTCTCAAATCCTCTTATCATCCAGTTTTTTTTGCCGATGAGAGTCAATTTTTGAAGCCGAACCGTCGTATTGTATGAAAGAAAAGAGAAAAGGCGAAATTTGTGTGTGTACACACGAGTACCAACAGAAAGGAAGACCAAGCCTGCTGCAAGAGATAAGCGGCGATTAGCAAACTTCTCTTCTCCTTTTCTTTTCTCCTTTCACCCCCCTCCCAACTTTTCCTCCCGTTAACATCCATTTGCATCTCTTTTCTCTCTATCTCATCCTTCTTTATTTTCCACCTTTACACTAACTTTATTCTTTCAGCCTTTTTCGAACTTTCTCAAAACAAACCCTCTTTTTAGATTATCACCTTTTAAAATCCTTTCAAACATCTTCCCATTTTTTTTTTCGTTTCCTAATTTTGGTGTTTTCATGCCGCTGATGTAATTCCATTTCCCATGCACTTTTTGCTATTTCTTTCCATTTGTGTCACAAAAATGTTTATCACTGAGATTATTGCCGTGTTTTTTTTTCGTTAGAAATTTTCTCTTTAGACATGAATGGAGCCGACACTGAGGGAGCCGCGCAAGAAAAAAAGGCTGATCGAAGGAAAGCGCCTCGACCCGAAGTGCAGGTGATCTCATCTTTTCTATCAGCTGAAATTTTCTTACTCTCTATTTTTCGTTTCCTATATTTTTTGAATAAGTATGTGGATAATGTTTGGTTCCGAGGTAGCTTGATCCACTTTACCGACCACTAAAGTTGAACATAATTGATTGTAGATCTATCGGCCGGGTATGCTGAAACAAGGAGTGGACATCACTTTGAATGCGGCAGCTCAAGATGAGGAAATCTCCAGTAAAAACAGGGGCCCTCGTCAACCACCGAGGTCACCTGGAAGAGATCGATTTGAATATAGTGAGAAAAAATGCTAAATGCGAAATGATTGTGGCTTTAGGAACTTATGAGAACTCAAATCGTCGACGGCAACGGGAAGATGCAAGGAATGGAGACTCTGGCTCAACAACCCCGGAAAGTCACCATCATGATGATTATCGAAGAACGAGAGGTGGAGGAATGGACAGGTTAATTTAATTCATTCCTGTCCATATACTCTATTTTCAGAAGGGGAAATCGTCGAGGTCCACCTTCTGAGTACTCTTACAATGGTAGTCGAGATGATTTGGCATCTGAAGCCTCTTATGCAACAAGGGCAAGCGGCTATGTAAGTCAGGAAATAATTATCGTGTATATGTTACGTTCGTTATTGAATCTATTCAATAACGGAAGCCCGGTTTTGAATTGGACGAAATTCAATTACGGACGTAACATATACAATTTTTACAGAATTCAACTCAATCTCTCCTCGAAACACGACCGCGACCTGGTGGATACCTTGACCAGAGAATCGGTCAGAAACCAAATGAACGTCCCAGAAATGATCGAGGCAATGATCGAGGCAATGATCGACAGCTTAATCGAATGAATCGACCGGTATTTTCCGAAAGAAAGACAAGATCCAACTTTTTATTTCAGCAATTTGAAAGAAACACGGATCGAGCCTCGATGCGGGCCGAAACTATGCAAAGAAGACGAGGAGGGGGAAGGGGTGTCAGGAATCGAAATGACTCCCTAAATAGCACGCAAAGCGAACGTCCGGCTAGTCTTGTTGGTTTTTGAAAAGCTATCAATTTTTAGTTCATTAATGAACTTTATTGATATATTTTTAGTACGTTGACACCAGTGATCGCTATGATGAAACTCGATCAGTTGGTGGGGCTCCATCTGAAGCTCCATCTTCGCAAGTAAGCTTAATATGCAATTAGCTTGCAATTAACTTCTTTACTCAATAACTCTTTTCGAATTTTTATTGTTAAATATTCTAGGGCCTTTCGTTTGCCGAATTGTGTGCTTCTTTCGATAGTATGGGTTCGATGAATTGGAGTGAGGTAAAACAACTTTGCCGAACGCTTATAATAGCCAGAATTCAGGTGGTTCAAGAAGATTTTGCAACTGAAAATGAAGCAGCACAAAGCAATGATGCTCTTGAGTTAAAGGTAAACGTTTCTTTGTTAAATAAAAATACATAAAATCTCAGGCGAGACTTCAAGCCTCGAATCGAGAACATGAAGGAGAGACTGGGGAAAGAAGACGAGAAAAGGCACCAAGAGGAATCATCACAAGAGGTGGATATGGACAGAGAATGAGAAGAGGTTTGATGCATAAAATGCAACTTTTAAGAACAGACGTTTCAAGATTCGGATCGTTCATCGTCTGTGGCTGATTCGATTGTCGAAGAAAGATCGGATAGTGAAAGTCGAGATGAAACATTTGGTGAAGAAAGTGAAAGAGAGGGAGAGCTTACGCCCACTCGATTGAGAAGCCCCGAGCCAAGGTTTGATCTTAATTTTATGTCGCAATAAACAACCTTTGTACTGTATGTAAAATAGTTGTCTATTAAAAATCCTCATTTAGTGAATCCATTCCCGAATTGAGCGAAGATGTGAAAGATCTTCCGAATTTACGCCCTGAAGGGAAAGGCCGTTGGAAAGGTCGAATCTCGTATGTAAATGATGATGCAATTACGAACGAGCCGACAAAAGGAGATAAAAAGTTGGAAAGTATGGAAAACATCAAGAAAAATGAAAGAACGCCAACAGAAGAGACGACAAAAGTTAGAGATCCAATGCAGCGGTTGAATAGGTGAGAAAAAATTAAAGGAAATAGTATGTTTAAAAATTTCAGACTGAAAGGTCGAGTCTCACTCCCAGCCGAGCCCTATCAACCGCCGGCTATGAGAATTAAAGGTAGAAAAGATTTTTCAAGTCACTTATCCAGTTATCCATTCATACTAGAGTCTTATAAAAGAATTTAAGAGAAAAAAATTAAGAGAATTTTATCTTCAGAAAGAAAATTTCAGAAAGATCAACAACAGCTTCATCGGATTCCACTCCACGTGCCTCAATTGATGAGAATCGCGAAAGGTGAGCGAAACAAACGCTAAAACCGGCTTTTGCTACATTCGCGGCCTTTTCTAACAAAAAAAACTATTTTTTGATTTTATTTTTCACTACTTATCTCTTTGTCAATATTTTCTTGATTGTTTGCAAGACCTAAACACTTGTCATTTCGAATGTTAGACTAATCTTTGACCAATCCTTACGTGTTTTGATGAATTAGAGCACTTTCTTACAATAATTAGCCTCCCAACACTTTACCTCTTATCCCCAAAAAATATTGATCTTTAATCGAGTACCACTACCTGTGCATAAAATTGATCTCCTAACTCTTTCTAATCAAATCACATTCCACTTTTATGTTCACGATTGTCTAATTCTTGCGAATGAATTGTATTTTGCTGTCATAAAAATATCGGTCACAAGTTATTAATTAAGTTTACAAGTCATTTGGAGAGCACGGTGAAAGAGTGATGCAATCTTTTTGCGGTTTAAAATTCGAATTGTCTCACTTCCACTCCATGCTCTGATTTGAAGTCTAACTCCAAAAATCTTCCTGAATATTTTTGGTTTTCTCTAGTAATACGATAATTTATTGCTTACAATTAACCTTATCTTTGGCAACAAACAAGACTAGGTTCACTAATGATTGTGAGAAATAATCATTCCTCTAATCTTTTTAAGCAAACCAAAATATTCATTCGAATAGCCCAATAACTCTAACTTGTGCATGTGATTTTTGTTATTTTTAGCATTCTCTCTCGCGCCACAGGAATTTCCGTGTCAATACTCCTTTTTGAATATATTTTGTGATTTTTATGACTAGTTTTGAACTAATACTGTTTATTTTGCAAAGTCTTCTTTCAATAAAAATTAAAAAATCAGTTAAATGTTTACATTTTTCAGATCACAAGAAATGGTTGTATCATCAAGTAAAGAACGAGAATCGACGAGTAGAAATGATCAACAATCGACAATGAAAGTCTTGTCGCGAAAAGAAAAGGAAACCACTGAAACGCACTCGAGCTATCAAAAAATCAAAGAACAATTTGGGGAGAAAATAACATCTGTGAGTGTTGTGTGGTTGAATGCAAGATAATCTCTTTTTTTTTGTTAGATCAATGATCAAATGGACTCGCTAATACCGCAAATTGCCGCCAGAGATGTGAGCTCAGCGAAGAAGGCTGTAGAACTGAGGTTAATATTTTATCAACATCATGAACTTTCTTGTTGAAAGGCAATAAAACGCAGTTTTATTTGTAGTCCACTATCTGTAGTGTAGATTTATCTTTTCTTTTTAGCACAAAGCTTTCTGAGGTCTACTACGACTTCCTCACCAAGGATATTGTATTCACCTTCACCATGAATCTGGAAACGCATCTATGGAAACAAGCCTATTACAAAATTATTGAATCTTTAAGAAGCGGTTTGTTTTCAATTTGTATTTAACAATTTTCTTTTATTAAGGATCCAATTCGGTGCGGGAAGCGGCAGGCAAACTTCGCGACATACTGCGAACCGTCATTACAAATGTTTGTTTTACAAATTATTGAAAAACAAAATGAATGTGTTCATTTGTTATTGGTTTGATTAAGGGGATTTCCTACTACAAGCGCTTGTTTGCCCTTTACGAGAACGAGTTCTCTTTCAAAATATCGGATGCTTTGTTTTGGCCAAAAGGATTTTCGACAGACGATTTGAAGAGCGCTCATGACGGGCCTTCACCGTTGACACGATTTGATAGTCCTCATGAAAAAGTTTGTCTGTCATTGGGGAATTTTTATTCAAGAATTGTAGGCTGCTCTAAAATCGCTATCTCGTCACCATGTTTCACTCGGAAATCTTTATCGCTACCTCGCAATCGTTGAAGCTAGCGAGGATTTTGGACGCTCGCAGTGGTATGGCATTCAATCAAAAATTATTCGACTTTGATTCTTTAGCTCGTACTTGTTCGCAACACAGATTTGGCCGGAAAGCGGGTTGGCCTACAACCAGCTTGCCATTCTCGCCTATAACATGGTTTGTATTTGTCATTGTTAGATACCTATTTTATCTGTCCTTGGTGGCGTTACTTGAACTTCAACTATAGCTATATGTAAACCCATAGTTTCAATTTATTTGATGTCACCATTTTCTTTAAAAAGTATTATTTATAATAGTGTTTTGCACATTTGCAGATGTTGTACAGAAGTCGTTTGAGCAAGCTTTCCACGCCAGTGCTCTCTGATAGAAGACAGGTCCGCCACCCACCAAATTAAAACACCCCATTTCTTACTCAAATGCGCAAAAGTCGTTTGATCAATTTTTTGCACACTAATCCGTCATATGTTGAAACCTTTGTAATCTGCATGTTACAGTCATCAGCAAGGGTTAGCAAAAAAATTTTATTTCCATCCTTACAACGTTTGCTAACTCTTGTTTCCCAGTAGCTAAATGTGTTAAACACTTTCCATTGTCTATAATTTATAATTTACTTTGCTTTTTTCCTTGCTTAACCTTTTCGTAAAATTATTGATGGGCTGGCGTGGGATGCGCATTTGCTGTTGGCTAATCCTTTGGTGCTGGAAAATTAGGGAAAATCTCATCTAAACATTTATTTTCAGAGCCGAGTCATTGATGAGACCTATTACCTCGTGAGAGCCATATCAGCGCAATTCCCATTTGAAACGGCAAAAGATCGAATGATTCAACGGTAGATTTGCTGATTAAATCTTTAAAGTTTTAAGTTTAGATTGAGTGCCATGATCCGCAAGATCGAGAAATATGAACCAGTACTTGATAAGGAGTTTGGAAAAGCTCAAGATGAGGTTTTGAATTAAAATGCTCCTTTTTGCAAAAGAAAATTAGATCGATGCCGCTTTACGAAAAGATCAACCAATTGAGATTTGGGTGCACAGGGATGGGCAAATGATGAAAAAAGAAGATGAAGAAGTTATTGAGGATGAGATTATTTCACGCATCTGTCAACAATCACCAAGCACAGTAATTATTGACTTTTTACTGAGCTAATGTGCATTCAGGTGCAACGTCGATGTGTTTCATATCTTGTCGGAGTGGCTGCAATGCTACATACAAAAATTAACTTCAATCAATTCTCTTCGGTGATTTGAATCTGAAATAACTTCATTTTCTGTACTTTCAGGTATCATCGAGAGCATTGGCGTTTCTTGCTGCTAATTTGGAGCTTGGAGATTCACGGCTATCGGCTCAACAACTTGCTCAATTATCTTCAGTCTTCATTTTTTTGGTCACCAATGTACAAACGAATAAAGAGACAGACACATTGACTTACCAGCAGCAAATGTCGTTCAGCTTTCTTCTCTCATTTTTTGGAGTCTTGTTGCGACCACTAGCAGGTAGCATTTCTTTTTTTAAGACTAACCATACCGTGTTAAGCTGCAAGTTCATCAGTTGCAAGTTGGCTTGAGAACGAAGAGTTGACACCACAAAAGGTACGGGTTACTACAATAATCCAAAGACTTTTCCGTTTAGGTCATTCGGGTATTACCTTCTTTGTCATTGCTTTCGTACTGGATGAGCAGCGCAGATGCTAAGAAAGCTTTTCGATCTATAAACGTGGTAAGTTAAAACTGATGCTTAAAGAAAGAAAACTTGAGGTGATATGAAATAGTTGTTGACGTAAATAACAAATGTTTAAAAAATTTTCTCTTCTTTTAAATTGTCTCTTTTTAGGTAGAACCATTGGTTTCACCGTTTTTCCAAGTTGATACTTGGGGATTTTTGGCTCAAATCGCAAATACCCTTGATGCTGAAGATAATGCGGGCCGCTTTTTGAAGAGCACAAGCACTGATTCCGGTTTTTTGCCTATTGAAAATGCCTATAAATAAAAGAAATTTAGATTCTGGTGTGAAAGTTCTACCGGAAATGAATTTGGTTTCATCTTTTTGTAACGTTTTCCCATCACCTCCACCAGCGCTCAATATTTCTACACATTCGGACAATTCTTCGGCGGTATTGTTGTTAGATTTTCATTCACGCTTTACATTGCATTTTAGCAACGCTTTGCTTTTCATTTCCGATTGCTAGGATTGTTATCTTTTGCCCGGTTTCTCGATGAGAGCAAATTAAGTTGTTTTGGCTTTGATCACGAAACTAAAAGGTGAGTGATCTTTAATGATGGTTTGGGAAAAAGGGATTCAGATTCACTCACCGTGGACTGAACTCCACCGATGGCGAAAGCTTCGAAGATGAAAAAAAACAGGGGCTTCTCAAAAAGAAAAATGAAGAAACAATGAGAGAAAATCTTGCTCAAAACGAAACAAAAAGGAAGAATCGTGTTCTTTTGGTAAAGCCACTACAAGTAACGTTTTCGAGTTTGGCTTATTGATTTTGCGTTTTTAGTTGGTTCCTGATACGAATGGATTTGTTGACCACCTAGAACTGATTACAAAAATTGTTTCTTCAAAACATTACACGCTGCTGGTGCCCACAATTGGTTGGTTGTGATGTTATTTTGTTTTTGATTGTTGGTTTTAGTGATCGACGAGCTCACGGGTTTGGCTCTTGCTCCGCGCCCAACTGAAAATGAGGAACATGCCGAGTTTGTTCATGCACAGGCGAAAGTGGCAGCACAGTGGTTAAAGGTTTTGTTTATTCTGCGCTGCTTAATCTTTTTTATACAGGATCAATGCAAGTTGAAACCGAAAAATATAAGTGTTTTGACATCACGCGGAGAAATGATGAAGCTCATGATGGTTAACGAAGAATCAACGCGAGGGGACCTGCGAAATGTTTGCTTTATTTAGTTTGCAATTAGATATGAGAATTACTTTCAGATAAATGATGATCGGATAGTCGAGTCTTGTTCTTCGTTTGCTGAATCCTGTATTCTACCGCCGATCACTAATGATCAAGTAAGCTGTCTTATTTTCTACTTGAAATTGAATGAAACGGAGCATTAAGGTGCAAAATCTCCCAAGCGATTCGGATGTGATTCTACGTGGTGTAGTTTTGCTGACAGAAGATCGAGGCGTTCAAATCAAAGCTTCTGCCCAAAGCATACCGACGCGTACTCTAGCTTCATTTGTGAAATGGGCGAGCTTGTGAGCATGAAAGCAAACAGGAAATCTCAATTTACTTCACGGGTTTCGGTCGGGTATGGATAGGAAGCAATCCAATCGTGTGTGTCTCCATTGGCCTTTTATTTTTGTTATTATATCAGCCGTATTCGCTGTGACTGTATATGAATGCACAAGGAGTATTTTACATTTTACATCGCATTTTGTATCAGTTTGATACATTTTTTGTAGATTAATAAGATTGATTCGTTAAAAAGTTTTTTAGTAATAAATATTACCTACCTATTTAAATCTACACGTCTTAACGTAAGCTTCAAGGCACAAGAATTAGTTTCAAAATACAGTGAACGGTCACCCTTATAGTTAGCTCCAACTCTTAGAGCGATTCTTCAAAACTCAAAGTATTCAGCTGTTCAATTGAAAATTTAATTGGTGAAACGCCAGGTTCAATACAAATTTTGACAGAAACAGGGTTCCTTTTTTGTCGTCATGGAAACAAAACGCAAAGCGGCAAGAAAACAGACCTTTTGAAAGCAATGTAAATGACTGAATAGAGATATTATATTCTGAAATTAAACCTATTCTTTATTCAACATGTCTATTGAAAGCAAATGGTTGAGAGCTTCGAGTATTTCCTATTTCATCCGGCGTACACACTTTGGGACGGCATTGTGGTTTTGCGAGGATGCTCTACGGTGGAAACCAGTTTAATAAAGCCAATGCAACATTAAAAGAAAAACCAAACCAATGAAAGATTTATGCATATTATTTAAAATGTACAGAAATTTTTTATCATTACTATTGGAGAATTGGCAAGTGAATGAAGTTAAAAAGAACGTTAAATTTAGAGAAGGACGAGATGATGAGGTCAATCTCCTTCGAGGCCTTTTACTTGTTTTGCTGGGTTTGTTTAATAAAATGAGTTTTTGTTGTTGTTGCGCATTGTTAAATTGTACTTGAAATTAGTGGAATTAAAGTTTTCACGACAAAGATTTAAGACCAAACAGCCGAGGGAATGCGACAATTGGAAACGATGCGGAATGGAGCCTTTTCCCTTGGAGCACTTCATGCATTACGATTCGCGCACATGAAAGCCAAAAATCCGGGTTTTTAAAAAAAAATGAAAGCCTTTTAATAAACCTAATTCTAGACAAAGAATCCCTAAAAGAGATAGACAACGATTTGGGAAAAGAGCAAAAGTCGGCAACCTCTGAAAACCTTTTCGGAGCTGCTCATGTAAGTTTCAAAGAACAACGAAAAAACTCTTTGTACCCCAGATTCTTTGTCTTCTCAATCAGGCATCTAAAGCAAGGACATTTGCTGAACGAGCACTGGAAAATGATGTGGAGAATCCAAAAGTATTGGATAAGAAATTGATGCCTTGAAATCTCTTTTTAGTATTTATGTGTGATGGGATGGATTGAATATCAACTGGGAAGAGATTTGAAAGCGGCACAGAAATGCTTTGAGGGTTTGAGATTTCACAAAAGATTGACGACTCTAATATCATAGATTCTTCGACAAAACTTTACCCAGACGCATTCATTGGTCGAGTGGCGCTTCTTGCTGACCGTCATGCTCCACAAGAAATGGCCATAGTGGCTCAGGTTGCGTTTTGCAAACATGTAAATACCGTATTTGTTCGAATAGAAGACCGGGTAAAGAGTATCATCGCGTACTCCTGCGTAGCAGCCCTTTTTAAAATTTCTTTTCTGCATAAAAGCTTTCAATGAAGTGCTATAGAGCTGGAAAATGGCTCAAAAATGTGTTAGCTCATGTGGTACGCGAGTACGCGATGATACTCTTTACCCGGTCTTCTATTCGAAGAAATACGGTAAAAAGAATAAATCAAGCGACTTTTACGTGTTAGTGCTTGTTTAGGAGTTATACCGTCAGAGTCCAACTTTTGTGCCTTCCGTTTTGGAAATGGCTCGAGCTTTATCGATTTCGAATCAATGGGAACAACTCGTCACTCAGCTAAACAATGCACTTATTGTTCAAGCAAGTTTTCGAGTAGAATAGCTAGAAAGAAAAATTTCAGTCCGAATGCCTGGCTGCTCATCTGCTATTGGCTCTAAATGCGGTGTGCGTCAAGGGCGGGCAAACAAATGTTTGGAGATTTTGAATGAGTGCAAAATTGTATTTCAGGTGGAGACAGCTCTGGGAGATCTTTTCTCAGCTTTTGAATCGATGGGTTAGTTAGGAAATTTCTCTAGAAACAGCTTCTTTAGAATCTCTGAATCATCAATTGGCGTATAGTCTAGCCGATCTTTTCATTCGGTGTGCGGTTCGAAATGCAACAACATCTCAGTTTTGCAGGTATCTCACTTGAAATATACTATACTAGAATCGAAAAAAATTCCAGAAAACTATTGGATAAAGCATTGGCGCTTGATCGTCGCCCTGAATATCTTGCGTTAGCTGTTCGACTTCTTATTCACAAGTTTATAAATAAAATAAAGAATAAACAACATTCATTTAGTGATGATGCAAAAGGTGGATTAGAAGTGGCAAAAGAATTGATCACAATCGGGAGTGAAGAACCAAGAGCACTACTTGGTGAGTACCAAATCTGTATAAATGTTTTTGTGACTTACAAGGGCTTAGGCTTAGGCTTACAGCTGCTTCGGTGGCCTAGTGGATAGTCTGCTAGACTACCCTCGATCTTGCGCTACAATTGCATCGAGTCAAGCTGGCTTTTTGACTGGAGACCAAATCCATCTTATAAAGTCGTCCATGGAACCTCGAATCCATTTCTAGTTTTTGCAGAACACTTCGAGATATCTAAATTTCGGACCCCTTAAGAAGCTGTCACACGCTTCCCTAAGCAATGCTACCCTGGTCTAGTGGTTAGTCTGCTAGGCGATCGAACCTGTTACATCTTTTGCCATCAAGTTCAAGTCCTTGTTAGGAATCGGTCTCTGTTATCTGGCCTGTGGTCGAGCTGCCGATGCTGCCAGTCAGTATTCATTTGTGAAAGAGGCACACACAAATCTTCGTGAGAACCCGGTACAAGTTTCTATATTTCTTTTTATATTTACCTTTCAACTGACCAGATCTTTAGCTCTGCATGTTTCTCGGAGCTTTGGTGGCGAAATTTCATGACAATTCATTTGATCAATTCTTTTCGAATATCAAAAATGTGGTTGACACACATCTTGCAAATGTTCCTGTAAGAACTTGAAAAATATCCCTTTTCAATTGGTTTTTTAGAATAATGCGTCTGGAGAAGAGTTAATAAAAGCCCTCGATCCGGCTTTCCTTGTCGATGTCGCGTTACAATTGCTCGACTATGCACCGCCATCGGTACTAAACAGATTAGAGTTTGATTAAAGAGTTTTCAAGAAACGCTATCGCAATCTTGATTAGAATGTTTTGATTAGATTAATTAAAACTTTAAGACCTGGAAATAGAGCTTAGACTCAGGCTCAGGGACCTGAGCCATTGATCTAAAGCAAGCATACCATTCATCTAATGGTATTCAATCACTAATCTTCTTGTTAGCCAAATTGGGACTCGTTTTAGAAGACCAACAACAACAACAACAAATTAATCAATTAATTTAATCGTCCAACTTTAATCGATTACGATACTTTTTCTCGGGACGCGTTTTAGAAAACGTATTAATTGCGAGGAACACACTTTAATTCTGCCTTTTCGTAAAAGCAAATTATTCTCACCTTTTAGAAAACACTTTTAATCAAGATAAATAGTTCAGTTACAAGAATTACCCAAAAAATCTTCATTTATCTAGCCAACTAAATCTCCGGATCCAATCCTCAAAGAAGCGGATCGAGTTTTGGCAGCGGTTCACGAGCATTGTCAAGGCAGCACACTATTCTGTGAATATTTAAAACTCAAATTTTTAGGCCTTACCGAAGTGACATATTTGTTAGCAAAAGTTCGCTATCTGAGTGGAGATAGCGATGGAGCGGAGAAATTGGTGGACAAGTGTCTTGATCGAAATGAGACCGTTGCTGATGCCTATCTTCTGAAAGCTCAAGTCTTTTTTGTATTAAGTTCAAATAAAATCCCCCATTACAGATTAAAGTCGAAAAAGGAAAAGTCGAAGATGCGGAGCAATGTTTGGATACTGGTTTAAGGTCTGAGAAAATGGAAATTGAAGAAAATAAGAAAATTTTAGCTTTAATTTCGCCGTCAGAGACAGTTGTTTGTATCATCTTATAAAGGCCAAAGTTTTGAAGGTGCTTGTATATTCTATAAACAGATAGATAAATCAACTATTTCTCTAGAAAAGAGGTGAACACGAAAAAGCTGTGGAAGTGCTAAAAAGCGCAGTCCGTCTACCGAGACAAGTAGGCTTTTCTAGAGATTTCTAGAGAAGGAGAAGAGTGTATCGATAAATCTTCTGTCTTCTAAGAATGTATCGATAAATCTTCTGTTCTAAATTTTAGGAGAAGAATGTATCGATAAATCTTCTGTCTCGTGGGAAGAGCGAAGACGTGAATCGCATTTCTGTTCATCTTGAACTCGTCGACTCTTTGCAAGCATTGAAGAAAACGGTGAGAAGGAAAATTTGTTACAAAAGAATAGAAATCTTTACAAAAGAACAGGAGGAGGCTGAGCGAATCATGAAAGAAGCACAAAATCAATGGAAAGGTCGACCGGAAGCTGAACAATTATTGCTCACCCATGCACAGATTCTCATTTCGAAGGGGGATGCTGATGCGGCTTTGACAATTCTTAACAGGGTATTGGAAATGATAATTCTTAACAGGGTAGCTCAGAGAAATGCTTTCCCAGGTACAACCAAACCAAGCAAACTACCAAGCTGCTCGCTTGAAAATGGCTCAAATCTATTTGGACGAGAAAAAGGATCGTCGAATGTTCACGATTTGCTATAAGTTGGTCTAAAATGTTTCATAAATTTCGATAAGTTGTAGATAATAAAAAAATTTGAATTCAGAGAACTTTTGGAAAATGATCCGAGCCCTGCTACTTATGCTTTACTTGGTGATGCTTATATGAAAGTGCAAAATGTAAGTACTCGCAATCAAATCTCAAAACTCTGTTTTTTAGCCCTCGAAAGCGATTGAAGTTTATGAAAAAGCTTTAAAAGCTAATCCAAAAGATCACATTCTTGCACAAAAGATTGGAGAAGCTTATGTGCAATGTCATTTATATGCAAAGGTTATCAAAATCGACCAAAAATCAAATCGACTAAAAACAAATGAATACTAGGCGGTGAACTATTATGAAGCGGCTGTGAAATCGGCAAAAGACAATCAAATGCGACTCAAGCTTTCCAATCTACTTTTTTTACTTGGTATTTGGAAAAGATCTGATAAAAGAATCAAAGAAGAGTTTAGGGAATTTCGAGAAATGCGAACGAGTGCTAAAGGATCCTTTAGAAAAAGAGCCAAATCCATCTGATTTGACAACAATCGCTTCTCATGTCTCTTATTGGATGCTCCTCTCAAAGCTACACTTTGAGAATGGAAATTGGCAAGAAGCTATTGATGATTTGGATAAAGTTTGTCTAAATGAGTTGAACAAGTTATTCAAGTTTAGGCAAAATCACTGCAATTGCGGCTTCTCGGACGGGGTGAAGGGAACACTCTTCAGATCAAGAAAGAGGCTGCAAAGTATGGTTTTCTTGAAAGAATTTGAAGCTTATCGTAAAGAAAAAGTGAGTTAAGAATCAATTGACATAGTAGCCTTTAGAATTTGTTGTAATCTCGCTGAACTGCACACGAATCGACGCGAGTTAACTCGAGCTGTCGAGCTGTACAAAGAGGCTGTTCAGCTGAATGAAACTGATATCAAGGTTTGGAAAAAAAGAAATAGATAAACATCTTTAACAACACTTTAGACTATACTTGCACTAGCGCAATTGTATTTAACTATGGGCAAATTGCATTTATGCAATCAACAATGCCAAGTCGCGCTCAACATTGAGAAAAACAATGATGAGGCTACATTGGTTTGTTTTAAAAGACGACTAAAAGTTGTAGAAATAAATTAGAAATAAAAAAGAAATAAAAATATCATAGAAATAAAAAGAAATCTTTATAATGCTTTTAGATGATGGCTGATTTATTATACATGAAAAATGAGGGAGATCAAGCGGTGGTTCATTTCGCGCAATTGCTTGAACGATATCCAAGTTCGTTCTGGTTTTAATAAATGATCAAGAAAGATCTGATTGATATCTAATTCAGTCATTGTAATTCTCGAAATTATCAAAGCTTCAAAATTGATTAGTAAAATCATTGAGCTAATCCAGAAATTAGCAAAATCATCGAGAAAATGACAGAAACTCAGTTTACGTTTTTGGTACACCCGATTCTGCTCATGTTTTGTCCTCAATTCGTTTTTTTGCAAAACTATACTCCACACAGAAAACACAAATTTTTAAAACCCAAAAACTGAGCTTGCAAAAGTTGATATTAATTAGGTTGATATTAATAAGCCAGAACCTAGGCCAGAACCTAAGCCAGAACCTAGGCCAGAACCTAAGCCAGAACCTAGGCCAGAGCCTAAGCCAGAGCCTAAGCCAGAACCTAGGCCAGAACCTAAGCCAGAACCTAGGCCAGAACCTAAGCCAGAACCTAGGCCAGAACCTAAGCCAGAACCTAGGCCAGAGCCTAAGCCAGAGCCTAGGTCAGAACCTAAGCTAGAACCTAAGCCAGAAGGTAATAAGCAATTCAAAATCTTAAATACTAAATACCTTTTAATTTCTAAATACTAGATGATACTCATTCTCTTTAGATCACTACCATGCCCTTGCGAGAACCATTGAACTTTCGTGGCGCTCCGGTGATGTAGATTTAGCGGAGAAACATTTAAGGTCACACTCAGTTTGAATCCCTTAACAAAAATCTTTCAGAAGAGCCCTTGAAAATAATCCCAGAGCAACCGTTGATGCTGGATATAATTATTGCAAAGGTCTTCATGAATGGTATCTTTAAAAATCTTTTAGAAAACTATTGTTATGTTTGCTCGCCAAACTCTGCGAGTCTGCGAGTTTACTCGCTTTTACTCGTTTTTACTAGCTATAAACATAATATCATTTTTCTCATAAGCTTTTCCGATATAATGTAACCAATTTTGAGGTTGGACAATTTATTCAAAAACCAGTTTAACCACGAACTAGCCCTTGACGGGTTACGGTAAACAGCTTATAAGAAAAATACCACTTTGAGGTACTCGGGTGAGCCAAATGCCTCTTTGCAAGCATTCAATCGAGCGAGGAGAGATCTCGAATGGGGCGAAAGAGCCATTTACAATATGATTGGTAACAAAAAGTTTGCAAAAAAAAAAAAAGATAAAAGCTCTTCCAGAAATTTGTTTAAACCCTGAGAATGAAGTGCTTGGAGGAGAGGTTCTCGATCAAGCTGATGATAGGTTTATAATCCTAAATTTTCAATAAAGACACACACTTTCAGCACCGACACAGCTTCGAGACAAATCGGCATGCAAACTGCAGAGAAATTTTTAAAAGTTTGAACATTTTTACTATAAAATGACTATAAAATGAGTAATTCTAGGAACTGCGTTTCAAGCCAGGCTTAGACATTAGATACAGTCTGATGGAGAATTTCATTCTTGTTTCGAGTGGGAATAAGAACAGCATGCAACAAGCATTGAACAATCTTCTTGATATGATTGGTATAGAAGGGGTAAGTAAAGCAATCAACTATTGGGTTGGTCAATTGAAAACTGCGGGACTTTGAACTCAAATTTATTCAACATAAAACCATCAATTCATTCAAAAGAATTTCCATTATTATTGACGACTTCTGCCCATTTTACAGGCAATTTGCGGATACCTCTTTCGTAGTAGGAGAGAGTCGTAGAGTCGATAGGATTTTGGTTTGTGTGTGAGACAATTGTGAGACTCAAAAATGGAAGACTGGAGAAAATCAATGTCCCAGTTTGAGCACTTTCTTCAAAAGAAACCCATTTTGGTGTCAATAGAAAAGTTGTAGAGAATCAAAAATGAGGCTTATAGCCAAATTTCCAAAAAGATACACTTAGTAGTTTCGCTTAAAATGCAAGTTTTGTGAAAGTTTCGTAAATTTGGCATTTCTTGAAAACCAGTTTTTGAATCGTTCTGAAAATTTGGATATAAGCTTGATTTTTGATTCTCTACAACTTTCCCATTGACACCAAAATGGGTTTCTTTTGAAGAAAGTGCTCAAACTGTGACATATGACAATAGCCGGCAGTTTTCAATTCACCAACCCAATATATTTAAAAGAGCAGTGTCTGTCTGTCTGTCTGTACGGGCTTTTTCTCAGCTTGCCACTAAAAAAGCTAGTCAGTGGGCACTATCTGATTCAGCTGATCAATTCATAAAACAAAATTATTTCTAGGAACGAGTCCAATCTGTGGGTGCAGTGCTGGGCGCGGCTCGGGCTTACATGCTGCTTAAACAGACTCAAAAGGCAAAGCAAACTCTGAAACGAGTGGTCGGACATCCATGGACGATCGATGATGCTGATTATCTAGAAAAATGTATGTGTTTAAGATTGAGTTTTAAGTTTAAAAGATCTAGGTTGGCTTCTGCTTGCTGATTTGTATATCAACCAAAATAAAGCTGATCAGGCAACGGCAATCCTTCGCACTGTTCTCATGCATAATGCCGTTTGTTTTATGGATTTTAAAAATAGCAAATAGCAAATAGCAAATAGCAATTAGCAAATAGCAAAAGCAATTAGCAAATAGCAAATAGTAAATGCAATTAGCAAATAGCAATTAGCAAATAGTAAATAGCAAATAGCAAATAGCAATTTGATGATTTCAAAGATTTAGAGTTCAATTCGAGCTTTTGAATTTATGGGTTTTCTGAAAGAGAAAGAACAAAAATGGATCGATGCATCGGCTAATTACGAAGAAGCCTGGCGATTGTGCAAACAAAGAAACCCAGCTATCGGTTTTAAACAAAGAATATATATAAATTAAAAACATCTTTCAGGTTATAAACTAGCCTACAACTATATGAAGAGCAAGAAAATTTTCGATTGTATAGAGGTAGAGAAAATCTTTGTGCTCTTTTCTTCAAGATCGACTTTCAGGTATGCCACAAAGTTCTTCAACAGTACCCATCATATCCAAAGATCAAAAAAGAAATCATGGATAAAGCTCGATTGATGATACGAAGTTAAATACTGTTGCTTCAAACACTGTTGCTTTTATTAAATATTCGTTTTTGAGTCTTGTATACACTGGGCACTAATAAAGCGATGGACACTATAATTAGAAGAGACGAAAAGATTCGCATCAATCAGCAGCTGATTTTGATGAGTTCTCCCTGGTGAATAGTGGTGAGGAGGATTTTCTCTCAGACAAACACAAAAGTGATGGGGGAGGATGAGGCACAGTTGGTCTCGCGTCTCATAAAATGTTTGGAGCGGCTTGATGGGTCTCCTTCTCTCTTGTTTCCCTTTTTGTGTTCCTTCTCAACTTTTCGGCCCTTCCGCTTTCCCCTCTTCTCCACTACCATATGCTAGTTTTTTTTTCATTCGATTCTTTTCATTCTTGATTTTTTCAATTTCAACTTTATCAAATTTTCAGCTTATCATGTACACTTTACTTCTTTTCCTGTTTTCCTTACAAAGAATTTGGGCGGCTCTTGATACAGCGGCTGTGATTTCTATTCAAAATGAGCTCAACAAGCACGGCCAAGAACTCGAAATGCTGCTTGAAGTGATTTATTTTAAAGTTTTTTTTGACTTTGCAAAGCTAGCTTTAGCATGTGAAAAATTTGAATGTTCGTGTGACTGACTTGGGAAGACCCGGCTCACCGGGAATCAATGGATCACCGGGTTTTCCTGGATCAAAGGGAGCAAAGGGCGATTCCGGAGAAGATGGTATGTTTATGCAAGAGATTCCAAAAAATATATTACAGGTATGCCGGGAAAGCCGGGTATGCAAGGGATTCCCGGAATAAAGGGAGATTTGGGTCCAGTCGGACCTTTGGGGCTGAAAGGCGATAAGGGAACTCAGGTTTTTCTTCACATTGATCCCATTTTATTCTTTCTTAGGGATTTCCAGGCCAAAAGGGTGATCGCGGAGAATCGGGAGTGCCTGGATTGAAAGGAGATCCCGGGCTTCCTGGAAAAGTTTCATTTAACATTTGATCTTCTACAATAACGATTAGGTTGGCGAGCCTGGGTTACCGGGAGGAAAAGGAGTTAAAGGAGAAAAGGGAGCTGAAGGATTGCCTGGAGTCAATGGACAACCTGGACCACCTGGATGGCCTGGAGTAAAAGGAGAAGATGGGATGTCGGGAAGACCGGGTATTTATCGTGTGATATTCTTTTCAGGACAAGTTATAGGATCACCTGGATTTCCGGGAAAGAAAGGAGATCCCGGTTTGTCTGGAACTCCGGGACAGTCAGGTCCACTCGGTGAACGAGGAATGCCCGGCGTTCCTGGTCCTCAAGGAATGATTGGACCGATTGGACCACCTGGACAAGTGGCTATTTATGAAAAAAAGAAACTATAGAAATTTTAGATTGGTTTGCCTGGTTTGAAAGGAGATATGGGACCTCCTGGATATCCGGGAGCAAAGGGAGATTCAGGAAAGGATGGACTCCCCGGATTGCCAGGTAAACACAGAAAAAAGCAATACTTTTAAGTAAATGTAGGTTGGTTGGTGAGCGACAAAGGATACTGTATACTTGCACTTGGCAATTGTCCTCCTTCCTTTACGCAAATCGGAGCCTATCAGGTAATCACATTGCACGTAGTCTACCGTAAATACTGTAATAGTACCCCAACCCCATAGTGACGGTGCGGAGTGTTGCGTAGTCTAGCTTTGAACGAGTTTTTCTCGACACTCGTTTATGCTACAATGCGCGCTTAGGTATCAAAAAATAGCTGAAATTCAGGGCTATTTTTTGATACCAAAGACGAATTTTTTGAAAGTATGGGTGCTTTGCAAAAAATGAAATACTAAAAAATTTTTGCGACTACGCGACTGTACGAGGAGGGTGGGGTACTATTACAATATTTACGGTATCAGGTAATCTCTCGTATCTCCACTATTTTTAGTCTCATGTCGAGAACTATCGCTTCGGTGACTACTCTCTAGTCAAAACTGCGTCGATTGGAGGAAATGAGGAGCAATTTGCGTTGAAAGTTCATGCATGTTGCCGATAAATTTTTGTTTTTATGCTCAATTTGATTGTTGCTTAAAAATACGACATCTGTTTGAGAGGAACCTTGGCGGGTCTTTGTTTCAGATTTTTGGGGTGAAACGACAAGAGAAAAGCCGATTGTTCTCTTCACTCCCATAACACCAACAGGATTAAAATAAGACAAGAACACGACCATCTTTTTCTCTTTTTAGACAATACTCAAATAAACAAGATGAAAAGTTTTCCCCAGTGATTCGATTTAAAAAAAGACCTACAACGTAGAAAGAACTGGAAAAAAAGGAAATTGGAAATTGGATTGATAAAGAAGAACTTCAGAAAAAGTCAATGTAAATAGGAAGACAATACTCAAATAAACAAATGAAAAGTTTTCTTCAGTTCAAATCGGATAATTTTTTAAAGTATGCGATAGATAGGCTTCTTTCAAAGGCTTGACGATAGGCTTCTGCGATAGATAGGCTTGACGATAGGCTTCTTTCAAAAAACGCTTCATAACTCTTTCTCAAGTACTTTCTAGTACAACTTTCTAGTAAAGCATTCTTTCTTTTGTAGGTCAAAATGTCTTTTTCGTCAAAAAGGTCCCTTGTTTCCAGGTGTTAGGAGTTTCAAAGTGCTTTGAGCGAGCATCGTCGGGGGCTAAGCGCTTAGCAGAGAGCGGTCCTTCTCGGGTCCCCCCCGCTGTCCCCTTTTCCTCGTTGACCCTCTTGGTGCCCTTCCAGTTACAGTGAGCCTTGTCTTCTCACACTGTCTTCTTACAGTCCAACCCTCCCCCCGTGCGCTCTCATTCATCTTTTGTCTTCACTCCAAACACCCAAATCGGATGGTTGAAAGGTGTTGAAAATCGTGTTACATTCTATCACTCGACTCCCCGACAACTGTTTCTTCATCATTCTTCTAAGCATTTTCACTCATCGATTATGGGATTGCTTGTAATGCTTCATTTATTCGGCCTACTTGGGCACATTTTTGTGGAAGGACTTGATTTTCGAAATGTGAATTCCCGAGCCAGCTCTCCGAGTTATGTAAATCCTTATGGAGAACTTCGGCAATTCCTCTCGTCAACTCAGGTGTTAAATCTGAATTATTTTTATAATAATTTACATTTTGTTAAAGGCTCCTCTACCGTATCCTTTTTCAAATATGCATTTCAATTTCACCGATCAACAGTTATTGATGCTAGGTTTGGCAACCGAACAGCCCCAAGAAGCCAATCAGGAATCAGTTGTGAGTTGTCATAGATAACTTGCAAGATCTTTTTAGAATTATGGCTTAACTTTGGGCGAATCAATTGGACAGAGTCTCGCCTCAGCGCATGGAACATCAATAAACCAGCATCAATTTGGAGTGCGACCATCAGCTGAACACAATCCGCCACAAGAACAAAAATGGGCAGCCGCCCCACTCGAATCCACGGTTTTTCCATCTACCCCTTCACCGCCAAGCACTCCGGTATTTTTAATAATACAATTATTCACACAAATCATGTGGTACAAACAATACGCAAGCATAACTCTTTAGCCATAAATGTAGGGGAAAAAACTATAGATATGGAAAAAAGAACCAAATATCTAGATGGCGGGATTGAACCTTTGACCTCCAGAATAAGATACAAGGCTCTTAGCCAGTTGGCTATGACAGCCATGTATATAGGAGTCAGCCGGCCATCACAACCATGTATATAGGAGCCAGCCGGCCATCATAGCCATGTATATAGGAGCCAGCCGGCCATCACAGCCATGTATATAGGAGCCAAGCCAATGCTTTCAGGAAAACACAACTCCTTTTATCTGGACAACGACAAAAAAGGCACCGAAACTTTCGAAATTTGCTACAAAGCAAGAGAAGAATGGAAGCGGACAGGCAAGAGTCAAAGTAGTGAAGAGTTTTGAAATAGTATTTTGAAAGAATTGTCTATAGACGGCGGCTCATGTATCAGTGCCTTCACATCGTTTACTCAATGATCTCTTGGTAATCCCATCACCTAGAAGACTCTACATTCTCGCCATTTTGCCTATTCATCAAAGTGCTGATTCTAGAGTGAGCTATTTCTTTGTGAATCAATTTTTTTTCTTACAAGGAAAATACAAGTAGACAAGTAAAAGGGTCATAGAATAGGTCAAAGGAAAAGAATTGAAGGAAAAGCGGATCTTCTTTTGCGATGCGCAAAAAGTGTCTCCCACTTTCTGTTTTCGCTAATGCTTCTTAACAATAGACTATTTTCGAAACAGCGCCTTTTCTTGTCTTCTTTCTTCTTTCTTCTTTCTTCTTTCTTCTTTTTCTTTTTACAACTCTCGCAAACAATTCAAGTGTAAAAAAACGAGCAAATTTCAGGGGCTTGATTGCGGAAAAGTTGATGTTGATGGATTTGTGCGATTGGCTGCGTTCTTGGACGCTTTAAATCAAGTTTTAGATATAAATTGTTGCATTGAGAGCTTTCTTTTTAGGTAAATAGTGGAAGATCAATGCGAGAAGCTGGTGAGATAATCAAGTTAATCATTAAAATACCAAAACAGGTTTATCCCTGGGAGCTGTAGTCATCGATTCTTGTCGCTCAGATTTGAGAACAGTAGCCGATTTGTTTGAGTTGTTAAGCGGGACGAATATTCATCGGTAAATGGTTATGCAAATGGTGCAAAGAGCTCCGAAATCTAGACAAGATCTGGTGGCTCTTGTGCGGGATGATGGGTCTCATATGCCGAATGTTGACGACTTTGCGAAACATCTCAAGTTGCCAACCATCAATACATTCTTTTCAAGAAGAGAACAAGTAAGAGTTTTTTGTTGAAAATTGAAATAACAGCAATCACTTTCATAGCCTTTATCAACGGGGACTTTGCCTCCAGTGACCACCCCATTAGAGGCTCTTACTTCCCTTCTTGCATACACTCACTCATCGTGTGCTACTGTTGTATATGATGATCTTTTCGCTGAGTACTCTTTTTTATAAAACTTTTTTTTATGCCGATTTTAGTGCTGTGACTGTGTTATCAGAAATGAGTATTTCGAGAGGTCTTTGCATTGAACAAAAAATGTTGCTGAATACAGCTGGATCAGCGGTTGGATCAGTTGGATCAGCGGATGCTGTTGTGAGAAAAATGTTGCTCACTGGTGAGTTTTATTCTGGCTATAAATATCAAATTGATATATGATTACGTTACTAAATAAGTATTTTCGTTCATTTTTCATTGTATTAGGTTGATGCAAAAGTCTTTTTCATTTTTTTCGTACTTCTTTTGAAAAATAACAAAGTCATCAATTAACCTATGGTTTGCTCTAAATGAAAAGTGTTTATTGTTCAATTTCCCATCTTTTTAAGTCAATTTGGGTTCACTTTCAAGCAAATTCGAGAGTGAAAACGGGTTTTTCATAAAAATCTATAAAAACCTCTATAAAGAAATTGGCTGAATCAATTTCTCTGAAAATCTGAAAATATATCTAACTTTTTGTGCTCTATCTTTTATTTATTAACATCAAGATTGGTTTCCTTAGCTAAAGCGTCTAAAATGCATCATCGAGCCGTCGCCTTTTTTGACTGCCCGACTTCAGGCTCTCAAAAAAATCTAGACATAAGACATTTTAAACTCGTTTTAATGTCATTTTGCAGAAAAATAATTGGCCTTTCGAATGCAATAAACCGTTGTTCAATTGGTGCATTTGTTACTTTTTAACGGAAGTACGAAAAAAATGAAAAAGACTTTTGCATCAACCTAATAAATAACAAATTCATCAATTAATCTATGATTTTAATAAATAATTGTCCTTTCTAATGAAACAAACAATAGATTAATTGATGAACTTGTTATTTTTTTAATGAAAGTACGAAAAGGAGCAAAAAGATTTATTCATTAACCTAATAATATCAAATTTTCAGAGGCTCGAGTTGCAATTGTTCTGCTTGGAGAAGGGAATTGGCTTCAGTTGATGAAAGCTTTCCGAAATGAAATGGTTACAATCAAATTTCTCCTTTATACAAAAGGTGATCGTTTAGGTGATCGCTGGACGGTTCATCATTTTCTCGATTCAAGATCCCAGATGGCAATCAGCTAAAGTAGGCCAAATACATAAGAAAATTCAACGTTAATTCATCCCATTTAAACACAAGCTGTCCTTCAGGAATGGGCAACCGCTTGGCCACATTTTGATCAACTCTTGGTCTCGGTGACACCACGAAAACCGGCACAGGCCATGTATTTGCATCAACTTGCGCAACTTTTTCCAACTTTTCCATTCCCTCAAGTGAGCAATTTTTGGGCAACACCCTTGAGGTCAATTATTTAGCATTGGTTGCGACAGTTTTGGTCAACCGCTTTCAAGTGCCACATTGAAGGAGAAACCGTTCCAGGAGAACAGTTTTCCAAGTATTCTTTGCGTCGATTTTCTGAACACTGAACACTTAGGGAATGCTCGCATAAACAACAGCTCAATATCACAAAAATCTCACCCGACATTGACGTTTCGCCGATTCAGGTTAAAGGAGAAGTCTGAATTAGGGCCGATTCTAAAAGCAAATTATCTGCAAATAGGTGTACATGTCGTAGCCGATGAAGGATTTCAGCCGAAGACGTCTCAAAAATGAAATCTTGAGTTATGTATTGACTCAAGTCAGTACTACAAACTCAAGCTCTCTAAAAGGCGCTTAAAAGCTAAAAACTGCAACTAGAATGCGTTTTTAGCTTTTAAGCGCCTTTTAGAGAGCTTGAGTTTGTGGTATTGACTTGAGTCAATACATAACTCAAGATTTCATTTTTTAGACTTCTTCGGCTGAAATCCTTCATCGGCTACGACATATATATTCTGATGGTTTTATGTAGAAATGAATAGCACCAATCGATTCCTTGACCCTTGAAAACCGCCAGGTACTAATTTACAGCTGAATACAATTTACAAATTTTTGCTTGTATTTTCGCTGCAAATTCGACATCCTTCTAAACGAAAACTAGCCGTACTCAAGATTGTTTAAACAACCTCTAAAGCTGATTTTATCTTTTAATATCTGATAAATTATTGATAAACTGATTTAATTTAATCATTTCTACATAAAACATCAAAAAATTATATACTACATCTAACTGCCGATAATTTGTTTTTTTTTGAGAATCGGAAACAAAACTAACAATAAATCCCTAAATGAAAGCACCGCCTTTCTAGATTGCCGTTCATTCAGTGGCATATGCCTTGCGAAAAGTTGTCGACACTGTTTGTCCTGGTAAATTGATGAATAAAAATTTTCTTAGGTGCTTTTAGGTGCTCTCCTTTCCACGTTGAATGATTGTTTAAACGACCCATCTGATGCTATCTTTTCTTCGATTCTTGGCCTCGACTTTGTGCACAATCTTGTTGAAGGAGGTCTCATTTAGTCATATTTTTTTCTTTATTTTAAACCAAGGAGTGAGATACAATGTCTCAACTAGACACCGCGATCAGCCGCTCATTCTGAATCGAGTGCTTTTCACATCACAGGTTTGAGTAAATCAGATTTAAGGTAATAATTGATTTCAGCTCGAGCTTGAGCCGATTGCCACTTGGGATTCACTGAATGGATTACAGTATACATCACCGGTTGAGTTGGTGATGGAAGAAAGAGATGGAACACGAGTACCTCTTCGGAGTATTTGTCCGAAGTGGGTCTAATCTAAAATCGAATCTAATTAAAACTCAAAAATAATAGATCTGCTTGCTCAACGGAAAGACGACTTCGTGTGCTTTCTGGTTCAATTCCTTTAGTGAGACAATCTCTGGAATCAGTTCCACTTGTCGTGTTAGCAGGTTTCAATTCAAAATCATTTATCGATCATCAACATTTTAGTGGTTGCTGTTGTGACATTCATTGTTGTCTTGATGTGCATCTATTTGAAAGCAATTTCCTCCCATAGTGATATTTTTACATCGTGCACAATTTTCTCCTTTAGCGGTTGTGTTTGTAAATTGTACTAAAAAACAATATCCCTTTAGGTCTTTGCATGCTTTCCCTCGTTTCAATTTTCTTTTTAATGCAACCAAATGTTTTATCATGTGCTGTTCGAAGAATCGCTTTCTCTGTCTCTTTAGCTGCTACCATTGCCCCTCTTTCAGTCAAGGTATTGTTCTCATCAAGGATTCATTTTAAGACAAATTTCTATACTTTATCAGCTAAAAAAACATACCGTAAATACTGTAATAGTACCCCACCCCCATAATGACGGTGCGGAGTGTTGTGTAGTCTAGCTTTGAACGAGTTTTTCTCGGCACTGGTTTATGCTACAATGCGCGCTTAGGTATCAAAAAATAGCCCTGAATTTCAGCTATTTTTTGATACCAAAGACGCATTTTTTTGAAAGTACGGACGCTTTGAAAAAAATGAAATACTAAAAACTTTTGCGACTACGCGACTATACGGGGCGGTGGGGTACTATTACAGTATTTACGGTAGCAAGTATGAATATTGTTCTTTAGTCAATATTCGTCTGGCTTTCTGGGCTTTCACCAACCGGTAATGCTGTCTCTCGTTCTCCATCACAAATGTTTCTCGTTTCATTTGGACTTGTTCTAATTCAAACAGGTGAATAGCTTACTTTTCATTATGATAGAGCTGTTCAGTGATTGCCGTTGAATGGGCATGGTTTGAGTCTCCAATTGCTCTATCTTTTGCTACTACCGCTAAAGGCACTGCTTGGAGGTGTGCGCCTGGAGAAGAGGTACTATTTTTACTCTGTTCACAGCCATTCACTCAATAGCTATCTACCATATTTTTCCTAATAGTATAACATGTCCAGAGGAGCGTTGCGTAGTCGTTTTTGGCCTCGCTAAATCACATCAACCTCTGAACCGATTTTGTTCGGGTTTTTTCTAAAAAATGGCTGTCTCATTTCTCTAAAAATGATTAAATGCGGAAAAAACGACTACGCGACGCTCCTTTGGACATTTAATACTATTAGAAAAAATACGGTATATTGAAACTTAGTTCGAGACAAGGATGACTACATCTTGTGCTCTTCCGGGCTTAATGTTACTTCTTGGATTGTTCTTCTCTCTTGTTTCTATCAAACATTCACACAGTCGACAAGTTGTTTTGATTCTATTTTGCAAAATAAATCCTCTTTCAGAATGTTCTTTTATGTGTGCTTTCATTGTTTTTTGCGGTCAGTCTTTATCTCATTTTGCCCCTTGTCAACTTTCAACTCAGGGATCAAGTTACAACAGCTGGTAAGTTTAAAAAACAAAAAAAATAATTAAGGTTAATAATTTTAGGAATTCTTTTATATATTTACCTCTTTTTGATTATCTCCTTCTGTCGTGGGGCTTTTTCGAAAGAGGACGATGCATCACAGGTGAAAAAAAGATGAATTCACAAGAATACCATAGTTTTAGACCGGAACACTGGTTGGGAAAAAATCGTTTGATTCTTTCAATGAGCACAATGTAAGTTGAAAATGTTTAGAGAAAGCACTTTAATTTTAGAACACAACTTATTGGATCTCTCGTGATGCATTAATGTCCCCAACGGGAATGACATCTCTTCAACGAATGCCGCCCGCAATTCAAACCAACGATTCTCTTCATCGTCCACATCATCTAACTCATGGTGACATTTTACAATAATTTTACAATTAAATCTATCGTGAATATCCAGCTCTATGCAGTTATCAACAAAATTCTAGCAAACTTTACGAGTTATTTTCAGATGGGGTTACCTCGACTCTACCAAGACCGATGTCTGCTGTCAATGGGAATTATACGGCTACTCTGATGCGCCCGAATGGAGTCATTGGTACCATTGGTATAAGAAAAATACAATAAAAAAAAGGATCAAATTTTAGAACCGACACAAATGAGGAGAAATTCAATGTCAATGGGAATGCAAACCGTGGGAATGGGCCCGATGATCCATCCGCTACCACAACAGAGAATGTCGCAACTTTATGGTGTTCATGGATATGGTTTCTTTTAATTGTCAAATATTGGTGGAATTTTATGAGAAGTGTATTGAACATCGGTTTTAGAAAACCTTTATTGTCAGCAACGATTTTGAGATTCCATTTAGAGTCAGAACCCCGATCGGAACGAAATGAGATGGCAACAATGCAACGTGCACACAAGAGTCAATTTCAAGAATATGGTAAGAAAAAAATGTAAACCATAAAATTGTAAACTTTAGTCGAGGAATCAGGACAACTATAAACTCAACATTTGAAATCGTTGCTTCGAATAAATTCTCTTTATTATGCTTTTCTTTTGTTCACCAAACAAAATAGATAAAAAAATCTCTATTTTTGACCCGTAAAATCATGAGAAAAATTGAAAAATCTAATGAAAAAATGTGATTGTAATGGTTGTAAATGGGAAAACAAAGAAACGGTGAACTTCGAGAAGTAAACGACTATCGAATCTGAAAATTTTCCTTGAATAAAATGCTTTTTATGAAAACACTAACCATTTTGTATTTGTTCTGGAAAACCTGAGAAACAAAGAGGATCGGAGAGGCGACGATGCTCATTGAGGATTCATCCTAAAATTCTTTGTAAAATGTATTTGTTAGACCGAAATTTAAATGCTAGATATTCATTCTTTGTATGCTTTTGTACTCACTTCTATCGAGTTCCCCAAAATTGCTTCAAGCCTCTTTTGGGCGACTCCTCGTTGTTCGACAAACTCAAAATAGTCACTCGAGTTAGCGAGACCTCTCTGAAATTTCATTTTTGAATGAATTTTTGATGAATTTTGAATTTAAAAGTTTTTATTTTCAGTTTGCTTACCGTGACTAAGTCCCGAAAATGTTCGGGGATTTCCGGTGGCAACTTGTGGCGACTTTTCCTTTCTGATTTTCTTCTAAAACAAAGCTTTTTATATTTTGATTTTGAAAAACAAAACTACCGTCGAAAAGCCGCTGAAACGAGCTCCTCATCAGCCTCTTGGATACCGACAATCAATGAGAAGAAAGCGCCAATACGCATAGTCAAAATTTGAACTAAGTACAAGAAAACCCTCTGGGCAAGCGTTTGGCCTTTCAGTAGACATCACCGGTGATTTATACGTGTTGTGGAATTGAGTGGAAGCTTGATAAGAAAAAGAATACATTGGCACATGCAGCAATTTCCCTGACAAATCGGCTGACTCCCTGGAAGTGCTTTGTCGAAGTCTGAGCCCATTTTAGCGGCCCGAGTTCCGAGCTTTGTGAACACCGCCCATCAGATCACTGATAACTGAAAAATGCTTTCTTGCCAAAAAGAGCCAATTCACATGAAAAATCGGTGATCAGGTGGAAATCGCTACTTTGTTCCCAATTCACACAACAAAATGAGTTCATTAAAACTAGCAAAAGATAAAAAAATGAAACTATTTTAAGGCTTTTATCCAATTCTCCAAAAACAAACAAAAACATGATCAAAGTTTAGTTTAAATTAAAATATGCCACGCGATCACTACACGTTGAATACTTATTTGGCTAATTGTTTCAAACCACCTGGATGATTCATTCAGTGTGAAAAGCAAAAGAACACATAATGTTCAAACAATATCAACATCAATCAAAAATTCGCATAAGTACTAAATGCAAACATTCAATGGGACATCCCATCCCATTCCACCAAAATCTCGTCCCACACCCATGTCTATTTCCTATACCTTAACGATTGAGGAGTAAACGCAAACAAGACATAATGTTTCTCTGACCAGTAGATCAAAATTTTTAGACTCAAACCGTGTCTCATTATTTTTCCAAACGTTTTTGAACTCCCATTCGAGATTTCCTAACAGTCCCTCTCTGTAGAATGAAAATACATGCGGGGCTTCCAACATGAAAAACGAGCGAGGCCTTTTTACACGTGGACTAAGTGCTTGGTTGTTCACAGCCACGTCGTTATTTTTTGCGATTTAGCTTTGCCTTTAACGTCTTCAAGTTTTCTTCTCTTTATTAAATTTATGCTTCAGGATGCAGACGAACAGTATCGGCAAGATCTTCTCTCCTCGAAATATCAAACGATATCTTGTTGGTGGCGGTTTGTTGTATTGTGTGGCAAATACAATAGGTGAGATCATGTTTCCTTATTTTAAATCACCAGTTTCTTTAGGGACGCATATTGGAGAATTCGTCATATGTTCTGGACCTTCAATGTATCCAACGATACACGATGGTGACTTGGTGATAGCTGAACGGCTTTGTATGTTATGTTACGGCTTTCTTGCCAAATTATCTGCTTTAGCGGTCAGTCTCTTTAACGGTCAAACTTTGAAACGGGGAGACATCGTTGGATCTTTGAGCCCGTACGATCATACACAACTTTTATGTAAGAGAATGGTTGCCAAGGTAAGCGTGATTCGTCATATTCTGAAACAGTCTTCTTAGGAACGTGACTTTCTAAACGAGCAATTGTTACCGTCACGCCGAGTTCCATTGGGCCATGTTTGGCTGGAAGGTGACAACACTCATGCATCGACTGACTCACGGCATTTCGGGCCAGTGCCTCAGGGATTAGTACAAATTCGACTAGTACTTCGTATTTGGCCGTTGAATCGAATTGGTTGGTTGAGCACGCATTGGTTTTGGGATGAAACAAGTGACGCTGAAGCACAACCTAAACGGATGCGATAGGACATAATAAAGTTAATATGTGTTGTAGTTAAATGTAGCTTTTTTAGTTTCATAATTGTTTCTTGATCAATAATGCTTTTAAGGGATCTTTTTTGGCTCACAAATTAAATCGGGTTTCTGGTGACCCAGTCCAAAGGTGATATGTTAGTCGGTGGATCATAAACTTTCATCAATAATACCCTTGGATTGGTTTACTTTTTAAGCGCTTTTAATTTTATTAAAGGTGTCAATACATTTCGTACGAATAATTTTTTATGGCAAAATCAAATATAGAAATTTTGAGCAAGTATTGACATCTTTGATAGCACAAGTGTACAAATCTAATGTCTGTCGTGTTTTACTTGCTATTTGAAATATTTTTATTAAAATGATGAAATTAATAAAGTTCTTCTTGTCTGTTTTTATGCTGCATTTTGGTCTTTGACCATTACTTACTTACTTGTATCCCAGTCTTTTCTTGATGCTTTTACGAAGTGTTTGTTAAGCAAGATCAGCTTCTGCTTGAACCTACTCAAGTGGTTTGATGGCCGTAAACGGTATTTTTTTGGTAACTCATTGTATCTTTATTTTATTCTAGGCATTTATGTCGTGCTGGGCGAAGCGAACGCGCTAATTGCTTTGTTGAAGAAAGCTCGACGATATTGGCATTCAGTACAAGTATTAATTTGTACATAACTTAATTTGCTAAACAGTTATTTTAGGCCCCGACCGTTCTAGAAGATACAGATCCATTGCTGCGAAGCCTCGCTGACCTTAAGGATGTTTTGAACAACGTAAGTTTAAAAATCTAAGTAATATGTTATTAAAAGCTTTTTAGGTGAGCGCACTTGCTGATGTTGCTCCACAAGCTTTTCTCTCACCGTTTCTCGAAATTGTTCGCTCTCAAAATACCAATGGTCCAATAACGGAAGCCGCCTTGGCAGCTGTCGCTCGATTTTTGAACTATGGGCTCATCGATGCGCACAGGTTTTTTTAAAGAAAAGCACAAACAAGAAAAAAAACACTTGTTTTGTTTAGTATTAAATCTGCACAAGCTGTTGAATCTATCGCTCAAGCGGTCACACATACAAAATTTATTGGTGGAGCAAATGCTGGAAGCGATGAATGTGTGCTCTTCAAGATTTTGCAAGTATGCGTTGAGTATTTGCTGAGAAACTTCATCTTTAGGTTCTACGATCGCTGCTTCTTTCGCCAGTCGGATCACTCCTTTCAAATGAAGCTGTTTGCGATATGATGCAATCGTGCTTTAGAATTTGTTTTGAGCAAAACCTCTCTGAAATGCTCAGGTTTTGGCCATAATTTTATTTGACCTACAAATTTTTCTTTAGAAAAGCGGCTGAGTCAACTCTATCTGACATGACTCAACTAATCTTTGCACGTCTACCTGATTTTGAAGAGGACATTCGCCACCCGTACATTCGTAAACTTGTAAACTGTTTCTGGGGTTCGTGATATAATGCAATAGTATAGGTTATGAGCGCCAAAAGAGACAAGCGCAGACGCCGAAGGAGAAGAAAATCAAAAATTGATGTCAAGCAAAATGATAGTGAGGAAGAGGTTTTTCTACAAATATTCAACTTTGATTACATGATCGAATTAGGTTGATGCGGAAGTTACCGAAATCAATGAGGCAAAACAAGAACTCGATCAAGTAGTGGACGAACTTTCCAGGCCAAGAACAAGCTCCCAACTCATGGTGGATCTCCACGCTACCGGAATGGGTTTGTTTTTAGCAAAATGACCTAAAAACGATTCTTACATAGGGTATGCTGTTGTTTTAAATACTGATGAAGCGATCGACATAACAACAAAGTGCGATGAGGGTTTGCAAAGCTGTGAAGGTTCAAAAGAAGCAAAAGAAGGCGAAGTTTTGGAGAGCAGTGAAGCCGATCACGTTAGTTTTTAAGCAACTTTATGGTTATTATATGTTTTAGAATGTTCCATTAATTTCTGCGCTTCGACGTGAACGCCACCATTCTCCGCAGCATTCGCCCAGTGATGTATCTACTGGTGGAGGAGTCCTTCAAATGCCTTATGGTCTGCCGTGTGCCCGCGAATTGTTACGGTGAAGCAAATTTAAAAAGTTTTTTTGACACCGTTGTTTTAGGTTTTTGATCACTTTGACGAATCCTCTGGATAGACATAATACGGAACAGATGATAGTTCTTGGGCTCAATTTATTGGTTAGTTTATTTGTAGCACCAAGCCAAAATTCTTTAGATTGTCGTTCTTGAAGCCTCAGCGGACCATCTCTCAAATTATTCACTTTTTCTTCCACTCATTAAAGATGAACTTTGTCGCTCTCTTTTACAAGTACTTTGGCGTTTTATAATGTTTTTTATGGAGCATTTAGCTACTGGAAACGGAGAAATTGCCAATTTTGGCTTCGACTTCTCGAGCTTCATTTTTGCTCTTTGAAAGCTGCAGAATACACCTGAAATTCCAATTGGAGGCCTATTTCAATAAGCTACGAGCTATTGTAGTTTCTGAGCAGGTGAATTGCTTGTTTGGGGTATTTTACCTTTGCCAACATTTAGACATCCGTTTCATACGAAAAGAAAGAGATTGCACTTGACAGTATTGTGCAACTGTGGCGTATACCAGGCCTCGTTACGGAGCTTTATCTCAATTACGATTGTGATCTCTACTGCAGGTAAATGAGCAAGACTTTTTGATTCATGCCTTTTGATTTAGCAATATCTTCGAAGACTTGACAAAACTGCTAGTCGAGAACGCCTTTCCACTTCATGGCCTTCAATCGACTTCATTGCTTTCTCTAGAGGCTCTATTAGGTGAGTGTGTTCGATTGAAATCCCTTAACAAAAAAATTAGTGGTCATTGACAACATTGAGCAAAATTGCGTCTATCGAAATGCTGGGAGTCTTCCACCCTCTGGCGTCGAGTAAATATTCTGCTTATGATATTTGATCAACTAATTTAAGCTGCAAGCAACCAGTTCTGCAACGCCCAATTTTAAGCGGAATGGAAAGTGCTCAACGACAAACCAATCCTGGTCAAACTGGTGTAGACATCGAGGTATTTTTGCACTGAATTATTCATACGTATTGTTTTTAGCTACTCACAAAGTTATCATCGCTCCGTAAATTCAACCGACATGCTGCAATCAGCTCCCAACTTTCCATGAGCAAAGTAAAATCAGCTCACCTTCAGTTGATATTTTTTAAAACTTTAGATACTTGAACAGAAAAAGCGAAAGCGGATTATCGCGGAAGGTACCGAAGTTTTCAATCAAAGCCCAAAGAAAGGTTAGTGATAAAGTTATTTTTGAAATTTACGGTTGTTTAAGGAATCGAATTTTTGCGTGAAAAGGGACTTCTTGGAGCCGATCCTGAATCGATGGTTGACTGGTTAAGAGAAAATCCGCGCCTTGACAAGAAAATGATTGCAGATTATATCTGCAGCCGAAAACACGCTGCCGTATGTTTACTGCTAGTTTTTCCAATTAACAAGTCAAATTTTAGGTTCTGGAAGCTTTTGTCAAATCGTTCTCCTTTGAAGAAACTCGCCTTGATCAAGCGTTGCGAATGTTCCTTGAGACTTTCCGACTACCAGGAGAAGCCGCCGAGATATCTATGGTCATGCAGCACTTCTCTGGTTTGCAAGAAACGTTTCTCTGTTTTAACACCAGTTTAGATCACTGGTATCGAGTCAACAATGAACCGTTCAACCATCCCGATGCAGCGTTCACATTATCTTATGCAATCATCATGTTGAACACCGATCAGCACAACCCACAAGTAAACTTTATTTTTGTGGTTATTCATTGGATACTTTCTAGGTTCGTCGCAATCAGCCACCAATGACAGTTGATTGTTTTAAACGAAATTTGTCTGGGACCAACGGAAAAGCAGATTTCGATTCTCAGATGCTTGAGGATATTTATGCTGCCATTAAGTAAGTATTTTCTTCGTTTTTTTTTCATTCATTGCTTCAGGACTGATGAGATTGTTATGCCAGCTGAGCAAACCGGTATTGTGAAGGAAAACTATATGTGGAAAGTCAGTTGTAAAGTTGCTGTATGTATTTGCAAAAGGGAATTTAGGTACTTTTGCGAAGAGGTGAATCAGGCGAGGGAAATTTCACGCATGCCCCTATTGGTATTTAAATAATATTTTGAAAAAACTAAAATTTTTAGGCTGGAATGATCACGATCTATTTGCAATAGCTTGGGGTCCGGCAATTGCAGCATTCTCCTATGTCTATGATAAAAGCCAAAATGATATCATCTTACAAGTGGGTTTGAACTCTTTTGCCAAAAAGACTAATAGCCAATAATTTTTAAAGAATAGTGTTTAGAAAGCGCTGAATGGATATCGCAAGTGTGCCCTGATAGCTGCGCATTATGGAATGTCCGATGTGTTTGATAACTTGATCATTCATCTTTGCAAGTTCAGCACCCTTATGCCAAAAAGCGAAGGTAAAATTATAATATTCAAATAGTAATATTCAAAGCACTTTATTAGGTGTTGGTGAAGAGACTCTCGAATTGCAAAGACAACGATCTGCTGGAAGTGAGCTTTCGCTCCAAGATACACCAGAGGCTATAGCAATTCGATTTGGGGAAAACCAGAAAGTAACTTTGGAGATTGTTTGGAAACTAGTATTTATAAATAATTTAGGCCCACATGGCAGCTCGCGCCTTTTTCGAGCTCGTTCACAATCACGGAGATATACTGCGAGAAGTAAGTTTTTTGTAAACCTCTTTCTAAAAGTCTCTCTTCGAACTGTCCTAATATTTAAATTTCAGGGTTGGAAAAACGTGATCGAATGCTTGATCCAACTATTCCGAGCCCGCCTTCTACCGCCAGAACTCACAGAAGTGGAGGACTTTGTCGATCCAAAAGGATGGGTCAGCCTGATTCGAGTTCACCACAAGTAAATATTTTTTATTTTCTAACAATAAGTTTACACAAATCTCAGACAACTGCCGATTTCTCGCTCAGAAGCCGGTCTTCTTTCATGGTTTGGACTTGGCGGCGGCTCGAATGAAAGCCAAGGTGTAAAAAGACCTACTGCGGAACAAGAAAACTCAATCAAGGTTAGTCAATAATTCAACAAAGGTTAATTTCATTGTAGACAGCGGAACAAGTAATTCATGATTGTCGTCCAGGGCAGCTAGTTGGCGATAGCAAATATCTAACTAACTCATCGCTTTCCGAATTGCTTTCGGCGATTTCTCAGGTTAGAACTCTCATATTGAAAAAGTAAAACATAATGTTATATCAATGCTTTAGGCCAGTCATGCAATCGTTCAACACGCTGATAATGGAATGCAAAATCCTGTTCGGATAGAACCGCTCTCACCAGTCGATGAAGATGCTTTGGTGTTCCATTTGGAGACGATTGTTAACATCACTCAAGAAAACAAGGTTTTTTTAAATCTTATTAACGCAAAGTAAATTTAGGATAGAATATCAATGGTTTGGCCGGTGTTACGACGTCATATTGATTGGCTTTTGTCGAAACGTTTTGGAAAGGTTGGCTAACCTTCTTTAATGGAATAAAACATCTACTTCAGAATCCACTTCTTGTTGAACGTGCTGTAGTGGGGTTACTTCGTGTGATCAACAGAAATTTGTTCCGTGACACTGAAGTTACAACCAAAGAAATGCTACTATCACTTACTCTGATATTGGTGTCTTATTTGTCTTAAGTTGTTCGTAAGAAAATTATTTAGACCCTACCGCCACAAGCTATTTCCATTCTTTCAAAACAAATTGCTTACGGACTACACTCGTTGATTCAAAACAACGCGGCAAATATTCACAACAAGGTTGCATTCCCTCTGTTTTACGGGTTAATAATTATTTCAAGGATGATTGGAACATTCTGTTTTCATTATTGGAGGCTTCGGGTGCTGCTGTGCTTCCTGAAGATATTTTCAATGAGGTAATAAATTTATCCGGGCGCTGATGAAATTGAATTTAGACCAGAGCCGGCATGCCAGAACGTAATGCTCATAGCGACGGAGAGTTAATGCTAGGTCAGTTTCCAATAAAATAAGTCAATATAAAAAGACAGACGTTTACTATGACTAACAAAAGCATTTCATATTGTGCTATTAATTTCTTTTTCTTTAGCAAAACCAAAGCCTGAATTAGAATAGCAAAAGGATTATTTTAAGCAAATCGAGACGAGCATAGTTTTAGCATGACACTTATTTTAATTTTACGTTTATAATATTGATTCGTTTATGATCATTTTCTGTATTCGTTTTGTCTGTGTGTTTATGTACTTATTCCGTGATTTTTCTGTTTAAATGTATGTTCGAGAATAAAACGAGGAGACGAGGCCTATCGAGAGACCAAACGACTACTCAACCGGAAAAGAGCTAATACTACATTTCTGTGACATTTATTTTCAAAAATGACTGGATTTTTTGTTCTTAAAACGACGGCTAGTAATTCACTACTGTATATTTGTTTGTTCACCTATAATTTTTCCTTCACACCCACTGGGAAAAACTTTCGCATTCACATCTGTTTCTGGAGAATCAATAGTGTCTCAGCGAGAAGTCAAAAACTCAAAGTTCATTTTCTATATAGGCTTGCTTTGTGAAAAAGCTATCTTTAATCTGTTTACGTCGGATCAACGAAGTTTGATGCAGATTGAATATTGAAATGCTCGTTGGTTGGAACAGTAGTAAACGGAAATAAGCCAGCTTCGGACAATTTCGTTACTAGAAATACGATAAAATTTATGAAAAGTATCAACTTATCAACAGAAATATCAATTTAGATGCATCAGCTGCCTCATTGGCCACTGGAAGTGACAGTGCTCGTGGTAGTACACAAAACGTTCATGAATGGATCCATCTTGATCACAAAGATGGTAAAATGAGGCAACTTTGCTTTCTTGAATACAAAATATTTCAGCCGCCCGAGCAACAGAAGATGCCTTACGTGCCGTGTTGGCACCCCGAAACGCCTACAATCATAGTTTCCTTGTTTTGAGAACAAATCTAGGCCGTCATGAGCCAGCTGCTTTTCTAAAGGTCTGCTCACTAGCTTAAAACTCTAAATTTTGCCAACTCCTTCATTAAATTCTTATTAGGTCTGTGAAACACTCTCATTTCTCTTACGAGACGCAATGCATGTGACACCTGATAACTTCGAGGCGTGTGTGCATTGCTTGAGAACGTTTATCGAAGCGAGTCTTGATGGAGGAAGGTTTGCAATGTCACAAGATCGAAAAAACTTTACAAAACCTTTCTAGATATGCTGCTGGCCCACTTTCCGGTGATGCTCAAAATCGTTTACATTCGAGTACGAGTGGACGCAAAAATGAACGAACAACCCATCATAAAGAAAAGGAGATGAGCACCGAGGTAAGACTGAATTCCTTTTTTGAGAAATAAAAATTCAGGTGGATCCCGATGAGAAAAGTGGTAAAGAGGAGGAGAAACAACTCAGCTCTAGCTATGCACAAGTATGAGAGATTATTTATGAATCCAAAAATTGAAGAAATTTTAGTGCTCACATTTACTTCTCGATTTATGCCATCAATTGCATGATAGTGCGCCAACGATTTATCAAAAATGGGCTAAGGAGGGTGTAGGTATGATAAAAGGAAAAGGTTTCATATCAAAAAATGTATTCTCAAGTTGATGCATCAACAGCGACTGTTTGGCCGACTATTTGGAAGCCCCTCTTGCAGGCAATGGCACGTCTAGGATGTGATTGTCGACGACAAATTAGAGCAGCAGCTATTAATTATCTTGTGGTAAGTTGCGATAGCTAGTTAGCGAAAAAACTTACATGAATTTCTTTTCAGCGGGCTCTTTTGATTGCCGACCTTCAAGCGATGAGCGCCATTGAGTGGGATTCGTGCTTCAGAGAAGTCAATTTTTATTTAAAATTTAATCCTGCTTATGTATACCCGAAAAGTTGGTGTGTCCGTCCGTATCTAGCAACGAAATATTGTTAATCTCAATTATCCGTTGAAAAGGAATCCAGTTGGTGCCTTATATTGTTTTATTAAGCAATATTGAATGAAGCTTCGGGTACCTTGAGCTTTCAAAAGTCTTCCCTTTCGCCCTTATCCGGATGCAGCGATGGCAGCGAGTGGTTAAGGCGATTGACTAGAAATCAATTGGGGTCTCCCCGCGCAGGTTCGAATCCTGCTCGCTGCGAAACTTTTTGAGATAAGGGATAAAATGGTCTTTTTGAAATTTATTCACTTTAATAGATCTTCAGGTCCTCTTCCCATTGCTTTCCAAATTACTCGAGCCTTTTTCTCCGATGGATCCATTGGGCATGGAGGAGACACGTGTTCGAGTCATGCAACTTGTCACGAAAACTCTTTTGAATCATTTGAAGTTGGTTCTATAATCAATCGTCAAAACTACTCATTTTCAGCTCATTGGCCGTTTTACCATCTTTCCCACAACTGTGGCTTCGTTTGCTCGATTATTTGGAGAAATATCTCCGTTTAGAGCGAAGTGATCTCCTTTCTGAAGCTGTGCCTGAAAGTCTGAAGAATATGCTATTGGTTTGTTGGAAAAAAAAACTGAAAATTATCAAAATCCCTACAGGTATTACAAAGCCAAGGGCTTTTCTCGATTATCCCGGGACTCTATCAAATAACGATTGATCGAATGGGACCAGTGCTGCCTCAACTCATCCAAGAGACTTTACCACATCCACCAACAAGCCCAACGCCACAAAGGTTACATAATAATCAAAGCAATTAGGCTATCCAGAAAGGCTTTTCGTTCCAAATTGACTTAAAAAGATGGGAAATTGAACAATAAACACTTTTTATTTACAGCAAACCATAAGTCAATTGGTGAATTATTAATTTACAACGGAAATACGAAAAGGAACAAAAAGACTTTCTGGACAGCTTTAATAACAGTCAAAATAAAAGATATTCATTTCAGTACCTAAATGTCATAAAATTATGTGTAATTGTTTAGCCCTCAAACGGCCAGCCTAGCGAGACCATTGCCTGTGAATATGCAATCGGGTCGCACGATCATTCTCGCGCCCACACCGCCGGCTAACGAACAACAAAAGTAGTCACTCGTCTTTTGTTTGTATAAATCGAATAGCCGATGATTAGTCAAAACGTGTTGTGATTTGTTTTTTGTGAATTTGTTTTTTATTTCTGTGATTTCTTCTTTTTTTTTTCTGTCCAAATTTTCTCCACTTTTCCGCACATAATGATCTAGCAATTCTAGCAATTGATCTAGCAATTCATGATAAATCTGTTTATCTAGGTAAAATTTGTGTAAACATTTTTCGTTTTAAAAACTCGCTTTTATTGGTCACTGAGCTGTAGATAATACATTATTGGTTACAGCATTTGAAATATTAAATAACAAACATTATGCAGTTAATGGAACATTTAGCTGATATCGGAGAAGAACGAATTTTGAGAGAGAAGCAAAGAAAAAAGAAAACACACCGGGATTCGGAAAAGTTATTGAGGAGCTTGAGAGGACTGTAAAGTCTCTATATCTTGAATCCCTCAGTAATCACCTGAATAGCTTTAACCTTAATTGAAAGTTTTTAAAGATATTCAGGCTTTTGCCTAGCTACCGTAGGAAACAAAAAAGTGTGGGTTGAGAAACAAACAAAAAGTGGGGGTGGGACAAGTGCGACCGTTTTTTTGCGCACCTGGACATTTGCGCACTTTTTTTTTTGCTGGAAAAGGCCTTAGGAAAGGTCGTAGAGCTTCAAAAATGTTTTCATAGAGGGGAATCGTATGCGTAGATTCCGAATTTCGACAAATCAGACCTCGCTGACACGTCAAATTTGGGCTAAAAGGCAAAAACTACGCAACTTAACGCTTTTCCGCAGTTTTTGCCTTTTAGCCCAAATTTGACATGTCAGAGAGGTCTGATTTGTTAAAATTCTGAATCTACGCATACGATTCCCTTCTATGGAAATATTTTCGAAGCTCTACGGCCTTGGCTAAGGGTTTTCCAGCAAAAAAAAGGTCGCATTTGTCCCACCCCCAAAAAGTTGAGTATGTTGAAGTAGTAAAATGATGCTATGGGTTTGGCAAGGAGACAAAAACACGATAAATCAAAAGTCGAAGGCTTTTACTGGAAATTTTGCATTGAAACTAGATGATATAAAAGAAGAATACCCGAAAATGGCAAGTAAAAGAAAAAAGTTGAAAATGAAAGTACTTGAAATTTGGCACTACGAGAGGCCTTATGGGATGAAAAAAATCGTGGAAATCATTGCGAAAAGAAAGACTTAGAAAAAAATTTTATGGGCAAAATGGCAAGTGATTTTCTGGAATGTACCGTTTGTTCTTTACTCTATGAAAAAAAAACAAATGATGAAATTAGGAACTAAACGAGAAGAAAAGGGTCAAGATGTGGCCAATCTCTTGAACATCGACAATGATTTTTCCTCTCAACTCTCGTCCAAATCCCATTACAGCTTTTCGGGCCGATCAACTTCCAGAAACCGCTCTCCCCGTCATCCAAATCGGAGGCGCATCTGGGTGAGGTCAATTAAATAATCGATTAAAGTTGAACGATTAAGATTTTAATTGATTTAATTGATTGATTTTTGATTTTTGACAGTTTCATGAAAGCTCGTGTCTTTTAAAGTGAAATCCACGCCCAACTGCTCCAACGATTTCAAAAGGGATTTCAGAGGCCAAAGCAACACGAGAAATCAATCAATTTTATCGTTGGAACGAGCACTTTTTGACAGTTTCATGAAAGCTCCTGTCTTTTAAAGCTTTTAAAGTCTTTCAGTCAGGCTTCTTGCTGGGATTTCTGTGATTTAGATTTAGAATTCACCTGTCCGTCTTCCGATGTTGTCGTGCATGCGGTTGACACTCAGCACAGATACGATTCCCTCGATGTAAATGCTTGGTAATCGCTTTGTTCACGCAGTTTTTATTCACCCATCCGAGCTCGTATTCGATACAATAGCTGCAATTGTTGCCGATTAAATACAATGGTTTTTGTAACTCACTAGTGCGTTGTCTTCAATTTCACACTCTTTTTCGCTTTCCGCGCACGAGTCTCATTGTATTTGTAATCGAGAAGAAGGGCGACGGTTGTCACATCGAAAACGAAAGTATTTGAATATTTTTTGGTAGCAAAAGTTTAAAGATAGAAAGGATGATATTTTATGGTAAGATTCTATACCACACCCCGGTTACCGTACCCTTCGCCCATTGATTTTATTTTTTTTTCTTTTCATGTTTGACAGGGGGGTCGCGAAAACTACGCAACTTAACGCTTTTTCGCAGTTTTTGCCTTTTAGCCCAAATTTGACGTGTCAGCGAGGTCTGATTTGTCGAAATTCGGAATCTACGCATACGATTCCCTTATATGGAAACATTTTTGAAGCTCTACGACCTTGCCTAAGGCCTTTTCCAGCAAAAAAAAGGTGCGCAAGTGTCCGGGTGCGCAAAAAAAAGGTCGCATTTGTCCTACTCCCCTAATTTTGTGTTCTATTAACTTTCCCTTCGTTTACTCATTCCCGATAAAGTTTCTACTAATAATTTCAGGAAAATCATATGCAATTAACACAATTGGAGTTGTAAACAGCCACGGGCTGTGAAATGATACGTGAAGAGGGTTTGTCTGTGAATAAATATGTGTCTGTGGCGGTGGAACCGTGTTGTAGTGGGTTTACCCCTAAACCTGAGCCCTAAGCCCACACAAACGAGGAAACTGCGCCCAACTATACAATAAGTTGCATATGGAGTTGTCGATCAAACCTTGTTCCGATGAGCGGCAGTTTTTCCAACATGTGCGCATCTCGAGGAGTGCAGGACATTCAGCACCTCCTCTTTCTGGAGCGGCTCGTATGCGACGCTCTCGTCGTTGCATACCGATTCCACAGAAACCCTGAAAGTGCATGTGATTCAGTAAGCGAGATCTCATGGCTTAAAAGTACAGTGTGCCAGTGAAAAACGATTTACACAGGCCACAAGGCCACAAGCTGAGTATCTTTGTATTAAAAACTAGTAGCGAAACGTTCTTACTCAGGTACCGTAGTGTTCTTGATACTTTAGAACGCAGGTTCTTGATACTTTAGATTATCTATTAGCTCATTTTCATAGATTTTTTTTCCGTTTCACTTACATGATCTGGAATACAAGGCTCCCAAGGATTCCACGGATCGACTAGGCAATCTTGCGCTGAAATTCAACGGTACTTCTTTGATAAACAGAGTTTTCCATGCAATTATTAAAAGTTTAACGTACGCGGACAAACGTATGTGTAATCGGAGCAACAATCGCCCAATTTCACGCACTCCTCGTCGCAGTAGCACTCGATTTCTGGTGCCTAAAAGAATACAAAAAGTTCACGTTTTTTAGTATCAGTTTTCAGTGTCAACCACAAATTTCACAAAAAGAATGTTTTTTTGAAGCATTTGCATTCAATGTTCGTCTTTGAAAAGGAAATTATTTTCAGAAAAGCTCACAAAAGCTACAACAAACATTTGAGAGAGAGTTGTTTTTTTTTTGTTTTTCTGTTTTACCAACCTTTACCAGTCGCTTCATACATTTGATAAACTAACAAAAAGATTGGGATTTAGGGTTTGTTTAAATGATTAGAAATATTTGCTGCTAACCTCTAGATACATGAGCTGCTGTGGCTCGTCCTCTAAATCGGTCAGTGTCGCTATTGTGAGTGGGATGTGGTGCTGCAAAACCGAGTATCTAAAAGCTAAGCAATCAAAACATATAATAGAATTGAAATTTCATTTTCAAACGGCTTAACCTAACGAGGAGATTCTTGGGCATCTCGGCAAAATGTACTCGCTCGAGGGGCTCCTCATCGGGGCCTTGTTCCCTCCCGAACAGCAAATGCTTCCACATTTTGATCTAAACGCAAATCTCTTTGCGATACTTGACCAAATATCATAGCTTGTAATTGTTATCTGAAGAATTTTAGCGTTTAAAGCCTTCTATTAGGTTGTCCCATAAAAAACCCAGAGATTTTTTCGTTTTGGTTAACATTCACTCACAACACGTTTTGTATTTATCTTTTTTTCATACTAAAACTCTAAAACTTTTTCTTTCTTGCACTAAAGTTCATTTTTTAGGGATCGACGTGAGAAGAGAGTTGCAGTTGATCGAATAAAGCTAACTCGAGAAGAAATCCACGCCCAACTGCTCCAACGATTTCAAAAGGGATTTCAGCGGCCAAAGCAACACGAGAAATCAATCAATTTTATCGTTGGAACGAGCACTGCACAGGAATTCAAGACGAGCAACACGAGGATCAAACGGAAGAGGGGAAGCGGCTGACCCCGGAAAGTGGCTCGATCGATTCTGAGGCACCGACTCCTGCGAAACCCCGATAGATTAACTCGGAAATTGGATGGACGTTACTGTGGACGAATGACTATGTGACGATGGCTGCGAAAAGTGGGAAGAAATTGGAGAAAGCAACGCCAAATCCCATAGGAAATCTCGAAAACAATCCAAGCCAAAAGAAGGCGGACATGCCACCATTTGTGGAGCGAATATCGGCATGGTCGGCTTCCTCTTTCGAACTTCATCACTCACGATCAAACGTGGGTTTTCTACGATGGTCGAGTGTTACAACGGCAGTGATTGAAGAAAGGGCAAGCATGTAAAATGCTGCCAAAACGGAACATTCAGGAAAAGAAGCGAATGTTGTGTGTCTACTGGTGTTCGACAAGCGTCCTTTTCTGTGAACTTCTCAAACCGAGGCAAAATTTCAACAACGATGTTTATCTACGTCATTTACAAAAAGTGGAACAAAAATTCGGGAGATTGCTCTATGGAAAAAAATAGAATGGCCTCGTTTTCGTTCTACAGGATGGCGTCAGCTCCCACAAATCAGAAAGGTCGATCGATTTTGTGAAGAACAACCCACATTGGAATATCCTTTCTCATGCACCGTATTCTCCGGACGCTGCCTCTTCTGATTATCAATTTTTCTTATCGTTACGTGGTAAAAAGTTCAAAGATGAGAGTGAACTCGAGAACGGATTAAACTCTCTGAGTGTTTTATGGAACAACCTAATAATGGCTAATAACTTAATAACTGGATAACTTTCAAACTTTCAACGCTTTGACAACATTTATCTAGACTCCAGAAATTGGCAGAAAAACGCATGATAAACCGCCCGCTTTAGCAATTGCCTTTTTGCCTGCTTTTGTGCTAAGAATGAGCGAGTGGTTTAGGAGAGAGTTGAAAAAAGTTTCTACCGCTGAAGGATCCGGGGCAGGAGTCGTTGTGGTAGATAGAGCGCCATTTTGATCAGCTTTAAGTCCTGTAATAAAAGTTACAGAAATGTTCCCCTCCCCCTCGGCTACCGTATTTGTTGTAGAGTAGCTCGGCTCCAGAATCCTTCAATGCGACCACATCTGGCATCACCAAATGACCAAGCTTCTCATTGTTCAAAGCATCGTAAACCTAAAGGCTTTTCGATTTCATTTGCAAAACCTTTAGAAAGTTATCAATGAATCATTTACTCACATTTGGATAAACGAGTCGCACATCATCACGATCGTTGCTGTAATGGGGCACTGGTGGCGCTCGTTCTCTTTCATTTGGCTTGCTCATTCTAAATTTTGCTTTCTCTTTCATCAACTTTAATTTCTCACCCGAATTTCTGACTGAGGCGTTGGAAATGATTATGGTGAGCGGAGGCAAGTCCGTGCAATGGTAAATGACCTGAAAGTTCGAGACTTTGCATAAGTCAAGAGCTCTTTCGATAAGTGACATGATCCACTCACAGTGACCCCCCTTTCTCAACAATCCAGCTGTCCTGTCGATATGCATTTGCATTTTAACACATTCACGACAAAGTGATTTTTGGCTTGGCTGCCGTTTTGGACGACAGCTATCTAGCTGTAGCAGTTTTCTTTAAAAACTAATAACGGATTCGAATTCCCGATCCTCGAAAATCCCTGATTGCAAATTTTCAGTCCAATCGGTCTCAAAAAAGTGCTAAATCCAAGCTCACTGGTGGGCCGTATCGTCACAAATGTATCAATACTTGACGACTACTTTGACTCGTGTTCAAGTCAATCTATTTGTAAGAAATACTGAGCTCACCAATTCCGTCATCGAGCGCCTTGCATGAAGTGTTCCTTCCAGGGCAGCAAAGACGCCGCTGCCAACAGCCGCCATTCACACTTTTTTGCCCCACCAGCACCACCCCAAATACTATTGATACACACACCCAAGGAGGCATCACTTTCAGGCTCAGCTCATCCCCTTGAATTGTCTAAAATCGATAGGTTTCAGTCATAGTTAGAATCTGAGAGGGCTTCTTTTAAAATATCAAGAAAAATTTCAGGAATTCAAATTCTAAAGAGCAAAAAAGAATAAGCAAGAAAAACAAACTCAATTGAAAAAAACGAGAAAGGCGATGCGTGGCAAGCTTATCTTCGCCCAAAATGGCACATCCCTTTCACTCATCCGGGATTCACTTTAGAATTTTCTAGTAAAATTCTTGAAATCTTTTTGTTTTAATATGAAAATGATTTTCTTTGCTTTCGGGTTTTATTTGAACGAGAAAGGAAACTTTAAAAACTTTGGATTGTAAGTAAAGACAATTAGAATAGAAGTAAAGACAATTGAAAAGAAGATATTTGAAAAGTAAAGACAATTGAAAAAACAAGATATTTGAAAAGTTTTGACAATTTCTGAAAGCTTGATGAGGTTTGAAAATCGGACGTAAAATATATATTGACATCAATGCTATGGAATCTTTACCCCGCTTTTGGAGGTTATTTGTGGGGTTATCCGGCAAAAAAGGAAAGGCCTCGAGTGACAGAGCCATCATCTTCTTTGATGTATTCACCCCGTGGGGAATTCCTGTTTTCTGCACATCAATAACAACAAAACAAGCTGCAGAAATGCTTGGGCCATAAGTTTTCAATCATTTGTAATTTATGCTAATTTTTGAGCATCAAAATCAAACGAAATTTGAAAATTCGAGAAACGAAACTTTCTCTTTCTTTCTCGGCAAATTAAATTTCAATTTTTAAGTAAAATTGATTTGAAAAAGATATATGAGGGCATAAATGAGGAAATATTGAAAACACAGCGTTGATTGTTATTCGAACAATCCGAGAATCTGGATGGGCAGATTGCTTGTGAATGAGATCCTCTTTTTCCCTCTCTTCACCTACATTGCCCATCATAAATTGAAATCCCGGTCCCATATTGAAGAAATGATCACGAAAATCAACAATAACCAGGCAATAGCGAAATGAGATTTCGGAAATGATTCGCTCAAGTTCGATTTCCCTAAAGTTCCCGGGAAATTGGGGCTCGAAAACGCTGATACGGTGTCGATTGCAACATTTTTACAGTCGCAAACAAATCGTAAAAATGGGTGGGCGCATGGAATGGATTCTCGAAAAAAGGAACATTAAAAAGTAGTAAGTATCTAAGTATCGAAACGTTTTTTCAACTTGTTCCGCTTTTTCTCTAGAAAAGCCAAAAAGTGTACGTCAAGGGGGATTTTGGTTTTCGTTCAGTGCGATTCGTAGCAACTTTTTTGCTTTTCGTACCCTGGGCAGCGAAAAAACATGATTAGCAGTAGTGGAAAGTCAGAAAAAAAAGCAATGCCTTTTGGGAGAAGCAAGGGATACCCCTTGCAGAAGAGATTCACCCTGGGGACCACTAATTTCGTAAGGAGCCATCGGCGTGTTGCTCGTTTGAGAATATACGCAAAAGACTCAAAATGAAGCTGAAACGAGCTCACTCCATGAAATAACAGTCTTCTTCCATTCAAATGCTAATTCTGTGATTCACCATCAATGAAAGACCTACTATATTCTTCACATGACAGAAAAACGAGAATAAGAAATAAGACGGAAATAGAAAAAAAAAGGTTGGGGATTTTGAAACAATTGAAAGGGGAACACATTCATGATTCAGTAGAAAAAACAGTTCTGGGAAGAAGAAGAAATGAAAGAACTTTCCGGGATGAGTCAGCCGAGCCGACAAGCAACAACCTAAAGATTCAGCAAAAACATCCAGAACGCCTGACGGCGGGTTTTTCTAGCTGGATGTTCTGAGCCTTCTGATGCTGAGAAAAAACCTGTACAGACACTACTCTTTTATATAATAGATTTCAAATCGCAAAAAGTGAAACACTTTGAATCAAAACTTGGCACTGATTCGGAGACCACCCTTGAAAGGCTTCTCATAAGAAGAAAGACTCTCATGAAAGGAGAGGTGCCAATAAAAATCGAGGCTAAAATAACAGTAGACAAACCGAAGAAAAGAGGAGAAAAAGGGCTATCAAAAAAAAAACGTTTATGCATTTGGCGGTGCACTTTCATGGTACGGGGCTTGATAGTTTGCATACGGCGGTCCGGTAGCCTTCTCTTGGTGGGTTCTTCCCCTCCATACACTCCCAGATCGGTTCCCTTCCCATCACCCCTCCCCCCTTTTTCTTCTTTTCCATGTGCACCTCCAAGTGCGATAAGCTTTAGGGCGGTGCGCGCGATTTACTCGCCTTGTGTCTCCTGTGAATGTCTCCTTTTCACATTGGGGTTCTCTATTTTTATACACGACTACCAGAATCATGTTTTTAAAAATAAATAGTATAATAGATATACGGATCATACTGGAAATGAAGCCTTATCGTAGTAAATCTAAAATCAAAATGATAGAGTTGCCTATCATTTTGATAGGCAGTTGCCTAGTAAAATAGTAATAAGAAGGTGTTACACAAAACGCGACAAAACAAAACTTATCGTAATTTGACCAACAGGAAACAAGTCCGAGAAAATTCGACTTTTTACAGATAATTACAATCGTAGGTGATGGTTGGTGTGGAGATATTTAAGGGGAAATGAGTGAGTAAATGTTTCACAAAACAGAGAAAAATGGGTACACAGCTGCCATGTTGAGGGATCTTTTTCATCGCAATAAAAACGCACCCCCATGCACCATTTTGTTTTTTATTTGGCAAAAAGCTTTCAAGAAAATTTTGGAAAATGCAAAAAAAAATGTCGATTAGAATCGATTTTTAAAGATTTCCGTTGTTGAAGGTGAATTCAAAAACTGGGGATCAAATCGGTCAATTACGATAATTATAGAATGGTTGAAGGGACAAGAGACAGCTGATCTCCTCCGCTTATTATAAGTCTCCTTTTTGATGGCTTTCCCCCATGAGATTGACCTTTGATTTGTCATTCAACAAAACAAATGTCGTAAGGATAGATTTAAAGCGCTTGCTTGTGAGAGGCACAGATTGTAAATCAATGAATTTGTGAGAAGCGATGCTGGAAGTAGAAAAACGAGCAGAACCTAACCTAACCTAACATAACGAGCAGAACACTTGTGAAATAATGCGTTGGATTGTATATGCTATGGTCTATTTTGAAACCTTTTTAATAGAATAATGTTTTTTGCATTACTAAACAAATTAGTTTTTGCATGATTTCCTTTAAAAATGAAGAAAGATGCATTTCTTTTGTAATGTTTTTTGATAAACTTTTGTTTGCAATTTGATTGGTAAATAAAAAAGGCGTAATTTCGATATTTTAAAGATAAACCTTTTGTTAAGGTACTAAAGTGTTGAACAAAACTAGAATTGTGTTTGATTTGAGTAGATTTTGTCGAAAAATTGAATAAAATTCTTTGTGAAATGACTTTTCTAGGTAAAAAGAGGTTTCGAAGATTTCAAAGATAAAAGATTTCAAAATCGGACGTAACATTAACCGATAGACTATGAGATTGTACTTGAAATGAATGTCTTTTATATGCATAGGTTGTGCAACTTGGGTCTATTGGGGAAAAGGGGCTGTGTGGGAAATCGGAGCCCCTTTATTGGGCCCGATCTATCTGTTCTCCTTCATACGGCATTCCATTAGACAGGAATAGACCACAACTAAGAGACAACAAACCTTTTGTTACAAAAAATAGCTGCTATTTATCTAAATCTAAATATGAAAACAATCATTTGCTAAACTTTCTGAGCTCTATTCAAAAGTAAAGAGGGAGAAATGATAGGTTCGGTAAGTTTTGATAATCTTAAGAAAAAAAGTAAACAATGGACCGTACTCTATGGAGTGACAGGAGATCGGAAACGGATAAATCGCATCGGTTGAGATGGCAATCTCAAACAAGCGCTCCTTTTTGGAAGAAGGAAAAGATCGAAAGGCTCAGGTCACTCACTATCCTTTGTTTTCTTTTCGAAGACGATTTGAAATAGAGTTTCTTACACGATCTTTTTGATAGACTTCTGTAGTTAATCATGGTGAGTAATATGAATAATTTGATCAATAGTATTTCTTTTCCCATCCGGTGATGAAGACATGAAAAGCTAGGGCTGAAAAAAAAGACAAAGCGCAAAAAAGCCGCCAAATTATTCGAACGATGCAATAAATGACGGTTTTTCAGAGACATATAGGGAGCAGCAGTTACATGCATGAGTCAGGATCACAAAAAAAGCAGAAAGTGTGAACGAATAGCTTTACAAACAGTGTTTACATAAAGGGGAACAAGAGAACATGGAAGAGAAGAGAAAGTTTTGAAATGGAATACAGCACGAGATGTTTTTTTCGATCACTTGCAAATAGCTAAATGCTAAACAAATTTGGATCTGAGATTTTTCCAATTGAAAAATGAATTACTGTGGGGGCTACTTGGTTATTTATCTACTTGTGTCTTTGAGGTGCTAGCTGACTATGAGAGACAAAGAGGCCCGAGGAGTTCCCTTCCATTCAGACAGGTGCCACTAAAGGGAAACTCTCTCTCCTTGAGTAAATACCTGGCTATCTGAGCCCGTTCGCTGAATATCCATCTATATCCTTTTAGATTTTTCCAGTATTTTAAGAAACTGGACAAAATTACCATGAAAAGCTTATAATAAACTGTTTTAAACAAGAAAACATTGGATGTTTGAGTGCAATGCTAAATTTTGACCTACCTCAAAGTATTCACATGAAATCAGAAAACGGTAAAATCAGACAGGTATCCTTTATTTTTTATTGTGAATTTGGCTTTATGTTGTGAAAGAGTGGATCGGAAAAAGAAAATTCAAGAAAAGTGCACAGTTGAAATTGTGAGTGGACAGTTAATGCGGAAAGATTTCTTCAACTCAAAGGACCCTCCAGGCGATGTTGAGAGCATGTCAAAGTCGGCCACAAACACAATCAATGGGTCGTCCCACTGAACATTTTCGACTTGATAGAGAAATCTCTGAAATTTTTGAAGTGGAAGTGCTCGCGTTTTTTCTCACTCACACTTGAGCTCATCAAAATGGATACGGTGTTGCTTTTTGCAAAAAGGCTGTTTTTTTATAAGGCAACTAAAATTGACTGATCGCGTTTTTTGAAAACATTATGGGAATAACAAATGCAATGTTTTTTTTGCGCACCCGGTCCACTCTCATACTTTTGTGAAAATTTCAGTTATCAGAACCAAAAGTTATGATGTTTCGCTTTTTTTTCTTTGCTTTTCATCGGGTGGCTACTTTGCGCCAAATTTTTTACGCAACTCGGCATAACTTTCTTCTAAGTGGGCTAATCTTTATGATTTTGGTGTCATTTTGTTGCATTTGTTGAGATCTACAAAATGACACCAAAATCATAAAGATTGGCCCACTTAGAAGAAAGTTATGGTGAGTTGCGCAAAAAAACCCAGTTGCGCAAAAAAATTTGTAGTCACCCCCCGTTTCATAGAACGTTACAAAATTAGTGATCAGTACTACGCAACTCAATCTTAATACCGCTCAAAACGTTTGTTTAATTCAAACGAGTAGTTAGTAACCCCAATGAATCGATCGTATACACGAAAGTTTCTTTTCTTTTCATTTTCATTTCTTTTTGGTAGCGCTGACGCAGACTTTGTTGACTTTCGTTTTTGATGGGTTTTTAACTGTTTTGTCTACAAACACTCCATTTTGTCATACATAGATCGAAAGAAATTGTTTTGTGCCGCGCGAAAACACAATACTCTTTTTCAATCCACGATGAGACGTGTTTTCTCATTAAAGCGTTTAATCTCCCGTAAAGAACGTTTCTTTTTCTCATTTCCTCTCCATTTTCTTTGTTCTCTTTTCTCGTGGTCCCGCAACGCTTCAACTGGGACTGAAATGGATTTACCGAAATTTTGAAATTACAATGGTTTCTTTCTAGAGCAGCTCACGTTGACAAAAAAGGTTCATCAACTCGTTCAACTGAATGCATGCTATATCGAGAAAGTTGTTGACGCGATCAGTCTTTGATGGAAGCAATGCCGTCTACAAGATGTGCTCCAATCAACCGTCATCATCGGAAGCTCACCATAAAGGTTTTGCATTATTTTTGTTCACTAATTAATCAATGCTTTAGTGGCTTCAAATTTTCGCGAAGAATTTGTTCTGCCGAAAAGTTGTGACTTTCGGATATGGTTTCCTATGCATATGGCAGTTCAATTTAAGAAAATGGAAGGAAAAATGCGATCTGTGGATTTAGTGATTGAAGGTTACTTTTGACTTAAACCGGTTTTATGTTAACATTTAGTTCATGATGCTCGCATACCAATAACAGGACGCAATCCTTTGTTTTTTGAACAACTGTATGCGGTTCGACCGCATATCCTTGTTATGAACAAAGTTGGCACCTCATCTTTGACCGTTATTGTAACCATTTTAGATGGATCTTATCGATTTGACGAAATACAAGGGACCGGTAGAAGAGTATTACCGCCGAAATGGAATAGAGAAAATTATTTGGACGGATTGTAAACGTCGGCTCAATTATGCTCTTAAGTGGGTTTTTTATATTCAGACAGATTACTTTTAATAAAAGATTTGAAAAAAATGATCTAATCTATGTTTCAACATGCTAGTTTTATTTAGAGATTTGTGTGGAACAATGGTCGACATCCTACAAGAAACACCGAGATTTAATCGATCTGTCAAAACGGAATATCAGGTGGGAATGCGTTTAATAAAACTCTAGTTTCTTTTAGGCAATGGTTGTTGGTATTCCCAATGTTGGAAAGTCTTCACTCATTAATTCACTTCGTGGTGCAACCCTTGGACATAAGCATGCCGCAGTTCAAGAGGGTGCTCGACCTGGTGTTACAGTGAGGTAGAGTAAAGCTCTAGACTGGCATATACATATTATTGGTGTTTAGAGTACAGAATCGCGTTCGAATATTGGATAAACCGCCTACATATGTATTGGATACCCCCGGCGTCCTGACACCTCACCAAAAAGTAACTTTTTTTGGAGATATTCGATTTTAATGGATAGTGAGACCATAACCCTTTTAGGCGATATTAAGCCAAGCACTTAATTTAGTCAGGAGAAGATGCTATGAAGTTGGCCTTGTGTGATCTCATCTTGGAAAGTACTACCAATCTTCAATATGTCGCTGATTATTTATTATATTGGTTGAATCGAACGGGGGACTTTTCCTACTTGGAGCTATGTCGATTCGAAGGCGGACCTTGTGATGACATAAACAAAGCAAGTTCTTTTATAAATTTTGATTATTAATTTAGTTTAGGTGCTTCTGAAAATTTGTCAAACGCAGAATTTGCGCTCACGTTGCATGATTGCGGGTACCTACGAAGAACGATGGAATTTTGAAGAAGCATCGCGTTGTTTTATTAACCTTTTCAGAAAAAAGAAATTAAAAGATCACTGCCTCGATAAAGAATTACTTGCTCCATATATGTGATCTTGTTCAATGTGATTTTGTTTTGTATGACTTTCTTTTTTCTATTTCCTTTCTTTTTATTTACGGTTTATGAAAGTTCTGTACGATTTATTTTACAGGTAATAGCTGTGAGATGACTGCAACCGGCCATCTAGTATTCGATGAATTCGGACAGCCATTCATTGTCACGCGAGAGCAGGACAAGCAAAAACGTTTGACGGGACTAGATGCTCTCAAGGTTAAAAAATGTTCGCGTTTTAAGTGCTAAATCAGTTAATTTAGAGTCATATTTTGGCCGTTCGCACGGTGTCAAATACGCTTCGTACTTCGTTGGGACCACGTGGACTGGATAAATTAATGGTGGGCTGGTTCGACTTTATTTGTAATTGCTTATTGTTTTCAGGTTTCTCCAGATGGGGAGGTCACAATCACCAATGATGGAGCTACGATTATGGACAAGATGGACGTTCAGCATCATGTTGCTAAACTTATGGTACACACATTTTAATTTATTTTTAGCTTTAATATTTTAGGTGGAACTCAGCAAGTCACAAGATGCAGAAATTGGCGACGGTACCACTGGAGTAGTCGGTGCGTTTTATCCCCATGGCTTTGCGCAAAAAATTTCATTAATTTCGAAAATTTCCGGCGAAACATGGTGTTTGCCCTCCGCGGCTCTTACTCTTATCCCTTTCACTCACTTCTTTTCACTTGTTCTTGTTGCCTCGTGAGCGGGATGACTGGGACGTCGTTTTCTCTAATTCTCTCACTTTTCCCTACTCCTTACTTTTCCATGCTCTCCCATTTTTTGCGCCGAGGTCCACGGCGGCCCCAGAGTCGAGGTCCGTTCAGCCCCGTTGCCCCTTTGCCCGGGGCCTGCCCCTTCCCCCTTTTCTCGTCTCCCCGCTCCACTTTCCTTTCCCGCTGCCACCTCTGCCCTTTCCATCGTGCTGCCGTTTTCTTTTTTAAAAAGGTTAGTGAAAATGTGCTCACGATTGAACCAATCAATAAAAAAAACATTGGAATGCTCCAGGTGCTATTTCTAATCGAGAATAAATGCAGATATTTTTCTCGGCCCTTATTGCTATATTTTATGGAAAAGTGATTATACATTTTTAAAGCAATTTATGGGTTTTGATTAAAAAATTTTTGATCACAAATACCTATTCTAATGGATAAATTAAATTTTCTTTCTAAACCTTGTCCATTTATATGCTTGTCGATGCGAAGCGACTATAAAAACTTTGCTTTGGCAGTTCTTTTTTATGTCTACCCCTTTTGAGGTAGCTACGCAACCCCGACACAATTTAAAGACGCCTGTGTTGTGAAATTTAGCTCTTAATTCACAATGCTTACTCTTCGTCGTACAATTGTTAGCCTTTGTCACTTTTAACTAAGAAATAGTTTCGAAGAACATTCTAAATTTAGTACTCGCTGGGGCCCTGCTTGAGGAAGCGGAACGTCTTTTGGATCGTGGTATTCATCCATTAAAAATTGCGGATGGGTTTGATCTTGCGTGCAAGAAGGTAGGGATATATTGAAAATAACATTGTTTTGATTGTTAGGCGCTCGCAACTCTTGAGAAGATTGCTGACCCCTTTCCTGTTGAAGATAGAGAACGGCTGATTGAAACCGCTGAAACGTCGCTGGGCTCGAAGATGTGCGTTTGTTGTCATTTTTGAAAGCGAATAATACATAGACAATATTTAATTTTACATGCACATTTAATTACATAGAAAATATTTATTCTTTGTCAGTTCGTCCTTTTTCAGTGTTAACCGCTCAATCCGCCATTTTGCTGAGATTGCTGTTGATGCTGTTTTATCAGTAGCCGATATTTCAACAAAGGATGTGAATTTCGAGTTGATCAAAGTTGATGGAAAGGTAAGCTTATAGTTAATAGACCAGTATGAAATTTTTCTTTAGGTTGGAGGAAAGCTTGAAGACTCGATCTTCGTAAAAGGAATCGTTATTGACAAGACGATGTCCCATCCGCAAATGCCTAAAGAAATCAAGGATGCTAAGGTTGACAATAGTACTTTATTTTTAATGTTTATTTTTAGATCGCAATTCTTACTTGTCCATTCGAGCCACCAAAGCCAAAGACCAAGCATAAGTTGGACATCACCTCTGCTGAGGACTTTGCTGCTCTTCGACAATATGAGCGAGAAACTTTTGAAACAATGATCAAACAGGTGGTTATTGCTTTCTTTTTCAGAACAGGAGACTAATAATTACGTGAAAAAACTCTAAAAAAATTTTTTTGACCAATGACAAAACAAAATATTTTTGAAATCTTTTCATCAAGAAATCATTCTAGGTGAAAGATACTGGAGCCTCTTTGGTTCTTTGTCAATGGGGTTTTGACGATGAAGCAAATCATTTGCTACATCACTACGAATTGCCTGCTGTGCGCTGGGTCGGTGGTCCTGAAATCGAACTTTTGGCTATCGCTACCAATGGACGCATTGTGCCAAGGTATTTCTTTCCATTAATCACTTAATTACACCACTCATCTAGATTTGCCGAATTGACCCCTGAGAAGCTTGGTAAGGCAGGAGTTGTCAAAGAGATTGTTTTTGGAACCGCTAGAGACAGAATGCTTTCGATCCAGGTTTTTAATTTAACTGCTGGGTTAATAATTTAGGAATAACTTAACATACTTAATACACTTAATAATTTAGGAATGCCCAAATAATAGAGCGGTTACGATTTTCATTCGTGGAGGCAATAAAATGGTAAGACATATTTTTAAATGATATACTGATTTGGTTTAGATCATTGAAGAGGCTAAGCGTTCTTTGCATGATGCCATGTGCGTCATTCGCAATCTTGTGAAGGATAATCGGATTGTGTATGGTGGAGGAGCAGCAGAGACAGCCTGTGCGCTCGTTGTCGCTAGGGCGGCTAGTAAGGTGGGACCCACTTTTATCCTACAAAATCATACACATTTTTTAGATTCATGGCGTTGAACAGTATGCTTTCCGTGCCTTTGCTGACGCACTTGAACAAATTCCAATGGCTCTCGCCGAGAATTCTGGACTGGCACCAATTGAGGCTCTTTCCAGCTTAAAAGCCGAACAGCTTGCAAAAGCAAATCCAAGACTTGGCATTGATTGTCTTTTCAAAGGCACTAACGATATGAAAACACAAAAGGTTAAAAAAATATTCAAATAACTAGCCTTTAATTTAGGTTATTGAAACCCTTCTGAGCAAAAAGGAGCAAATCAGCTTGGCTACGCAGGTAAATTTTACTTTGAGAAATTTGGCCCAAATCATATCCCGGGCAAACAACATTGGAATAGGTTATCTCTACTAGATTAACAAAAAGCATAAATGCTTTGAACTGATTAGCTGAAATTTTTGCCTGAATCGTTTTATCTATAAAGTTTTGTGAATGGCTTCTCGTTATCAGCTGATCGGGAAAGAGCTTGAATTTTTCGTGCTGCTCTACGTTTCCTAATTTGCTTATATTGATTTTTGCCTTATAGACATCCTCGTTTCAATTTTGCAAGATAATCTCTTGTTCTTTCTTTTATTCGAAGTCGTGGGTTGGTTGGTTGGTTGCCCACGCCACCGATTACTGAGAGTGCTAAGCCGATTTCATCCCTTTCATGAAATTGTTTTTACAGACTACAGTCATATTTCAAATCTCAACTTGAGCTAAAAAGCTTTCATCTTTTCTTGAGCGAGCAACATCCTCAGTGATGATCTTGATGACTTGATTACAGGAAATTGGATAAAATTGATTATTTCCTTTAGTTTCTAACAACGCATTCATCTCTCGACATCCCTAGATGTTTTAGAAAACTATTCATTTGAAGACTTTGTTGATTCCTAAAAAATATTATTTGTATTTGATCAATATAAAAATGGGATGAAAAACTGAATTGTCAGCAATTTCAAGTTAATTAATTAAATTTCAAGATCTAATTTTTAAAAGACGAGGAGATTATGAGGTTAATTTGTTTATTTTAAGGTTGTTCGCATGATTCTCAAAATTGATGATGTTCGAGTCCCGGATGATGAAAATGGAGGAATGTAAAAGTAACGACACATTTCGTTTGGTGCTTTTTGTTGTACTTTAAGTCAGTTCTTTGACAAAACCTTTCTTCCTAATTTTGCTATGTGCCAATTTAAAGAATTCATTTTAAAATTCCAAGCTATTTTACACAATTTGCTGCATCAAGTAATCTCAACAAGTGCTTTATAAATTACCGATTGATGTTATCTGTTTTCTGGCATTTGTTATTGTCCGCTTGTTGAACTCTAATTGTTTTTGGTTTATTTCCTAAATAAAGCGTCATTTATCTTAGTTGTTTTTGAGCACCGTTTGAGCGGTAGTCATTTTGGTCGAATTTCTAAATGAGTTGTTTGTCAACTATTTCGCTTAAATCACAGATTCTACCCGTTTTTGCTAACGGGCCTTCGGCGGTGCCGTTGGGGCTTACCCCGTCTCCTTCCGTTTCCTCTTCATCAGGTATCACCATCTCAAAGAGTTGGAACAAAATTATTTATTCAGGCTCTTCAACCCTATCGTCGCCGCCAGCTTTGGTGCTTTCACCTCAGCTAGCTGCTGTAATGTCGACTACAGTTAGTCCAACGTCATCCACGGAAAACACCAAAAAGGTTAACGAGGTAAATCCGTTTTTGATGCAAGTAGTTTTGGATTTAAAAAAGACTATTTAAATTTTTCAAGCAAATTTTCATTTTAGAAAGTCATAGTTGGTGCGAGTAACAGCACTGTGGATGCCCTCAGAACTCCTCAAAACATGCTTGTCACGCCAACATTAGGCGGTAAGAATTTCTCACAGTATATTAGATTAGATTTTTAGATTTTCCTAATACGGCCGAATTGATGCAAAAATGCCTCGCCGTAAATCCCTTTGAATTGAAATTCAAAGAAGCGAACAGAATGTTTGTGCATTTGATATTCCGGAAAACAAGATTTTTTAGGCTCGGCTCTACTGGCACTTCGCAACGGGAGTTGGAAGAAAAGGGACTTGTACCAAAGATCTCAATAGATACCCCAAGTGGTTAGTAAGATTTTGCTTTTCTAAAAAAAATTGAATTTATACTCTTAGGGCTTTGTTTACTGGTCAGATATGTATAACTTTTAAAAGGATGAATGACTTGGTTTTGGTAAACATTTGTAGTCAGGGCAACAGGCTTGAATTGCTAATTTCCTCAAATCTTTAAATTACCAACTTTTTCACTTCAAATGTATTTAACAATTTCGTACGTTTACGGACATTGGTAAAAAATTATTTCGATACAAGGATGTAGACAATAGATGTAAAAAAAGTATGAACGTATTGGAAGTACTAACGAAATCGAAAATCTATAAAACGAGTAGAAAAACTAACTACTATCGCATTTACCTAGGATTAAAAGCTTCAAATGTTACTTACTCAAACTCTTTTAGTTTCCACCATTTTAAAATCTCCTGGAATCTTTACCAATATCTCGCTCCTTCCTACAATATCGAATGGAGATGTTGGCGACTTGAAGACTGCAGATTTTTCAAAGCTCTTTCAACATGTAGAATTATTTTGGATTAAACTGAATTTATATAAAAGCTTTAAGTTCAAAGAACAAGGAGGGCTATCAACACAGCCGTCGATGGATTGCTCAAATGCCCCACGGACAGCTGATGTATTAAATGCGGTTCTCGATATGCACTCTGATCGCCTTCATCTGTTCAATCATCTTCTAACACCGTTTGTCCTCTGGGAAAGCTTAGCCATTTTAATTTTAGGAGTACGGCAAACATTTTAAACTCTTTGACTCCAGCTGGATCAGCTCCAAACTCGGCGGGAGTTTTGGGAGTTCCCGTTACAATACCACAAGTGAACTCGCCGGCACAGGTGTTTATTTTTTATTTCTTTTGATCGTCAATTGACTTCATACTTTCAGAAATCTGATTTTCAGATAGCTGCTGCACTTGCTTCTGCCGTTGCTTCTACTAGCGGGGTCAATTTGGCGCCACCAATTGTTGCTATTTCGTCGGCAAGCCCACAACTATCTCCTCGCAATCTTGCTTTTAATGAGTAATAATTTTGTTGTTGTTAAGTAATCAGTAAGACGCCTGATACATCATTTATTCTTTTAGTCTGTCAAATAGCCAACTCCGTTCACCCCAATCTGATCTTGCTTCTGCTGTCACTGCTGCAGTTCAGGTATGTTATGATGTTTTTAAAATATTTAATTTCAGTTTCAGGCTTCCAATGCACTAATTGGGATGAATGGTGGACTACTGCAGGCTTTAAGCGTTGACCCTGCTTCATGGGATCCACGCGATGTGAAGCCTGCACTGGTGCCTCCTGGAGGCGGCAGCTCAAATAAAACGCCCCAAGTCACTCCGGTACGCGTTTTTGGTTTTTCAGGAAAAACTTTGTATCTAGCGTTCCGATTTTTACGACGACTATGGACCGGGTGTGAGCAATGGATTCGATCACAACCCAAGAAGGTGCACTTCTTGAGTCTAATTTATCATTTTGAATTGGTTTAGTAACGAATCTGAAGTTTCATCAAGTTGTGGGTCGTTGCATGGCACCTCGATGACTGCGAGTGGAACACCCGGGCGTGGACGAGGACGTGGTCGAACAACTACTGCCGATATGCCCCCGGACGAACGACGCCTCACGATTCTTGAGAGAAATAAAGCTGCTGCTGTTCGATATCGGTTTGCAACATAGTTGAATATAATAAAAAATTTGCTTTTTTCGTTTGACACGATAGCCCGTTTATATGCTACTTTAGGAAACGAAAGAAGGAGGAACACGATGATATGATTGGTCGCGTTCACATACTTGAACAGGAAAAAGGCCAACTTGCGGTACTAATGTTTGTTTAGTAGGAAGTTATTAAAAAATTTAGACTCAAAATCAAGTTCTGAGACGGGAACTCGAGCGCGTCACGGCCGTATTAAAAGAACGAGAAGCACGTTGTGTTTGCTTACATGGCCTCCCGATGAGTTCTGAGCTTGGAATTGGCGTAAGTTTTTTACAGAACCAGTTTTTCCAACAAAGTTTCTCACGTATACATTGTATCAAGAAAACTATTTTAGACAGACCCTGGGTTCCTTCATCAACAAAACTTGATGCAAGCAGCAATGGGAGGCTTGAAACGAAAAATATAGCGAATTCAGCTCATTAAACGATGGTTATACGTTCCGGTGTTCATTCCATTTATTCAGGTATTAACTTTTTATGACCCTAAAGTAAAAAGAAACCTTTTTGACGTTGGCAAATTTCTATTAACATGTTCGCTAATTTGAAATCTCTGTTCTTAACCTCGTTGAAGCAAACATGTCACCAAATAGATTTCTATTTTATATTTTGGAGTTTATGTCTTGCCTATTTTTTTTGCTAAGTTCAACCTTGTTTTTTGTACATAACTCTCACGAGCCGTGCTCTATATTTACACAATGCACACCAAAGTATAGGTCAAAGGTTGTTCGACTTTCGAGATACGTTTATTCATGGTTGTGTTACTCTTAATGTCTTGTGAAATTCTATTTTTGTTTTTCTCATGCACAAACTTTCATCATTTTACATTATCAAAGCCGACCAATTTTAGTCGACTAGTCAAGTAGTGGCTTTTAGTTCTTAACAAAATTTTGTCGTTCAAAAGGTTTTCAGTTAAAAGCTAGTTTTTTCTTTAGCATTTTTTTTCTTTGTGAATCTTATCTCATCTCGCCCTTGCTCTGGATTCTTTGCCATTTCATTCGACTCGATTTGACTTTCTAATCAATAAAATTTTTACAGTCTTTGCTCAGGAAAAAGCAGCTTATGATTTGAAAAATTGGGGCATAAACCAGGCGTTGATCAGCTTTGAGTCTTCAACTAGAGTTTTCAGTCATGGTTTCCATGCGTAGTTTATTATTTTTACTTTTAACTCTAGAAACAAAATATGCCACTGCGGCAAACAATCCTTGTCCCTCAAGTGCGGCCTATATTACTGAATTCGACTCTTGCTATGTGTTCATTGACGATGGTCTTTTTTGAAAGTTTTCTCAAAAAAGCAAAACTTTAGCTGCCAATTTCCAAGCAGCTGAAAGAGCGTGCAATGCTACGCAAGGACATCTAGTATCAATGCACAATGCATTTGAAAATGGTCTATTAGCCGAATATGCAGATCAAGGTTTAGTATAGAAGCGATCTGCGGGTATCTCTGTGTGATGACCTAGATATGCGTAGCTCTCGAGCATGGATTGGCCTTCATAGAGGTGACGATGGAAATTGGATTTGGACAGACAATACTACGGCCTCTTATTTCAAATGGGGCTCTGGTAGCTTTGAAATTAAATCAGAGTCACCTAGCGTCATTAGGTGAGCCGAAATCCAAAGACTGTGTCTATTTGGATATTCTTGATCGATCCTGGTACACCCAAGATTGTTCGACAATCACCCCATATATCTGTCGGTTATTACCTTGTAAACCAGGATGGGTCTACTACAATGTGACCGAAATGTGTTATTACGTAAGCGAGTCTCACTTTTCCAATATTTTCTTTTCGTAAAGCATGGACAAAACTCATCCTTCCAACAAGCCCTCGGTTTTTGTGGTTCTTATTCAGGCTCAGTCACTTCCGTGCACAGTGATCAAGAAAATGCCTTCATTAAAAGTAATTTTTGAAATTTATAATAGGTAGGTTAGGACTTGAATAGTAGTAGTAGTAGTAGGACTATATAGTAGGACTTGAACATAACTTCGTATAATATTTACTGCAATAGCAAATTCGGGAGGTTTTTAGGTCTTGTTTGGACTCCTGAATGTAAAAAAGTCGGCAATTGGTATGCTGGCTTGACAATGCTTGGGGGAACCTGGGATCAAGCAAGTATGGTAAACTAAAAAAGGAAAGACACGACCACCATTAAGAGAATCATACTGCCGGATGGTATGATCAGTCACCGAACAATTACTCGCAAATGATTTGCACGGGTGGTGGGCTCAGTCTATTGACTGTAGAGAAAAAACAATAAAACAAGTTGAAGATAAATTCAGATGAATGCTTTCCCACCATCGTGCAATGGCTGTGGGGATGGAGTGTGGACGATGTATGGATTTGATCGGATCAACGAGAAACTCCCCGATTTCGTTTGCAAAGCGCCACCTTATGTCATTGATTAAATTTTCTTTGATCGATTTTTTTTGTGGCGCCCAACACCAAAGAACAGTAACCGACAGTGTCACGAACCGACTTTTGAGTAGAGATTGGCGGGAAAATTCGAAAACGCGTTACCATATTTAATTAACATCTGCACATTTACCGCAAAAAAGAAACGCAAACGGTGTTGATAAAAGTCGATAACGATTTTTATTTTGATTTACAATGTTACAAAACCAAAATTGTTTGGATTTTTAGTGTTAAACTTTTTGCGAAATGCATGGGGGTGGGACAAATGCGACCTTTTTTTGCTGGAAAAGGCCTTAGGCAAGGTCGTATAGCTTCGAAAATATTTCCATATAAGGGAATCGTATGCGTAGATTCCGAATTTCGACAAATCAGACCTCGCTGACACGTCAAATTTGGGCTAAAGGGCAAAAACTGCGGAAAAGCGTTAAGTTGCGTAGTTTTTGCCTTTTAGCCCAAATTTGACGTGTCAGCGAGGTCTGATTTGTCGAAATTCTGAATCTACGCATACGATTCCCTTCTACGAAAACATTTTTGAAGCACTACGACCTTTCCTAAGGCCTTTTCCAGCAAAAAAAAGGTGCGCAAATGTCCAGGTGCGCAAAAAAAGGTAGCATTTGTCCCACCCTCAATGTGCTTGGTCTATTGTAAATTCCGTTTTATGTAGTAATTTTGCAAATGAATTTGAAATTTGAGCTAATCGACTGAATATCTTAAATCATTGCAATGTATTAAGCGTTTATTCGTTTATCAGGCATTAGGCGGTTTTTTTCTGGCTGGATGTTTAGGGCTGGCCCATAGTTTGATCTCTAAAGTTAAAGGGCGCGAGGCGCGATTAACGTCATGTAAAAATACCTTCAACGTGAGGCAGCAGAATTCGAGAATTCGATCTGGGTGCTGAGAAAAGTGCGTGTGACGGATGAACAGACAGACAGACATTTGTCTTTTACATTTGTATATGGTAGATTCTGTCGTTACACGTCGTAGGTCGGGTAAATTTCATAGTTTTGACCTTGTTGTTGTTCCTTTTCTTCGTTAATTTTTCATTTATTGTTCATTTAACAATTTTAGATGTCGGACAAGTACGTTTATTCAATTGAGCCTGTGAAGGGTTTTGAACTTCTATCCAAAATGGCTCCGAATTTGCCGAAGCAAGTGGATCGGTATAATGGACGACACATCAGTCTCAATGAACGGTGGGTTTTGAGCTTTCATTTGCTTTATATAGCTAGTATTTTAGATTCAGTATTTATGAACGAGGATATATCATCAAGAATATCGCTAAGGTCCCCGAAACAAAGTTCAGTGTAACCTTGACGTATAACAAGTGAGCGTTTTACAAATTGATACCTTAGTTAATGGTTGGTTAGAGCATTAATTTGTTGCTTTAGGATTTTACCACGTGAGGCCACAATTGCGAAAATGAGAGCAATGCAAGCGGCAAATGAAAAAAGGACAATGGCAAAGGTATACATATTTATGTTTTCATTGGAGTAGATATTAGGTTGGCCGAAAAGTCTTTGGACATTTTGTTTGGAAAGCTATTAGATTGGTAACTTGGAAGTTGGTGCACTTATTCATTGCAATTTTTGCAAGTTTGCAATTGCAAGAAATAACTAGTGCACCAATTAATCTGCAGTTTTTACCAATAAAAAGGCCCATTTTTTCTTTAAAGTAGGCTTTTGACAGATTTAGAATGTTTCGGTTTTGCAGGTTTCTAGGGGACAAGAAGTTGAGGAACCAAAAATGATGAACACTCGATGAAACGATTTGAACACTTTCTTCCAGATTTTAGTGCCAATAAAAAAAAGAGAGAGCATAACAAGTTAGATAAATAGCCAAATTTTCAGCTAGATATAATCAAACGTTTTTGTTATAGTTCCATTTGAAGAATTTTCCGAAAAACTGAATTTCTGCTCAAATTCGTTTCAAAAGTCACCCAAATTTGCTTAAGCATGTCTTAAATTAGATAATATATAACTTTTATTTAGAGAAGTCTAATTCAATTAGCGTATTAAATCTGTTCTAAGGAAAATACGAAAAAGTGTACCAAATTTCAAGTTCATACCAAGTTGCCAATCTAATATTTAGAAATAACCAATTCACCGATTGACCTACGGTTTCCTCAATTAGAAAGGGCTACTATTTTTCTACAAAATAGTGTTCAAATTTTATGAAAATGTTTTGTCTCTGGTTTTTATGGGGTGCGAAGTTGGGTAGTCAAAAAAGCCGGCAACCCGAAGACACAGTTTAAGCGCTTGATCCACAAAAATCTATGGTGCTGTCAATAGATAAATGATAGAGCGCAAAAAGTTAGGTATATAGCCAAATTTTCAGAGAAATTGATTCAGCAAATTTCTTCGTAGAGATTTTTTTACGAAAAGCGAGTTTTTGCGCTCAAATTTGCTTCGAAATGGATCTAAATTGTCTTAAAAAGATAAAAAAATGAATAATAAATATTTTCAATTTAGAGCCAATTGTAGATCAATTGGTGAATTTAGCATTTATAAACGCTAGTAGAAAAAAAGTGCCCAAAGACTTAGCGGCCAACCTAATATCGCGAATTTTTTTGAAAAAGCTAAATTAAAGTATATTATGCTTTTTAGGATGCCAAGAAAGACGCCGAAGCAAAGTAAATCAGTGGTTTCAAGTGCCTCATCGACCACATTGCAAAATAACCATTATTCTTTATGTTGTATTTTTTTTACTGTTTAAAGGAGCTCATTTTTACTCTAGGTAACTCCATTTCTTATTTCTGATTCATAATGAGATCCATACTAAATAAGTTAAATTTGAATTAGATTGAAAAAGCTAAATTAAAGTATATTCTGCTTTTTAGGAATTACTACCTATTTCGTCTGATTCATAAATTTATTGTTAATAAAAATTAAAACGGCCATCAACTTGTTTTTAAAAGCATTCCGGGGATTCCATGGGACTCTGACACAATTGCGGGGATACTTGACAAGCGGCGCGTCTATTTCGCTCGCTTTTTACCGTACACTCAGCCAACAAGTGAAGAATTCGAAAAACACACTACCTTATGTTTCTGTTTACCCGATTGGTCTTTGTATTAGCATCGTTAACATATTTATTTAGCAATGACAGATGCTCCGGATAGACTCGAAGGATACACTGAAACTGGAGGCGGACTCATCTTGAAACGAAAAGCCGATGACCATGGTGATACATCAAATAAAAGAGAGAAAAGTCATCTTGGATTGGACAAGGTAACAAATTTAAAATTGAGGTTATTTAAGGGACTGCATTCGAGTTTTGTGCATTGTATGATGATTGATTTTATCGTTTAGCTTGCTGCCGAAAAGAAAAAAGAGGAACGCGCACGACATCGGGAGAAAGACGAAACACCTGGACACCTTTCGGATAGTGTTAGACACCGAATTGACAGGTATTATTTTAATTATTATATCTCATATTTTCATTTACAGATACAAATCTGAAAAAAATCGAGACGATCGTCGTGGGCTAGAGGCCGATTCACGGGATCGAGAAAGGTTTATTTTGGTTGCTTTACATAAAGGCGCTAAAGACTGCAATAGAATCGAAAGTAATATTTATATTTTAGGAATAGAGAGAGATCTCGAGAGGACGATAACCGTGGCGATAGAAGACGAGGGGGTCGAGATTATAGGTAGTTACCATTTAAAAACTTTCTACATTTTTTGGTTAAGACGCTCATCACATGACGACAACAAACGTTATCGAGGGAATTACATCGAAACGCCGACTTTCAAAGTTTCTTTTGTTGTTGACCATTTTATCATTACGAATTCAGCTGCCAGACACGCCCAATCGAAATTGGGATGATGATCAGCTTGATACTGGTAAGAAAGATATTTTGTGAAGGTTTTAACCGAATGTTTAGATAAAAACCGAAGAGTCAAATCAAGTTGGGACACACCGACTCCCGGAAGAGCTGGCAAGGACGCACGCGACTACTCTGAAAGAACTTTAGGTTGCATATATTTGCTAAAACTTATTTTTGCTTTATAGAGAAGCTTTATGAAAGTGCAAGACGTCAACGAGAAGATAAACATCGAAGACCAATTGAGGAATCGATTCGATCAGTCAAGGATGGACCTGGAGAGTCTGTTATCCATATAAAGAATAGCGATTAATTAGTGATGTGCTTTATTATAGTTGCTAAGCCTTGATTTTAGGCCACAGTTCACTTCGGAATCGGAAAGGATTGAGTGGGAAAATGAGCAAAAACAGTTGGATCGTGAATGGTACGATAACGATGGCGCCTACGATGACGAATATAATCCATTTGCAAAAGTATTTTAAGAATGGCAGCTAGGTAGTTAACTTTTTGTTTCCAGGTATCTGATGAATATGTCAATAAAAAAGAAAAGCAATGGCAAGAAAAATCTACGAAACCAAGGTTGACTGTGCGTCAGCAACAAATCAAACGCGATAACGAGATGTGGGAAAACAATCGACTTCATAGATCAGGTAAATGAATCTAGTCGATATATTGCAGTGCCCTTTTAACTATCTACATACCATTTTTCAGGAGTTATTATGTTGGCTGGAGATCACGATTTCGACCACGATGACCACGATTCGGATAGAGTAAGCTTTGGCGAGTAGCATTTTAATCTCGTGTTCTAGGTTAACCTTCTGGTTCATAACATTGTTCCACCGTTTCTCGATGGACGGATAGTCTTCACAAAGCAAGCCAAGCCGGGTAGATTCTTTTTGAAGGAAGCTTTATAAAGGTAGTTTTAGTTATTCCCGTAGTTGACACAACGTGTGACATGGCTGTCGCCGCTGCACGAGGAAGTAAAGTTGTTCGAGAACATCGTGAACAAGAGGAAAGAAAGAAGGTCAGATCTTACCACGAACTGTTTAATATTGTTAGTTTTAGGCCCAAGACAAACACTGGGAGCTCGCCGGAACTAACTTGGGAAATATCCTAGGAGTTGCCCCTAAGCCTGATGAAAATGGGCCTGCTGAGGGAGAGGAGAAAGATTTCAGGTATATCCTATCAAGGTCGCACATCTGTATTCATTTTAGAGAACAACATCAGTTTGCTTCAGTCATGGGCGAACAGGAAGCTGTTTCCGATTTTGCCATGGAAAAAACGATAAAGGTAAATGAACGGAATGTTTTTATTGAAACAATCGCCATTTAGGAACAACGAGAATATCTACCCGTCTTTGCTTGTCGCCAAAAGATGATGTCGGTGGTTAGAGAAAATAATGTGGTGATTATTGTGGGCGAAACTGGATCAGGAAAAACGACTCAACTTTCTCAATACTTATACGGTAAATTCTAATCTACCTAATAAAATTTTCTTGAATTTTTAGAAGAAGGATACGCTGAAACTGGTATTATTGGATGCACCCAGCCTAGGCGAGTTGCTGCGATGAGTGTTGCAAAACGTGTGTCTGATGAAATGGGAGTGGAGGTTAAATTCACAACATGAAAAGGACTAAAAATTTGTGTTTCCAGCTTGGCCAAGAAGTTGGTTATGCAATTCGATTCGAGGATTGCACTTCCGAAAAAACAGTGATCAAATACATGACTGATGGTATATTGCTCAGGTTTTTTTCATTAAAAAAATAAAATAAAATAAAATTTTTTTAGAGAATGTTTGGGTGATGGAGATCTTGATCAATATTCTGCAATCATTATGGATGAAGCTCACGAAAGGTATGGACAAATGGTTAGTATCTGAATAAAACCTACATGTTTGCAGATCTTTGAACACGGATGTTTTATTTGGCTTGTTGCGAGATGTTGTAGCTCGCCGCAGTGAACTGAAGTTAATTGTGACTTCAGCTACAATGGATGCAGAAAAGGTGCATATTTTTAAGTTGCGATGTTATCCTGCATAATAAAACTTTAGTTCGCAAATTTCTTTGGCGGTATGACGCCAACTTTCAACATTCCTGGAAGGACTTTTCCCGTTGAGATCTACCACGCAAGAACGCCGGTGGAGGACTATATTGATGCTGCGGTAAAACAGGTAACCTGTCTTTTATGGGTAATACTGATAAATATTTTAGGCCGTTACTATTCACTTGGGTGGTTTAGATGGAGACATGCTCATTTTCATGCCAGGGCAGGAAGATATCGAGGTTCGTTGCTGTTACCCTCTTAAAATATAGTTTTTAGGTGACTTGTACCTTGATCAAGGATCGGCTTGGTGCACTTGATGAAGCACCTCCTCTTGCTGTTTTGCCAATCTATTCGCAATTGCCAAGTGACCTACAAGCAAAGATATTTCAAAGGGCTCCAGGTTCGCAGTTTATTTTTGCTATTGATACAATTTGAACCTTTTAGGCGGGATGCGTAAGGTTATTGTGGCTACAAACATTGCCGAAACATCTCTGACTGTGGATGGAATATTGTTTGTCATTGATCCAGGATTTTGTAAAATGAAAGTATACAACCCCAGAATTGGTATGGACGCATTGCAGGTAATTAAAATTATACACTTTTTCGAGATGTCTATTCTTTCCAGGTCTTTCCTGTCTCTCAGGCATCTGCTAATCAACGCTCTGGAAGAGCTGGCCGTACAGGCCCCGGTCAATGCTATCGTTTATACACTGAACGCCAATTCAAAGATGAATTACTTGTTTCAACGGTTGACATTTTAAAACTTTTGTGATATTCCTGTTTTTAGGTTCCCGAGATTCAACGGACTAATTTGGCGAATGTTGTTCTGCTTTTGAAGTCGCTAAATGTGGACGATCTTTTGAAGTTTCACTTTATGGATGCGCCACCGCAGGTAATTAAGTCATTATTTAAATATCTCTTCTATTTTCTAGGACAATATGCTAAATTCAATGTATCAACTCTGGACCTTGGGCGCGCTGGATAACACTGGACGGTTGACGGACTTAGGAAGGTTGGAAAATTATTAAATTTTATCAAAAAGTATTTTATAGAAAGATGGTGGAATTTCCCTTGGATCCAACTTTGGCGAAAATGGTGATCATGTCTGAACAAATGGGATGTAGTGATGAGGTGGAAACTTTAAGGCATTTGATCTTTAATTACATGTTTTAGGTGTTAACGATCGTGTCGATGTTATCCGTACCTGCTATATTTTTCCGACCCAAAGGCAAAGAAGATGAAGCGGATGCAAAGAAAGAAAAGTTCCAAGTTAGTTTTAATGCAATAATTAAATTTCTGTTTTTAGGTACCAGAGTCCGATCATTTAACATTCCTAAATGTCTACGTGCAATGGAAACTGCATAAGTATTCGGCGAAATGGTGTGCTGATAACTATGTACACGCAAAGGCGATGAAGAAGGTTTTTATTTTGTTTTTCTTTTTAAAACGATGAAGATTAGGTTCGCGAAGTTAGAGCACAGCTCAAGGAAATTATGGATGATCAACGAATGAAAATTATCAGCTCTGGAACTGAATGGGATGTCATCAGGAAATGTATTTGTTCGGCTTATTTCCATAATGCGGCTAGGTTAGTGTTTGAGATTTACTCAAAAATTATGGAAATTTAGACTAAAAGGCATTGGTGAGTATGTGAATGTGCGAACAGGAATTCCGTGTTTCCTGCATCCAACTTCAGCTTTGTTTGGAATGGGTTTTATGCCGGATTATGTGGTAAGCTGATTTGCTACCATCATTTTCTATTTTGCTAGTGAACAGTTGCGTCAATAAAATTGCTTTTTAGGTTTACCACGAGCTGGTAATGACAGCAAAAGAATATATGCAATCTGTGACATCAGTCGACCCGCACTGGCTTGCTGAAATGGGCCCCATGTTCTACTCAGTGAAGGTGGGGTTTTTTCTTCACAAAAAAAGGATCCTTTTATTTAGGAGTCCCGTGAGACGCATTTTGAAAAGAGGCAAAAAAGCGTACGCAATGTCGAAACAATGGAGCAAGAAATGAAGGAAGCTCAAGTTGAAATTGCAAGGTACTAATTGTTTGCGATATTTGGAACATTAATTTTTAGAAGAAAAGTTGAAAGTGAGCGAGAGTTCAAGCATCCATCTAGTGTAAGGATGGCTGATGTCGGACGAAGTGTACGAAGCAAACGTTTCGGAATGTAACTTTATTTCTAATATTGATTTGTTGATCTCCCCTTTCATTTATGTCGATTGTTATTCGGGTATTGTTAATGAATAAATGCTTTTATTTTGGCCGGAGACAGTAAATGCATCGTTCGCATGCTGCGATCTTTTAGCGTTTTAGTAAGTCACACTCTGTTTTATTACGTCCTCTTACTAACAATAAGTTTAGGAGAGCTGATGCAGAAAATGACAGATGGTGAACAAAATTCTGCGAAGTGTTAATAGTTTGCGTGCTTTTATCAGAAAAGCATCATACATTGAAAAGAAAAAGAATTATTACCAGGTAAATTTTAATTTCTACGAATATGTTTTGTTGTTTAGATTTTACACGTTGATCGGAAAGCGTCGCAAGATGAAATAAAGAAAGCATTTGTAAAACGGTCACAAGTAAACGTTTATAAAAGATAGGAACTTTGTTAATTTTAGGAATTACATCCGGATCTTCTTAAGCCAGTGGAAACAGTCGACTTGAGGCACAATTGGAGCCGTCGTTCACTGACAGAGCAGTTCATGGATGTCAAGGTTACTTACAAAAGCAACGTTTTCATTGATATTTTTTGAGGAAGCATATGATATTCTTCGTTATCCGCAAAAACGCAGACTGTACGATCAACAGACGTTCTTATCCGAACAAGATGGGTATAAAATTTTAAAGATTGAATGTTGAATGATACGATTTGAAGGTATCTCCACGAAGCCTCGCTTACTGGCCCAAAACGGAAAGATCCGACCATCATTGATTTGAATCTCGAAAGGAATAAATCCTACATGGGACCACGTAAGATTTTGTCTTCTGTTTTCGCGTTTCCTGGTTTACTTCTAAAAATAAAGTTTTCATTTAGAGCGGCTGAAAACAAAAGGAGGACATTTCATCGATCCTGCTGTAGAATATGAAAAAGAACGAACTCGAAATCGCCCGCTTTTATACATTATGGCTTGTTTTGGAGCTGTTATTTTATGCAATATTGCTTATATCGAATTTGCGCACTCCGAGAAACGGAAGTTGTCCAAATGAATTCCTCTCCTTCTTTCTCTTTTACGTGTTTGCCTCTTGTTCCATGGATGTTTGACCGTAGCACTTTGTGCATATGCTGTCTTTATGTTAGGCATAGGGTTGTTTCAGCTGTTCTTGTGCTAGGAAATTATTTCTATGTTACCGAATAAAGATATTTATTTCTTTTGTTAGTGTACCTAAATAGACACAAAAGCTGCAGTGAACATGGAGGTATGTGTCTTGGTATGTCTTGGCCAACGCTAAAGTAACTTTTTAGGGACAAAATGATTTGATCTCAATGTCAGTTCTACCAAATGATCTTTTACGAGTTATCTTTTCTCAACTCGGTCGTTCGGATAAAGTTTCGGTAGCAATGGTTTGCAAACGATGGCTGGCTTTATCTGGTATGTTCGAACAGTTCTATGAAATTTGGGTCTAATATAATTTGCTTACGTCTACACTATTTGATAAATTACCATTTCAAATTGAAGATTTTCCTGAGGCCTCTGGTCTTTCGATCTCGGTTGGACACTGTCTGTGTAACGTAGGAATTGATGAACATGGTGATGCCTGGCTTCAGGTTTTTTTAAGACTGATTCAAAAAAAAGACACATTTTAGGTGTGTTTATGCAAAGATCATGGCAGTATGGCAAGCCTTTCTTGGTTTCTTCCTTATTTTGCTCGAAGTTTGCTTTTTGAATGAGCTTTTTAATCCCATAGAAATAAATAGGCACCGAAACGTTCAGTCTGGAAGATGATTTGGTTTCGGGAGAAAGGGTAATTTGACAAAGTAAAACCTCTTTCAATAAAATTTACAGATCTCAAACGATGACATTTTTGTTTTGCTTGCCGGCTGTGCCCATGCTCAATTGAAAAAGGCGAATTTCATTAAAGTGAGTCTGGGTACAAATGAAAATATGAAAAATGTTATTTAGGTGGACTTTGGTGATGTGAAACCGTGGACATTAGCTTTGTTGGCAAATTGCTCGAATTTGAATGAGGTGAGGAATTTACAGCACATTACGAAATAAGATTTATAGATCATTTATGAGGATTGTCTCTTTCCGAACGGGATCGAGGTTGAGAGATTTCTAATCCGAATTATGACCACTTCATTTGAATGCCTTTCTACGATTAAGATCACCAATTGCAATATGGTAAGCAGTGATATAAAGACAAAACCCGACTGAACCAAATGCACAGGTGACTGACGGATTGGCGCGATCTGTGGCGAGACGTTGTCCATTGTTGGAGGATTTTACCGTTAGTGGATGCAAATCGGGTAAGCGATAGCAGAAAAGAATAAAAAATTTTTAAAAAATCTGAAAAAATAGTGACTCTCTAAGCGAAAAACAATTCCAGTGACCTCACACTCAGCTCTGTCACTCCTTGAGAGTTCACGCTTGCGAAAGCCGACAATGCTCACCACGCATATGGAAAACACATCATTTGATGTGAATCAAGTAATGTTTAATGCAAGAATCTAAAACAAAAACGCGAAAAACTTTTCCAGTTATACCGTCAAATCCAATCACCGTATTTTTGTGAGCCGGGTACATGGAAATTGATGCCGATGGCGATACGAATTGGATACGAAAAAGCGGCGGTGATGGCTCAAAGCACGAATCAGACGTGTGTTCTAATTTATGTTTGATCCTCTGTGAGGACTTGGTTAGCATTTTCAGTTTTCAATGATCCTTTATAGATTTGATTTTGGAAAATGTACAGCTTTTTTTTGAATATATGCATGCTTGAATTCTTAGCAGACCTGGTGTCTCGTTTTTTTTCTCATTTCTCAGCTTTGCACTAGTATTTTTGAATTTTCATGGGATTTCGGTGATGAATAAATATCGATTGAATCTAAAAAACTTGACAAAAAACAAAAAAAAATCGATAGCTTAGGTAGTCTTTTTCTAATTTTAGGGATTATACATTTAGTTTTCGAAATTTTGGAGAACAGTGGTGAGTCAGAAAAGTGATTGGTCTACTCCACGTCTTCTTTTCTTCTTTTCTCTTTGCAATTCAACTGATAAGGCTGATCATTTCCCCTTTTCCATTACTAAATCAACTACTTTTCTCCTCCCTTTTGATTCTATATTAACAATGACAGAATCGAGAGATACTTTACTGAGAATTTTGAGTGATCTCGAAAATGAGGTTTGCTTGCGCTATGAGCGTACAATGTTTGCTGTTAGAGTCACCTCTTCGTTCTTTCCGAGTTCATCGATGCCATCGAGGAGTTGGAAAGCCCAACAGCGACTCAAACCAGACCAATAATTTCACATACTACGCGTCCGTTCACATGGATCTCTCGAATGCTACTTCTTGGGTTTTTAGTATTAGAGAAACTGAGATAGAAATTTTAGTAACAATGAAACGAATTCGATAGATGATGCCACAATGGAAGCACCAAACGAATTCCCACTTCTGCCACTTGGGTCTCAAGGGTCAAGGCCACAAGATTCTAGTGAAATCATTGAGCAAGAGCCAACTAAGACAAAACGAGGGGAAATTGGTATTCCTCAGATTTCTGTGGATTTGGAAGAGAATCGGGAAAGGGCTTTTTCTGAAATGGCTCGTTCTCCGCCACACCTGTTCTCTATCGAAGAAGACAGTGATAATCCCTCACATCAAGGTAAGTAAATTTTAAAGTGAAACTTGAAAGTTTGCTTCAGCTGCTCAAGAAAGAAATCCTTTATTGGGCGAGAGACGGGCCACCTCGTTGGAAATGTTTGACAAGAAAAACGCGAATCTTTCCGATCGAGAGCGCAATCCATCCGCTAAATCAGCCATTTTGACACATACAAGTGGGGGAAATTCAAAAGAAAATCTAATATTTGCATTCAGACAGTGGATCCAGTTTACCGAATCGAGCAGCTCAACGAAAATTTTTCGCAAATACACCGAAAAAAAAGGAAACAAACAAATATCACACGAATGCTGAAAGAATTCTTTCTGTCATTAATCATTACATGGGACTTGTGATTCAAAAAGTAACCATTCCAATATTATCTTTGAATATTCACCGTTTAGCATAAAATCGAGGATTTGCACGATAGAAATTTGGCAGAACTTTTGTGCTATGCTTTCTATGGGTAAGTGAAAGCTGAAGCTGAAGATGAAGCTGAAGATGAAGCTGAAGATGAAGCTGAAGATGAAGCTGAAGATGAAGCTGAAGATGAAGCTGAAGATGAAGCTGAAGATGAAGCTGAAGATGAAGCTGAAGATGAAGCTGAAGATGAAGCTGAAGATGAAGCTGAAGATGAAGCTGAAGCTGAAGCTGAAGATGAAGCTGAAGATGAAGCTGAAGCTGAAGCTGAAGATGAAGCTGAAGATGAAGCTGAAGATGAAGCTGAAGATGAAGCTGAAGATGAAGCTGAAGATGAAGCTGAAAATGAAGCTGAAGATGAAGCTGAAAATGAAGCTGGAGCTGAAGATGAAGCTGAAGATGAAGCTGAAGATGAAGCTGAAGCTGAAGCTGAAGATGAAGCTGAAGATGAAGCTGAAAATGAAGCTGAAGATGAAGCTGAAAATGAAGCTGGAGCTGAAGATGAAGCTGAAGATGAAGCTGAAGATGAAGCTGAAGCTGAAGCTAAAAGATAGCTTTCAGACATCGAGATACGTTTGCTAAATGGAAAGAGTGCGAGGCTCCATTGTACTCGGCGCTTCTCGTCATTTTCGTTTCAGAAAAATTGTGGTCACGCTTTGATTACATCTATGAAAGTGACGTCGCTGACATCTTCATGAGTCAGAAAAAGTATACTGAACATATAAACAGTTAAAGATACTTTTAGGAAATTCGATGAAGCAAGCAAAATGCTCTTAGAAGTGTGCCATTCGGCGGATTTCAAGAGAACACGAGAATTGCTGTGCGAGCGCTACATTCCAAGTGAGAAAATGGACTCAAACGGTGGAACACTTCTCGGTTTAGCGAATATGGGTAATGCTGAAGTGAGTCAACAAAAAAGTATTGATTTCTTTGAAAAATTCAGAACTTTTTCTCGCATAAGAGCTGTCAACGAATTGTGGAAGATCGATGGAAACCTGGATTTCGGTTTTTTTGAAATCAATAATTTATAAGTGCACCTTTAGTTGCAACAAGAAGATATTTTTCTTTACTTTTTTATTCGTTGGCCTACCACTTCTATTCTCAAAGAGTATTATTCATTTTACTGGTTAGTAACCTTAAATGATTTTTTTTACTCCAAATCTAGGAAAGAAATATCAATCAAGATGGGAACGTTTCCTTGCATTTCATGGCTCTCCTTGTGGGAAATTTGCTTGGCATACGGTAACTAAAGCAAGCTTTTGAGCTTGAGCTTTTGAGCTTGAGCTTTTGAAAAACAACTCTTACAGTTTCTCTATGCCATATACGTGATCGTTTTTGGCTTTTTTGTTCAACAAGCTCATAAAGCTGACAATGTAATGAACGTCGTCACTGTGTGGGCTTTAATGATGCTCGTCTGGCAGGCTTTGTTTTTTGTTGAAGCTTGTATTGAATTCAAATTACAAGAACGTGGGAAACAGGCTTTCAATAGTACGGTAATTTTAGAAGAATTAAACCATAGAAAACAAAATTTCAGCTATCTCAACACCTCAAAGTCAATCATTTCCATACGATTTTACATTTTTTGATTGTTGTCGTGAATAGTGTGTTTCTTATCGCGGCTTTGTTAATTGATAACGAGCGAGCTACCTCATTGAACCTTCAGGAATTGTAAATTTTTAAAGATTGGTTCAATTGGTATTCGGTTGATGTATTTTTTTGGTTTTAAACGGAACTTTACTTTTCGGTAATTTCGATAGCGAACTTTAGAGTGCCTGCAAAAGTGGAAAATGTGACGATGCAAGAAGTGCTTAGTAGAGAAAATAATAAGGAATCCAACCAATCGATCACTGCCATAATTCGGTGAGAAAGTTTTCAAGAAATGCATTTCAAAATGAATGATTCTAGACTTCTCTTGTTATCGGCTTCCGAGGTGATATTTCTTGTCTCATTCGTTTTTTCGGCTATTCGAATGCTTCGTGTGTTCACCGTGGATCCATTTTTTGGTTCTATTGTGATGACTATTCGCAGAATGGTTCACTTTCTCTTTCAACTTTATTCATTTATCGTATAGGTTCAACTCTTCGTTTACTTTTCGGTAATTCTGGCTGTATTTTGGATTGTGTATGGAGTTTGTCAGGTAGAATAAGGAGAAAACTTTCTTTATGACTTTTAAACGATTCCAGATCGCTTTACAAGGTCGAAAAGAAGAGCACAGTGTTATTTGGCAGATCTTTAGGTAAATTATTGGGTTGGTGGAAAAGTCCTTTCGGATTTTTTGGGAGAGTACCTTAAATTTGTCGAATTTTGACGTTTTATAGCTCATCCTTAGCTGAATTCAAGACGGATCGATTGGTAAAAACCGTTTTGAGATATCTCTTTTCTAAAAACGAAGGAAAATCGCGAAAAGAGCCAGAAAATGGCGGTTTTCACGTTTCGTTATTTTTCCGTGCGGAAACCTAGGCTAAAAACATGTGTTTCGTGATCACACAAAAACAACCCCTAGACACGCATTTTCAGAATCTTAGCAAAAAATTTTTGAAAAATATTGTCACCGGTGGAAGTCGAACCAGCGACCCTCAGATCAATAGCCTTTCCGCCACTTTTCGCGATTTTCCTTCGTTTTTAGAAAAGAGATATCTCAAAACGGTTTTTACCAATCGATCCGTCTTGAATTCAGCTAAGGATGAGCTATAAAACGTCAAAATTCGACAAATTTAAGGTACTCTCCCAAAAAATCCGAAAGGACTTTTCCACCAACCCAATATATTCGAAATCTAATCCATTTTTTCTTTTAGTAATGGTGCTTTCGAAATTTTCGGAGAGCTTGAAACTTCTTTGAAAGAAGGTAAATGATTAATGAAATAATGAAATGAAAGAATTTTTAGGTAGCATTTTGGGTTGTAATGTTTCTTTCAAGTGGGAGAAATTGCAGGACTTCAGTGGACAATCAGTTCAAGTGGGTAGAAGAATCGAAAGTGGAAAACAACATGATTCAATCAAAAGGTTTCGTTTCAGTGTGCCGTACGCAGCTGGCTGGTTCCACTGGTGCTCTTTTTGTACACTCTCACATCGTCAATTCTCGTCATCAATATACTCACAACACTTATCAAGTATTTGAAAATGAAAACAATTCCCTAAACTTCTTCAGTCAACAATATGAAGAGGTGAGCGATCGAGCTGAACAGAATTGGCGTTCGTTGAAGTATCGAAGGATGGTCGAATATGAGATCAAAATGTTCTTCCCACCACCACTCACTCCACTTAATCTCATTTACTTTGTCAGGTTTTTAAAAGTATCAAAACATTTTTATCCATATTTTAGAAGGTTATTAAAAGTAAAAGAAGATGAAAATCATCAAAAACCGGCAAAGTATTTTTATTGGTAAGCGGCAAAGTATTTTTATTGACAAGTAAAAGATCTACCCCGATTTAGTGATGAAGATCCAGAAAAAAGCCAAAAAAAGGAAATGGAGGAAATGGAGGAACAAAACAAATTGAATTCGTAAGTTTTCGCTAAAAATTGATAATGGAAAAATTGATAGGTCAACGGGTAAGGCGCCGATAAAAGAGCTCACTTTGCGAGAATTCGAGGCAGAAGCACGCACTTTCTTTCTCATGGATCTTGCTGAGGAAATTGGTTTGTTAGAAAAAGAATTCATGAAAATGTCTTCTAGAGCGTCGAGATAACGTGTGCCATGCATCTCACGAATGTCATGAAAAGAGGAAACGGGTTCTCTCGGTCAGACAATTTATGTAATTGAATGATGTGAAAGATTTTGAAATTTTTTTTGATTCAATAAATATTCGGCTTTAAAAGCGTTTGATATTTATGTTACGTCCGAGTCTGTCATTTGGATTGGATTCGAACGTGTCAATCCGAGCTGCCGGTCTGCCTCAAAACTCTAGCTTCTTAAAAACATACCGTAAATACAGTGCGTTTCAAATTCTTAAACGCACCCTCTAAAATAGCGAATTTTGCATTTTGAACACCGCTACAACTATTAATCTTTTTCTATTAGAAAGAGCATGTATTAAAACCTAAGAAATACGAAAAATAAGCATACTGTAAAAGCAAAAATTTTCAAAATAGAAACTTTTTGCTAAATCAACCGTTTCAAATTCTTAAACGCACCCGCCTTTGCCGTTGTTATTTGAAATTTTTCGTTTTGTTGTGCATATTTTTTTATTAAATTTATAATTTTTGTTAATTTCCAGGTAAATGGCACATGGAATGCTGCTGACGGATTATGAAAAAGGCCAGATTGATGCCCGTTTGAGGATTGGCGACTCAATAAAGAAAATCGCAAAAAAACTTGGACCGATCCGACTCTGCCGTGCGAAATTATATAAAGTCCGAGTTCGTTTCTGAACTTCAAAGAAGAAGCCAGGACCAAAGCCAAAGCTTACACCGCGAGCTAGACACCATATTGTGAGCAACATCCACGGAAAAAACGATCAATGAAGTGAAAACGGAACGGAAAATCGACGCTTCGAAGTCGACAATTTGGCGAGCCATCAAGGAAAACCCATCTAAGCGCGCATTGTAGCATAAACCAGTGTCGAGAAAAACTCGTTCAAAGCTAGACTACGCAACACTCCGCACCGTCATTATGGGGGTGGGGTACTATTACAGTATTTACGGTAGGTTTAGTGTGATGCAATCTGATCTTTTTTTACCAGTTAACTTTTATCAAAACATAAAAAACAAATAAAAATTGGGTAAACAACAAATGCAAAAAGAACAAGAAAAAGCAATAGAATCATTTGTTAGTGCAGCTACGTGAATGATGGCATCTAGGGGTTGCAAAGCAGCTCTTTTTTCAGCATGCACATCGATTCGTCGTGTATCTGCCCAGACACATGCAGTGAGCATGGCCTGAATTCAAGACTAGAATTAACGAAATCAATACAAACAACTAATCCAATCAAAAAAAAAAATGATTTCCCGTCATCGATGCTCTAACGGCAGTTCTCATAGAGATCTCTTTTTCCGGAATTGAATGATGAAGATCGCAGCTTGCTGATTGTCCCTTCAAAAGCCGCCTTGCTGGGAAACAGATGTCGACCTTCTAGAAACTTCTTTAGTTGCTCATCAAATACGGATTCCATCCTGAATAAAAAAGTTTAGTAAAAAACTAGATGTAAGCACAAATAAAAAGGTTAATGATAAAGCAAAAATGTATTGATTCTATCGTTCTATTCTTCGTCTGATTCTATCTAATCTCATCTGATCATCTGATCGGATTCGAACGTCCGAGCCTGGTTCGAACGCTGCACCGGATTCAAACATGACATTTATACACTTTATGTAGTTGATCAGAGAAAACGAGACAGAGACAACGAATTGGAAATAAGCAAATCTCTCCTCCTTAGCTCCACAATTTAGCTAGTAATTTTTTAAGCAATCTTTTCATATTTCTTTTTTTGATTTCATAAACGTATAAAAGATTTTGTAAGAGAAGGGTGGATGATGATTGTGGAAAGGGGAAAAGAGGAGGTGAAAAGAGATGGACCAATTCTCCAGTGGCAACGCCATGGCTACCCGTTTGCTCGAGCCACTAAAATCGCAAAAATTGTGAAGCCTTGTCTTTTTTTGTGCATCTGTTTGTATAAGTGTATTCCTTAGTATGCATTATTGAGTGCTCAGCTCGTTTTCTTTCAAAATACCCTTTAGAAATCGTTTTCCCCCTCTAGCTTTAGCTATCTATTTGATTTGTGTATAGCTTTCTCTAATGAATTTTGTTGAATTTGAAATTTTTGGCGACTTATGACTGTTTAGGTTTAGGAAATTCGATTTACAGAGTCGATTTAAAATTTTTACAATTAATAGAAAATGCCGGGTGATAACATTGTGGTGGCGGTGAGGGTGAGGCCTTTTAACGATCGCGAGAAAGCGATGAAAGCTCAATTGGTGATTGAGATGGCCGACGGGAAGTCAACCGGGATCAGGTTTCACAATGTTTGAAACAGTTTTAGACTCTTTTGCTTTTCATTCTTCTACTTGAAAAACCCCTTTCAGAGATCCAAGCAATATGTCGGAAGAGCCAAAAATGTTCACGTTTGATCACTCGTATTGGTCACACGATGGTTACAAAACGGAATCCAGCGGCTATTTGGCGCCAAGTGACTCAAAATACGCGGACCAGGTTTGAAAGAAAGAAAAAAAATGGATGAAAATAAAAAGAAAGTATTCAGAAAAAAGTTTTTGATGATTTGGGAAAAGGTGTGCTGGACAATGCATGGAAAGGGTGAGACTATAAAAGAACTAGAAAGGAACTATAAAGGAACTTTCAAGGAGCTTTAAGGGAGCTTTAAAGGAACTATAAAGGAACTATAAAAGAACTATAAAGGAACTATAAAAGAACTATAAAGGAACTATAAAAGAACTATAAAGGATGAGAGCAAGCAAAAATAAATCTAAACATAAAACTTTTCAGCTACAACTGTTCCCTTTTTGCATATGGACAAACGGGCAGTGGGAAAAGTTATTCGATGGTTGGCTATAAAGAAAATAAAGGTTAAGAATTTTAATTTTCTAAAAAAAACGAATTTTTAGGCATTGTGCCAATCGTTTGTGAAGATCTTTTTAAAAGAATCGAGAAGAATAAGAAGAAAAACAATGGAACACAATATGAAGTGTTTATATCGATGTTCGAGATTTATTGCGAAAAGGTTTGTGGTGCATTGACCAGTTTGAAGATAGGAAGATAAAGAAGATACAGAAGATGCAGAAGATGGAGAAGATACAGAAGATACATTCTTTTTTTCTCGTTACATCATGACTCACTACAGTCTTCTGGAATATATAAAGTTCTGAAAATTCTTAGAGTCACTGACATTAAAGCTCTACAAATTCTTTTGTTAAAACTAAAACTAAACAATAAACAGTCTTGATATTTAAATACTTTATTCGGGCATACCGTAGACTGATTGATGAGTTGAAAGTGATTGATTGATGACAATTCCTTTCAAACAATCACCATCCTACCGTAAATACTGTAATAGTACCCCACTCCCATAATGACAGTGCGGAGTGTTGCGTAGTCTAGCTTTGGACGAGTTTTTCTCGACACTGGTTTATGCTACAATGCGCGCTTAGGTATCAAAAAATAGCTGAAATTCAGGGCTATTTTTTGATACCAAAGACACATTTTTTGAAAGTACGGGCGCTTTGAAAAAAATGAAATACTAAAAAAATTTGCGACTACGTAACTGTACGAGGGGGTGGGGTACTATTACAGTATTTAGTAGTAGTAGTAAGTACGGTAGTAGTAATTCAAACCACTTTACAGATCCGCGATCTTCTATCTTCAAAACCACCACCAAAAGGCGGACTCAAAATACGAGAACATCCAAAAACCGGATTTTACGGTAGTTATTAGGCTCTCTATGAATTTGTTTTTTAATAAAAAGACTTTCTGGACAATCTAATCTATAAATGACTTATAAAAATAAAGGAAATTAAGTGGAGGGACTGACGAGCAGCCCCGTCAACTCGTTTAAAGAAATTGAAACAAAAATTGATGAAGGAACGAAGAATCGAACGATTGCTGCAACGAATATGAATGCAACAAGTAGTCGGTATGATTTAAAGCTTTAGTCTTTAATTAAAAGCTTTTATCGAAATAATTTAGAGCTCATACAATTGTCCGATTGCAATTCAATCAGAAAAGTGGAAAGGGTGGAAGTGGAGCGACCACGAAACAATCGCAAATCAATCTCGTCGATTTGGCTGGAAGGTTTGAAGGTTTTGAAAGATTTTCAGTCAACTAACTAACAAATCTTAATTATAAGTATTCAATTTGCCTAATAAACAGTCTAAATTCTATAGTAATTCAGTGAACGACAAAGAGACGCTCAAACGGAGGGTGATCGTTTAAAAGAAGGAATTGTCATCAATCAATCACTTTCAACTCTTGGAAGAGTCATCAAAGCATTGCATGAACAACAAAAAACAAAGAATAAGAAAATTTTGGTGTTTTATAAATGAATAAGAGAATGTTTACGATTGTTTAGGTTCCTTATCGAGACTCGGCGTTGACTTGTCTCTTGAAGAATGCCTTAGGTGGAAATAGCAAGACGATTATGGTAGAGCTTTGGAAAATGATATCATATTGAGTATGTTGTTAGAAGAAGCTCAAGAACCTTTTTAGATCGCAGCTCTTTCCCCAGCAGATGTCAATTATGAAGAAACTTTATCAACACTTCGCTTTGCTGATAGAGCAAAATCGATTGTCACACAAGTGAAGAGCTCTAGATTCTATATATGTTACGTCCGAATCTGAGGAGACGTCCATCTCCGATCCGGACGTCCGAATCTGAGGAGATTCATTCTCCTTCGAAACGGACGTCCGACTCAGAGGAGAATGAATCTCCTCAGATTCGGACGTCCAGCTCGGAGATGGACGTCTCCTCAGATTCGGACGTAACATATATATCAAAAATTTTTGTTTAGGCTGTGGTTAATGAAAGTGCTACTGAACGAATGATTCGAGAATTGAAAGAAGAAAATGCAAAACTTCAAGGGCAAATAAAAGGTGGCAATGGAAATTCGGTAAAAGATTGAATTTAGAAGATTTTAAAGAGATTTTAGGAAGAAATTGATAATCTTCGAAGACAACTCGAGGAAAATCAAAAAGAAATGGCAAATTTGGAAAAGACTTGGCAACAAAAAGTGGCTGAAGAGGCGGCAAAAGTGAGCACAGATCTCATAAGTTTGACTTGTTGGCTTCAAAGCCACCTGTTTGTAATGTTATTTTAAAAACAAGATTACCTTTTTCAGATTGGAAATGTTTCCGCTGAGCGAGCGGAAATTTTGGAAAAGAAAAAGTTGACGCCACATTTATGGAATCTGAACGAGGATCCGGCATTAACAAATGTGATTGTGCATTTCATTTCTGAAGGAGAATCAAGCATTGGTTTGTTGAAAAGAAGAAAGTTTTGATAGCTTTGAATTGCTTGAATTGCTTTGATAGCTTTGAATAGCTTTTAATCACTTTGATAGTTTTGGATTGCTTTGATAGCTTTGAATTACTTTGAATTGAATTCAGGAACTGCATTGGCTCGACCACCAGCCACCATTCAATTAAATGGTCTTTCTATTCAACCACAACATGCTGTCATTTCAAACAAAAGCAATAAGAAATTCACCATTAAAGAGCTTGAAGTAAGCAGATTTAAGAACATTTCTAGATTATTCAGGGAGCTGATATTTTGATCAATGGAAAAAGGATTCAAGGAGAACAGGAACTTAATCAAAATGATAGGTGAATGAGAAAAAAAAAATTTGAAATAAAAACAAGCTTCTAGAATATTGTTTGGTGGAAATCATCTTTATGTCTTTTGCAATCCTCAAAAAGGTCCACCAAATGCAGTAAGTGAAACGGAAAATAAAGTAAATTGAAACTGAAAATGACTACACATTGTTAGAGTATCAATTGGGAGATGGCGCAAAAAGAGATTGCGGCAAATGCGGGTTTATCGAGTGGAGGATCGAGATCTGGGATGAGCAAGGGTAAAAAAAAAACCGGCATTGATCATAGGAAAAAGATTGTTTAGCTGAGTTGATGCTTGAAGAAGAGCTGATTGCTTTATTCCCAGCCGTATATAGAGCGAATGCAATGGCTAAAGAATTGAAAAGAAATGTGAATTTTGAGACAGTTTTGGTTTCACCAGAGGCTCGTGGACTTGAAGATGGTCTTACTGAGGTCAGCAATAGCTATTCAGTTAACCAATTGCTATTCAGTCAACCAATTGATAGTCAGTTAACCAAGCTAATAGCAATTATTCAGTTAACCAATTGAGTATCACTCGAGGGGTAGGCTAGTTTCCGCAACTTTTTTTGCGCAACAGGGTCATTTACGCAACTGGGTCGTTTGCGCAACTCACCATAACTTTCTTCTAAGTGGGCTAATCTTTATGATTTTGGTCTCATTTTGTTGCACTTATTGAGATCTACAAAATGAGACCAAAATCATAAAGATTAGCCCACTTAGAAGAAAGTTATGGTGAGTTGCGCAAACGACCCAGTTGCGCAAATGGGCCTGTTGCCCAAAAAAAGTTGCGGAAACTAGCCTACCCCTCACTCGACACCCGACAGTGATACTCAATTGGTTAACAGAATATCTTTAGAGATACATTTTGCGTCCTCTCTTTATTGATGAGATATTAAATTGTGTTCCTTCCGAGTAAGTAATTACTCGAGTAAAATTTGCATGAGTCATTTTTACTCGATTAACCGACGTTTTTTGACCGAGTAACTACGAGTAATCCTCTTTACACGTCGAGTAAATTGAATACCTTTACATTTGAAGGGAATTTCCCGCCAAATCATTTAAACAGCTGAATATCTTTAAAAAGAATCGTATATAACTCATCGCTCGTGATTTTTTCGTCACAATTTTTTTTGCAATAATTTTCGCTAAAAGTACGATAATATTTCTCAAATGTGCGTTTTAAAAAAACGCAGAATGGGAATTACTCGCGAGGAATACACTCTAGCTTTTAGGGAAGTAGTTTTTTATTCAAAAACGAATTGAAAAGGTCTAGGCGAGTATTGCAAACTATTCTTTGATCTTCTTTTCTTAGATTTGGATTCGTGTACATAACGAGGCTGATGATACGAAATTTTTATGGGAAAAAACGAGGTTTATGAGTCGGTAGGGAAATGTTGGGGGAAATTGTTGAAACAATGAAATTTTAGATACTACGGTATGCAGGAAATGTATGAGAATAAAATGGATGGTGAAGAATGGGAATTACCAAAAGTATTAAGAGGAAACGCGATGTAGAAATGATTTTTTTTTTCAGGAAAGAGATCCTTTCTACGAGCCACCAGATAGTGAAGTTTTTATTGGAGGAGCTGTTGTTTTCCTTCAATCACTTTCATATTTAGTCGAATCTGAGGAAGCTTTTCCGATTGTTGATTTTGATGGAAGAGAAGTGCAAAAGAATGAAGATGAACTTTGAACAAAGACTACTTTCAGATGGGTCAAATCACTGTTTCTTTGTCACCTTGTAATGGATCTGGCCGAGAGATAAAAGGAGAATATGTAGAGAATCCAAATACTCTAGTAATATATTTGAAAACTACAAAATCTTTTTTTAAAAAAACAGATTGGAAAAAGTCTTGGCTACAAAGTGAAACTCATTTCAGCAAGTGGTCTTCCAAAGAGGCTTTATGGGGTAAAGCTTTTAAAATCTTTGCTTTCAAAGTCTTTGCTTAGGCTTAGGCTTAGGCTTAGGCTCAGGCTTAGGCTTAGGCTTAGGCTTAGGCTTAGGTATTTTATACCCAGTATAAAATCTGATTTTCAGTCCTGTTGCAAGTATCGATTCTTCAATGAAAAAGAAGGCATTACAGCGAATGTACCAGGCACTGATCCGAAATACAATCACGAAACTCTTTACACATTTAGAAATGTTTCTAAAGAGGTTTTAAGATCGAATTTAAAAATTTATAGACATTTTTAGCTTATTGAATACCTTTCACATAACAGTCTTTACATTCGGGTTTGGGGTACGCAAAAGGCTGGAGCGAGTCGTCGATCGTCGATTGTTTGTTCAAAAAAAAAAGAATTTTCCATTTAAAATTTAACAATTTCAGTCTCTCCCAATACCACCAAAAGCTAATGGAGAAACAAGGAGGTGAGTGAAAGGAATCCTGAAAGGAAAAAGAATCTGAGAAACAAGGAGGTGAGTGAAAGGAATCCTGAAAGGAAAAAGAATCTGAGAAACAAGGAGGTGAGTGAAAGGAATCCTGAAAGGAAAAAGAATCTGAGAAACAAGGAGGTGAGTGAAAGGAATCCTGAAAGGAAAAAGAATCTGAGAAACAAGGAGGTGAGTGAAAGGAATCCTGAAAGGAAAAAGAATCTGAGAAACAAGGAGGTGAGTGAAAGGAATCCTGAAAGAAAAAAGAATCCTAATAGGATGTTAATAGGATGTTAATCGATTGTCGTTTATAAAATGAGAAAGTGTAAGTCATCGTTGATGTAAATTTAAGGAGTAAATCGAAAGGATCGACGAAAAAGAAAGGCACATTGAAATCGAAATCGAAATCTAGAAGCGCCAGCAAGAAAAGGAAAAGCTCAAAGACACCAAAGGGCACTGAATAATTGATTTTTTTTGATTGTAATTATCGTTTGTTTCTTTGTTTTCCTCACTAATTATTTAATAAACTTACTAATTTGTGAAGTTGGGGGATTTTGAACTGGACTGGTTGCTCGTGCAACCAGTTCAGCCACTCAACGGTCAGTTTATAAGTCTGAAAGTTGGAAGTTGAGGAAAAGTCTTCACATATCCAAAATAACACCGCAAAATAACAATCGTTTAGTTAAACATTTAGTTGTATGCAATTGAGGATTAAAACAAATAGAAAAAGACAAAATGAACGCCACCAATTGCTTTCTTGACCCCGAAAACCCCCGAGTACAAATTTGTAGCTTCAAACCTTTTCTGGGAACCATTTTCAGAACAAAAGAAGATTCACTGTGTAAAATGACTCGGAGGTGTTCTTTAGGTGGTGATCGCTCGCGATCTGGCACAAGGCCGCCCTATATGCCAATCGTTTTCGTATTGGTTTGTGTCCTACCGGCTCAATCTGGTAAACAATCCAGTTATAAGCCTCCTAGGGGTAGCAAAATACCACAAGCAGACTTTTAATCGACCAATTTCGGTCAATCGGCCCACTCGTCCCTCATCAAATCTCAAATGTCTCAGCTCAGTTCTTTTCCCCAAAAAATCGCTATTTCGTCGTCGTGGTGGGTGGTCCACGTATTCCCCTTTTTGTCCCGTGTTTTTCCCTTTCAATCATCCTAACCCCTTCATGTTTTTTTCTCTTTTCCCATTTCTTCACCCACTTTTATCTCTCACTCACCAAATCTCAAGTGTCTCGGCTCAGTTCTTTCCCCCAAAAATATTTCGTCGTCGTGATGGGTGGTCCTCGCACTCCCCTTTCTATCCCGAGTTTTTCCCTTCCAACAAACGCTTTCGATGTTCCCATTTTGCTCCTCCAAACACAAATTCACTTGATTTTTCTTTAGAATCAAGAAAGATCAATTTTTGGTCCTCCTTTCCACTGTCTGCAAGCTTTGTACTTAAACTAAATGGAAAATAGTTTAAACTTGATAGTCTAGCAATACCATCGAATTCCCCATATCGAAAAACCATCTATTTCAAATTTCCAGCAAAGTTGCTTCAATTTTTGACGATTCTCAAAGCGTTTTCCCGTTCCTTGGTTAATTAAACCGGGTGGCCGACGAGTGGAAAAGTAAAGGTGGAAAAGTTCAAAGGGTCGGCTGTGACGGTCAAAGAGATTTCGGATAAACGGGAAAATTTGACTCTAAAACTCAGTTTAGTTATTGAAATTCATATTTAGTAGTAAATTGATCAACAATTAATACTTAAAATTTGACTCATGTAAACTATTCATCGGCCGAAATAGGTCGACAATTAACCGGCAATTAACCGGCAATTAACTACAAAAAGCTTGCAGACAGTAGAGAGAGAAACCTAAAGGAGAACCAAAATTTATCTTTCCCCTTTCCCGATTCTAAAGAAAAATCAAGTGAATTTGTGTTTGGAGGAGCAAAATGGGAACAGCAAAAGCGTTTGTTGGAAGGGAAAAACTCGGGATAGAAAGGGGAGTGCGAGGACCACCCATCACGACGACGAAATAGCGATATTTTTGGGGAAAAGAACTACGAAAAGAGCAAAGGCTTTTCTTGAGAATATCCAGTATTATAAGACGCAACACTTGTGAAATTTAATAATTGATAACTTTAACAAATCCATTCATTTTCTACAGTGCTCTTACAATTTTTGATCACTGCTGCCGCTTCCGTTTTTATATTCGTATAGGGTTGACCTTGAATCAAATTTATGAGTTAAACAAGCAAAAAAACCCTTTAATCGAGTTAACATATTGTACATTTTATTGCAAAGATCACAGTCATCAGGAAATGTTGATATTGGACTTGTAAAAAAGTCAGACCTGGTTGAGTAAAGCAAAAAGAACGTTATTTTTAACATTTTGTTCATGAAAGAGCAAGTAAATGATTCTGTAAATGCATAATTTTGACATTTTTTAAGATAACACAAGATCGAGACAAATTGTCGGGAATTTGCACTGTTCTCCGATACCAAATTGTTCTATTTATAGAGACCAGTCAAGGTTTTTCTGACTCCGTGCAGACGGATTTTTTTTCTTCACTCCTAGAGGAATCAAAACCGTGATCTTCCTCACTCAAATAGTGTAAAAACTTAGGAAACAAAAAAGATTGGATCGGGCCGGGATCGAACTCAAGACTAACCGAGTTGCTTGTTGCTCAACGTTGCTCAACTTGGCAGATCGGACGTCGGGACGCAATACCACTCGCCCACGCAGTAGCATCCATTCTTTAATTTCGATTTTTAGAAAAAAACAGTCAATTGGCTCCTTTACAAATACAAAATTGGTTCCTTATCTCTCTAATTATGTTTCAAATATTATTAGATTTTTGAAAAGCTTTTACCCCAGCTTACACAATAAAGAGGAACTCCAGAATGGTGCTGGAAAAATCTTACTTATTATAAGACACAAAGTTTCTGAACTTTAACGATTAATAACTTTAACAAATTATGTTTCAAATATTATTAGATTTTTGAAAAGCTTTACCCCCAGCTTACACAATAAAGAGGAACTCCAGAATTACCGTAATCACTCTAAAATGTCTATTCGGTTATTTGAGACAAATAGAAACTGCTAGAACAAAATTTTAAACTTTTATTTTGAACGAGAAAAGACTTTGTTTGACTTTTGTTAAGTTTGTGATTTTAATTTTTTTAAACATAAATTCGGTTTTTCAATGCAATGGAAAATGATGATTGCTTAAATCTTGTTGAAATAAAGCTTCTGAAACTTATTTTCTTATTTCCTTTCACTTTTGACAATTATATTCATGGTTTGCAATTAAGACAAAATGAAAGGAGAAGGGAGTAAATGGAAAAGAAAATGGAGGGGTCTGGACCACCCATCGTTTTTGCACCACCCACCAGGCGGGAAAAGGGAAAGTGACCAAAGAGAATCAAAGGATTAAAAGGAGAAAAGGTAAGACAGACAAAAGAAAAGAGAAACGGAATAGATAGATAGTAAAGAGATCGGAAAAGAGAGATCATTTAAGACCAACCAATCATAGGCAGAGTCTCAACAGATCGCAGCTATACTGCTCTACTGAGTACAACACCTTGACCAGCGATCAAGTCGTGTCATATGCAAGTGATCTTGCGCCCTCGAGAAATCGAAGTGATCCGGCTTTGGCAACTCGCTAGGATTCACCCAACGAGCAAGGCCATCTGATAGGGCATAAGCTGTAGCGTTACCACTACATAAAAGTGCCTCCCGACACTCTCTTTTCCTAGTCTCAATTCCCAGTCTCAATCGAAGATCAATCATATTGTGATGCATACAGGAAATCGTTTGTTTTCAAAAGTACAACTATGTCTGAGGGACTGTTTGAAAATGTGAAAGGCAATGCTCTAAAGAGTGGACAATAATAGTATGGTATTAATACTCTCAAAGTGAGAATATTTTAGTAACGAAAAAAGTGACACATCAGAGTTTCAATTGTAAAAGATTTACTGGATAAACTTTTAAGTTCATTAAAAGTTCATTAAACTTTCATTAAAAGTTAGAAACGATAATTAGAAGAGAAAGCTGTAATCGAGTAAACATTGACACTTTTGAAATGTTAAAATTCATGCAATTTTGAAAGAACAACTTTTAAGCACCATATATTATCGTATGATCCGTCTGGGTACTTATTCTCGTTGTTCTACAAGTTATAAAACTACTGAAGAGTTTCTGTTCTTGTTGACTACAGGGTAAAAGTTTTCAGTTTATTCTGATATATTGTAGTGAGGGTCTTAAATACGTGCTTATGGGTTTTACCCTTACATACTACCTAGTCCAGCTCTTAGCCATCCCCCTACTTTCAGGGGATGCCCACTGCTCACCACGTGGAGGTGGCTGGACGTCGAGCAGCGCCTATGGGGGAGCTATGGGGGACTTATGGGGGACCTATGGGGATGGGGGAGGGGACGGGGCCTGGGAGTACCCAGGGGGGGAGGGGGGCAGTTGCCCTGGACGAGGACCCCAGTTGGGATCCCCGCCCGGCCAGTTGGCCACTTCACGGGTCCTGTTCTGTGTGGTTTTGCGCCGAAAGGGCGTCGACACGGTGAAGACCAAAACGGCCAGCACCCCCACACGTACCGAAGTTTTGCGCCAAATGGGCGACGACACGGTACAGTCCAAAACGGACTGCCCCCTTCGGATACGGCCAGTGTTACCCGGACCAGAACAGATTGCCGATGAGGAGAGGAATGGGATCCCCTTATGGGAAAGCCCTGCGCCAGACGACGAGCGATTACGCCGCCGCACAAGGAACACCTCGTGGTCTCTTTACAAAGGAATTTCTTTTGTTCTGTGAACATTGTTTAGATGAGATCTGAAGCCAAAAGTTTGTACCCGGGGTTTTCGGGGTCGGGGAAGCGATTGGCGAGGTTCATTTGCTGTATCTACAAGCAAAATCTCTAATTTGTGCTGATCTTAAGCCTTTTGGCTATAAATAATTCATGGGGGTATAATCGATAACAGCCCAACTCAAATTTATG